TTTCCCACTCGATCTGGGCCAGCCATGCGTGTATTTTCATCTCGTAGTTGGGCTGCTACTCCCTCTAGCGGCCGCCGGCCGTGAGCTTCATTAAACTTTCAGATTAAAAGTGCAATTAACCTGGGGATGGCTAGCGCGCGCGTGCGCGCCGGGAAAAGAACCTGCCGAGCACTTCATTCCTTTAGTCTTAATTACGTATATTAGTTAATATACTTAACACTAATGATAGTAATTAAGAAAATATTTGAAAATTTTTTTGGGAGATCTTTTTACTAACATATTGAAATTTTTTGAAGTTAGATTTGAAAACTTTCTATATAAGTTTTTAATTTTAAAGTCAAATTTTAAAAACCTTCAACTAAGATTTGAAAACTTTCAACTTGAGATTTGAAAACTTTCAACTTAGATTTGAAAACTTTCCACTTAAGATTTGAAAACTTTCAACTCCGATTTGAAAACTTTCAACTCGAGAATCAAGATTCAAAAACTTTCAAGTCCAGATTTGAAAAAATTTGAAAACTTTCAATTTGAGATTTGAAAACTTTCAACTCGAGATTCGAAAACTTTCAAATCCAGATTTGAAAACTTTCAACTTGAGATTTGAAAACTTTCAACTCAGATTTGAAAAACTTTCAACTCGAGAATTGAGATTCAAAAACTTTCAAGTCCAGATTTGAAAAAAAATTGAAAACTTTCAACTTGAGATTTGAAAATTTTCAAATCAAGATTCGAAAACTTTCAAATCCAGATTTGAAAATTTTGAAAATTTTCAAATCGAGATTCGAAAACTTTCAAATCCAGATTTGAAAATTTTCAACTCGAAATTTAAAAACTTTCAAACTCAAAACATGCTAAAAGATAAAAAAAATCAGAAAAAAAAGTGAGGAAAAAAAGGGAAAAAACGAAGAAAAAAAAAAGCGTGCAGAACAGCAGAATGGCGCGCGCGCCGGCGCTGGGCCTTCTGGGCCTAAAACGCGCGCCGCCGGCGCGCGCGCGCCAACTAGCTTTTCCGAATTAACCTATACTAGTATATACTCAATAGATCGATCATAGAAACTACACACATGATCTCTCTCTCTATATATATAATGGACGGCAGATGGAACCGGGTGTACATACTCCTGAGTGTATATAATCATTTTCCTATATATATATATATATATATATATATATATATATATATATACATATATATATATATATACATATATATATATATATAAGTTGTTGGTTGCTATATCCAGATATATATATAGCTTACCGGGCGGGCTCCTGTTTATAATTAACTAGCAAAAATATATGTTTTTTTTTTGTTGTTGAAGGCCGTTAAGTGTAAACTTTAACCGTTAAGTCCTATATAAAAAATATCAAATATATATAACATCAAAACTCAGTGGTAACATGGTGCACTTATATATTTACGGATGCACTTATTTTAGGATGAAGGTATATTTTTTTTCTAGTACAAGTAGTAGACTAGTAGCTAGTAGATAAGTATGTAGGTGTCTTTCTTTTCCCTCAAAACAGAGCATGTTCACTTGTTTTTCTAGTACAAGAACGCCTGATGCCCTGACCCTAGCTACCTTTCCCACGATGCCAAGTGGATACGCGAATGCGAGGTGAAGCGGGGAACTTGCACGATGCAAAGCGCACAACACATCACACAGGCATCTATGATGGGCTGGCTCATTCAAACTTTTGCCCCAAACTAATACATGCTATATACTATAAGTTTTTAGTTTTTTTGTGTGCCGGTGCATACCCGGCACACCCCCTGGGTCCGCCCCCTGAGGCACACCATTAGTAGATGAGGCATTGTCGGATGCGGGTCTGGAGTCGTACGTGTAGGACTCTATCATAATATTAGTTAGGTTTCCAAACTACGGCTCACTTGATATTATAATGTAAGACATTTTAACTTTTTAAATTAAAATTATTTAAGTTTCACCGAATTTATAGAAAAACTTAACGGTATTTTTCAACACCAAACACACAGTGTTAAAATATATTAGTAGGTTTAATAAAACTAATTTGGTATTATAAAAGTCGTTGCATTATTCTATAAACTTGATCAAACTTATAGAAATTTGACTTAAAAAAATCAAAGTGTTTTAAAATAAATGGAGGGAGTATTTTATAGTTACGTTGTGATGATATATGTATGTTGGCAACGCAATATGTTATTGTGACTAATTAATTTGAGGGCTTGTTATAGCTTCACACATGCCTATATTGGTCTGTGCTTTAATTTGGTGGGAGGAGGAGTCTTTTGGTCTGTTAATGGCAATGTTAATTTTTAGGCGATGGGGTTATCTTTGGGAGCATTATCGAGACATCTTCCTCTTTCTCTTGAGCAAGACTACCCTTCAAGTGAAAATCAGTTCTATGATTCTTTAATTTGGACGGGTGGCGGCGACGTTTTTTTGGCGTCGTGATCGACCTTAATTACAGGACAAGTTGTTTGGGAGGTCCCATTTTTCCTACTTCCATTCAATTTGAGCTTCGTTGGTACGGTGCTCTTGGAAGTCTCTAATGCGTTCACGCAAAGGACAAGTGTATTCTCTTCTCTCTCTCGTCCTCTTCCTCGATAACCCGTAATTTATTGGTGTGGATGGCTAGGAGTTTATACTTGCATGGTTCTCTGCTACAGATGTTGTTGTAGGACAATGTGTTTGTACTCTGAGTGTTGACGCCTTGATGGTGACCGGTTACGTATAACGGCAGTCGGTTTTGAAGCTTTTTCATACTCCCTCCGTTTCAAAATATTTGACACCGTTGACTTTTTAGCACATGCTTAACCGTTCATCTTATTAAAAAAATTTGTGAAATATATAAAACTATATGTGTACATGAAAGTATATTTAACAATAAATCAAATGATATGAAAAGAATAAATAATTACTTAAATTTTTTGAATAATACGAATGGTCAAATACGTACTTAAAAAGTCAACGGTGTCAAATATTTTGAAACGGAGGGAGTATTTATGTAGGATTTGTCAGCACGTGGTGCTCCGTTATTTATTTTTTCCCTGTATAATACAAGATTGTTGCTATGGGATATATAGGGAAAAAATAAATAATTGAGGCTCCATGGTGTCTGGGCTCCAATCAAATTGAGTATATACCCAATTTGAATTAGTCTGAATTTTTTTTAAAATGTTTAGGTATGAACATTAACTTCTTTACTAACAAGTTCAAATAAGTTTGAACTGAGTTTAAACATCTTTTTGTTAGATTTTGGTTCTAGGTATATAACATCCAAACATATAATTAGTTAGGTATTTAATAATGAATTGTGAAATAAAGTTGAGTTTGTTGCTAGGTATAGGTATGAATCAAATTCTTATGTCTAGGTATATACTCACCATTTGAATTTTTTTAAAAATTTAAGAGAATTTATGTGTTTCATACCTTGGAGCTCAGGCACCATGGAGTCCTGCGGTTCGTTTTAAAGAAAAGCTTATCGGAATTGTACTGTAGGACTTATCTTTAAAATGGTAAAGCGATTTAATTGTGTTATATCCATCGATCTTAGTTCTTAATTACTGGCAACATATATATACTCCCTCCGTTTCACAATGTAAGTCATTCTAGCATTTCCCACATTCATATTGATGTTAATGAATATATATATATATATATATATTCACTAAAATCAATATGAATGTGAGAAATGCTAGAATGATTTATATTGTGAAACGGAGGAAGTACATTGTACGTAATTAACTATATCATGGCCATGGTGAGGTGGTTGCTGATGAGTCGTTGGTGGTGCGTGATGAAGAATCGAAACGGATATATGGGGCCGGGGCTCACAAAGTCACAAGCCGGGATATATATGGCCACTAGCAGCAGCAGCATGCATATGGGCGGTAGCTAGCTAGTTGGAGGGAGAGAAGAAAGGCCAAAAGCCCGTGAACGCATGCATGCTAGCTAGCTATGGACGGATTATATTGATGCATGCATGCATGGCATGGGTCCACCACACAACAGATACAGATCGATCTCGAGCATGCAATGGAGAGAAAAAGACCAAAGCAAAAGCAGCTCTTGTGATTGATTTGCAGGTTCCACGGGTTGAAAGTGACAAGATCGATCGAATATATATGTATATGTTCGTTAGGGCACCCGCAATAATTATCTATAGGCTCTCTACAAGAGATCATGTCAGCATATTTTACTACTTGAAAGAGATTAAATGAAGAGAGAGTAAAACTATCTACTAACCTGTAGATAGTCTATAGAGAAAAACGAGGCAATGGATGAGAGAGCTATAGATACCCATGTAGACATACTATTAATGTGGTTTACTATTAATCTAGTCTATTGCTGAGATGTATATGTTTTATAGAGATCACCTTACTTTATCATTGCGGGTGCTCTTATAACTCAGCTACTACTTAGTAGTACTACTAGAATATGGCCCTCTTTGTTTAGACTTAGGCTTATTGGTCTAGACTTTTAAGTCAACTTATTGGCTTATATGATTTATAAGCCAGTGGATTTAATGTCCTAAGTTTAGTGGTGGAGTCATACATCTATCTCATATAAGCCAAAAAAGCTTCTCCAACCTAGCTTTTGGCTTAATAGTGTTAGAGTGGCTTATGGCTTCAAAAAAGCTAAATAAAAAAGCTGCTTGTTTGTTTTGGCTTAGACTTTTCGACTTATAAGTTGGCTTATAAGTCTAAACAAAGATGGCCTATATATATATATTAGTTTCATCTGTGCCCTGCATGCTGCGGCCGGGCTTATTGTTAATATTGAAAGCTATATATGAAAGTACGTGCGGACGTATATTATAGATGGATCAAATTAACGCACACGTACGATGGATGCATGGGTTCTCAAGTGAGGGATACATGCATGCATGTGTAGTACGACGACAGAGACGACGAATATACATATATATAATTGAAATTAAGCCCAGATCAACCGATATATCGATGCAACAAGAAGCAGCTAGCTGGAGAGTGCATGTGTATAGTATTACCGTAGTAGTTATATATATAGAAAATCCGACCATTGATTGATTCATTAATTTGCATGCATACATGTAATCAAGTAAGGAGGAGTACAACATGCATATACGCACTGAAACGGACGTCACAAGCGACGTCTCGATGATGTGCAAATGGCAAATAATGGAGTATATACTAATTAATGGCAAGGAGTGGAGTAGTAGTAATTAGCTAGTCGAACTGGACGATGGAGCTGTAGACGGTGTTGGGCTGCCAGTCGGCGGGGATGACCTGATCGGCGATGAGGGTCTTGCCGGACTCGTTGGTGATGCGGAGGGAGAAGGGCCCCTGCAGCGGGTGGTTGGTGTCCAGCCTCCATATCGATCCCCACGACTCCCTCATCGGCGTCCACACCCCCGTCGGCGTCCCATCCACGCCCCCGGTGCTGTAGCGCGACTCCATCAGGTCCACCTGCACCACGTCCCCGTCCCCGTTCTCGTACTCCACCAGTATCGCCATGTACACCGGGTTCGACCCTTGCTCCACGTGGAACGTCACCGTCAGCCCTGGATACTGACAAGGCACCCTGCATTTTCATTTCGCTATTTGTTTTACTTACTTCTCTTTCGATCGATTTTCAGTTAATTAATTTGCAATACCAATAGCTAGCTAAAAGTTAAATAAATTTGAACGGAAAAAATTAAAAGTTGAGAACTAAAGCCTTTTAGGTGCAAAAGTGCAAAGAGAAAGTTAGTGGTAGTGGTTGGTTGTTTGTTGTGGGCCCCAGCAGAGAGCATGTCTTCGTTGTTCGTTACAGTAAAGAAAATTAAGTACTAGTGGGGTGGGTCGGGTCCCGAGTCCCGACCAGGGAGGGCATGCAGTTAAGTTGGTTATTGCGGTTAGATGGTACCTCCTGAACTGGATGTCGATGATGCCGGCGTGGCGGAGCTCGTCGTTGCGGTTGTCCTTGGCCATGGCGCCGAACGCCGTGCCGCTGAGGTCGAAGTGGTACAGCGACACTGGGTAGTAGTTCATGTCCGTGATGATCACCGTCTCCGGGAGCCCCGAGCAGGCTGGGTGCCCCACGCATCGGATCTGCATCACATCCATCCATTTAATTTAATTTACAGCCACTCAGTCCATGCATCGATCAGTACATATGTGTCACGGGCTCATCGACCTGCACACTAGAGCTAGCTACCGCATCCATCGATGAGAAGAGAATTATTTGAATTGGCTGGCTGAGAATGAATGAATGAATATATATAATTCAGACAAGAAGATAGATCGATCGAGATTAATTGTGTACTGTACGTACCTGGTAGCAGGAGCCGCATCCCTTGCCGTCCTTGAAGAGAGGCTCATTTCCGCAGGAAGTCATGGCCGAGAAGGGCGGCAGGTTCACATTCTTGAACCCACACGCGCCGCCGTTGTCGTCCGGCCCAGCGCCGTTGGGAGCGCCGTACCAGGTCGCACGGGCGTTCAGCCACCCGCCGCCGCCACCGCCACTGCTGCCGTTGCTGCTTCCAGTTCCGGGGCTGGGAATAGGAGGAGTAGGAGCAGTAGGAGTAGGGGCAACAGGAGGAGGAATACTGGGGGTGCTGGAATTGGAGGAGGAAGAAGAAGCATTGCCACTGATGCCACCGGGAGTAGGCTTGGGCTTGTGATGCTTGGCGCTGCAGCCATGGGCGGCCAGCAGACAAAGCAGAGCAGCCGCAACGCCCACGGACCAAAACGACCTCCTCCTGCTCCTGCCCGCCATTAATTTCGATCGATCCCTGGATCAATTTATGTATATTAGCTTTGCTTGCTTGCTACTGCCCCTTTTGTGCCCTCCTCCATCGGCCGTATTTATAGCTACTTCCACCAAGGACCATGACAAATATATGGTTGATGCAAACATCTAGCTAGCTGTTTTGCTCATCATACATACATACATACATCGATGCATGGATAGATAACAGATGGCTAGATTGCAGGCCGGCCGGCCGGGTTCACATGTGGCTGGAGCGACTCATCATATGATCGATATGCTCTTGTGTACTGTACTACTCTATCTGACCTCCCTGCATACATGTCCATCCATCGCTACCAGTTAGCACTACCATCCACCATGCGTATCCCCACCCTCCGATCCCCACTTTTTTAATTGCTAATTTAATTTTTCCTCTCAAGGGGTGATCACCTCACTACCATTTATTTAGCTTAGTTTCACATATTATGGAGCAGATTGTTGTTACTGATTATTGACGTGCTTATCATAGTAAATTAAGTATTTTGTTAAATAAATATAATAAGTAACCTAAAATAAGTAGTCCAAGCAATACAATAGAAAAAACTCTTTTAACACAATGTATTTTTCAAAATGTAGACCAAATAAACTATTTCAACAATCCGGTAAATATTCTGAAAAGAGCCGAGTTAAATTATCATGTTACAATTTAGTTATGTAACTGTTTGTTAGACTACATGACATAAAGATCAATGTGGTGGTACTTTTTTTAACAACAAATGTTCACCATATTGAGGCTGGGTTGCTTATTAAGCTAATAACGATTCACCATATATATTGGCAATGTGATGTGTGTAATTAACTTTAATTTGATACTAGTAAATTCAGCAAACGTAAACTTTTCATTACATATGCATGCTGCACCCTTCCTAAAATATAGCTACATAGTAGCTAGAAATTGTTATGTTTTAAGATTGAAGAAGTAATAATTAGATGGCAAGGTGTGTGATTGTGCATACACCAAGTTCACAACATTCACGAAAATATTCCAAGAGATATAAAGATAGGTATGAAATACATCCACACCAAATCTTGTCTACAAATAAGTTAAGGCTAATCTCCCAATTAATTAAGGCCAGCTTAGTCATGAGTTATTTTTTGTAAGAAATTAAATTGAAAGGTATTAGCTTACACGTAGCAAATTGAGCCGCCATATATATGAGATTGTCTGTAGTAGGATCAAGTGGCATCCTATGAGTGTAGCTGCAAGTCAGTGTTACTAAGTTGCTATTGGACGGAAACAATCAATCGATCAATCAAGTTTATATATCACGTGCAGAGTCAAGCATGGATCACAGGTTTTGTCTTACAAGCTAGCAATGCTTGTGTGCACGTATATACAGCGCCAGCTTTGGACAAAAGTAACAAACAGGTCAGGGAAGAAAATCATAAACAAAAGGAAATGAATCAGTAGATGGATGGTGGTTAGAAGAAGCCAGGTTACCCGTGAAATGGAATAATATATACGCCTCGGACTTGCATCATACCGACCCGTGAAATAAAAACCTACAAGGGAACTCAACAAGAGACAGCAACAGCAAATATTTAATTATTTAGTTTCCTTATTGCAAAGAAAATTGAAGTTTCTACAGACAGCTAGAGGCCTGCCAGCAGCCAGCTGAAAGTGTGGCATGCATAAATGATTTTATCCTATATATCTATATTATCTTACATGTTGTTTATATTATTATTATTATACAGAACTCCCGAGCAACACGCGAAGTTTCATCTAGTTTTATTAAAATATTAATTATATATGCATATATACAATCCACTCAAATAATCTTATTATTTACATTAGCCTCTATTTTATTATGGATCCACTTAATCCACTCAAATTATGGATCTGATACGAAGACGGCGTTAGCGAGCTCATGAGCACATCGGTAGCTAGAGTGGGCAAGCTCGTAGAGGACAGTGGCAGGGAGAGCCTATCGGCGCCAACTGCGCTTATGGTGGTGGTTATCAACGGGGAAGATTGAGATGTAGTGGTTTGATCCAACTTCATGCGGGGAGAGGGGGGGAGGTTAAGGAAGAAGACATGTGTGTCAGATATCGGATTGAAATTGTGTTGAAATCAACTAGAGGAGCAACACACGAAGTTTCATCTAGTTTTATTAAAAGATTAATTATATATGCATATATACAATCCACTCAAATAATCTTATTATTTACATTAGCCTCTATTTTATTATGGATCCACTCAATCCACTCAAATTATGGATCTGACACGAAGACAGCGTTGGCGAGCTCATGAGCACATCGGTAGCTAGAGTGGGCAAGCTCGTAGAGGACAGTGGCAGGGAGAGCCTACCGGCGCCAACTGCGCTTATGGTGGTGGTTATCAACGGGGAAGATTGAGATGTAGTAGTTTGATTCAACTTCATGCGGGGGGAGGGGGGGAGGTTAAGGAAGAAGACATGTGTGTTAGATATCGGATTGAAATTGTGTTGAAATCAACTAGAGGTAATCCATCCGATTTGATGATTTTTGAGCGTGCAGAACATCGCGTATCGAAATTGAGGGGGTAAATCATAGTAATACCATAAAAGTTTAGAAAGGTAATTTAATTGTATTTTCCCTTTTCGATCGTATATAGCTAGGTTCGTTGGAGTTTTAATCTCCGAATCCACCAATTAATTGGTCGTTTTGTTTTCTTTAATGAAATAATATAGGGACTGTCTATGTGTCACCCTAGTGAAAAAATTTATAAACGCACTAGATTTTCTGTCCGTCCGATGGAAATCCTCACCAGCGATGCGAGCGCACATGCCACATGGATCTTGCCATCCTCGCACTTTGCCAGGTGGATCGGATCTCCCTCCTGGACCCGTTTTTTTGTTCTTTTTTTTTTGCGATAGAACCCGTTTTGTTCTGTGGGCTACCATTTGGCCCATTTTGTTCTGTGGGTTAGCATTTTGACCTGTTTTGTTTAGTATTGTGGGCTAGCATTTGGCCCATAGGCTATAGAGAAAAAAAATCACTCCTCGTCAACTCAGGGACGTAGTTTTCATGCAAACTGAATTCGCCACTTGGTTGTGCCTGATTGTTGGAAATTCAATGTAATTTTACATGTGGATGAATAGTAGTGGAGCATGGGATTCTGCAGATTAACAAAAAATAGCTTTCTGTTAGTCTTGGAGCATGCAGATTGGGTGGAAAAAAAGAACACTTGGTGTGCCTACCTTCTTCGATTAGTTGAAGAAATCATGAGGTCATGTTATCACCTTTTACCTAAATGACAAAAAATGCTTAGCGTTTGAACCGAGCAAAAAACATGCAGTTAATTACTTAATTGAACATTTTTTGGGAGATGATATTTGCTGAAATATTTACTAAACTTTGCACTAAACAAAACCACTTGAACTTTGCCATCACATCCATGTCTGAAAAATTTACTGAACTTTGCACTAAACAGAATCACTAAACCTGCATCACAACACATCATTAGGCGCCCTAGGAGCCATTGCTCTGGTAGGACCCCTTCATTCTGCAAACATGGGCTCTCAGCAAAAAAATTGTCCACAAAATGAGACTACTTCTTCAGTCCAAAAATTGGCAACTCAATTTCACCCGTTCCCTATCAAAAAATTGCAAGAACTCAGTTTACACATCACTAGCAGAGTACAGTTCTACAGAGAGCACAACTTGTGATTTCAAAAATTAGCAGAAGTCAAAACTAACAAAACTATGTGTCATTAAAAGCATGGAGATCACGCCGAAGATGGAGGAGAAGAAGGAGAGTCAAACAAATAGATATATTGGTGCACAACATCTTAATTTTTTATCATAATAGGGCATAAGAACAGAGCCAATTGATGCCATGCCCATAAACCAGAAAAGGAGAAAAAAATGGAATTGATGCGCTAATGATGTCCAGAAAATGAAAACATCATCTATGATCAACAAGGATAATCTTAAAAATGCACCCATGGAGGCCTTGACACCTAGTATTTCAGATAACACAAGCTTTTACACTGAAATTTACTCTACATGATTGAAGTTTGCTTACAAAACTACTCATTTTAGTACATACATACATAGCTAGTTTTCAAGACTGTCTAACTGATTTGGTCAAAAAAATGGTATTATCAGGAGCGGACAAAACTAAACATTGTTAGAGGTAGACAAAACTAAGTGCATTTAACGAAAATGAAAAAAACTAGTAGATAACAAAACTTGTAGCTCACAGAAGTAGTATATATGTGAATAGCAAAGTTATAGCTGAACACATCATTGACCCCCCTACCCCCCATTGCAGATTGATTATTTGCTGAAAAAAAAGAGAGGTTCTAGCTGTCAGTATATCAGTGAGAATATTAAAATTACAGAACAGACCTATAGTGCGCATACATAAATCACTATAGATGTGTAGAAACATGTCTTTTCTAACAAAGAAGGGATCAAGACAAAGCTAACCAAATGCCATTTCAGCCATCTAACTATGTGCGTAGTCCAACAAGATAGATAAAAGAAGCAAGCAGAAGAACCCCGCAAAACTAATTGCTGACAAAGCAGAACTAATACCCATTTTGAACTAACAAAACTAGGAATTCTAATGGCAAACAAAACTACTAATTGCAATATTTCTGACAAAACTTGAAAGTAGAGGTTAAAGTATTTCTGATTGAACTAGCAAAACTAGGAATTCTAATGGCTAACAAAACTACTAATTGCTGTATTTCTGACAGAACTTGAAAGTAGAGGTTAAAGTATGTCTGACTGAACCAACAAAACTAGGAATTCTAATGGCAAACAAAACTACTAATTGCAATATTTCTGACAAAACTTGAAAGTAGAGATTAAAGTATTTCTGACTGAACTAGCAAAACTAGGAATTCTAATGGCTAACAAAACTACTAATTGTTGTATTTCTGACAGAACTTGAAAGTAGAGGTTAAAGTATTTCTGACTGAACTAACAAAACTATGAATTCTAATAGCAAACAAAACTAATCTCTTTTCTTACAAAACTATGTTTGTTAAATGCAATCATACCTTTTACCTAACTAGTACAGAACTAATGCACACTAGTGATCACCCAACAGAAATATTTTAGTTTTACCAAATTTAGTTAAAACTATATACCTTTTATCTAACTAATGGCTGACAAAACTAATATATTACTTTGCAAGCAAGGACATGCATGGTGAGAGCAACAATGGGTATCCTCCTAACCAACAGTGCCCTCCACAAGGCTACATGCCACCACCAGGACAATACCAACCTCCTTGTGGGGCATACCTAATTCCTCATAGGAATTACCCTCTACAACTACACTAGGCCAAATTTAGAACTAGACAGATTTCATTTCAATATATTCCAGCTAGTAAAGATAAAACTAAACTAATAAACTCTTTATACAAAATTGTACGTGCATGTAACCCACATCCCCCCTGAACAATACAAAGAAAAAGTCCTCGGCAAAATGGGTTGTGGGAAGAGGATGCAAATAAGGAACAAATGTATTCAGGTTGAGCAGAAAAGAAAATCTGGATCTTAATTCTAGTTCTCATGCTCCACAAAATCCAAAAGAGGAGAGTTAAAAAAATTTGGACAAGAGTCTCTGGAAAAGAAAAGGATCAGGAAGACAAGGAGCAGGCATCCACTGTTGCTAACAAAACTACAAAGGAAATTAAATTAGCTAACAAAACTACTGCAAAACAGAACATCCTTTTCTGGCAAGAGTTGATAAAATCAATTATTACAGAACATGCTTAGTAGATAAGGATTTATTTTAGTTTCCTTTATAGCCATAAAGTGTTCTTTTTGAAAATTTTAAATACACATGTAACCGAAAAGACAATGTAGTATTACTAATAATTAGATTCTTGCCTACAAAAACTATTCACATTCATGGAACTCCCGTTAAATTGTAACTCCAATCTGATCTAAAAATGTTGTTGCTCTAAAACCTCTGGTACTGGTGCTTAAATACCCACTGACAATTTTCAGGACTGCAATAAGAAACTAAATTAATACTGAAATGCATTTATACATGATTAAGAACTGAGCTACGTAGAAAATACTGACGCTCCAAAGAAGATGTTGTCAACACCTGATAACCTAACAAAGTCAAATCATGAAAATAATCCTAAAAACAGAACTGCCATCACAAGATCTTGTCCCCAGTGTCAACCAACATACACACAGCCTTCGTGTAAAACAAAAAAAATCCATTCCCAACCAACAGATCTACCCCCCCCCCCACCACCCCCCCAACCTGTTTTTTTGGAGCATTAATACATTAAACAAATACACAAATCAAGAAGAAGGGCAATAAGATTGAATCAGCAAATCAGCGGCAAAACACATACGAAAGAACACATGCTCACCTTGCTTTTTTGGATCTCGACGCCTGACCTTTTTGGATCCAAATCAAGACCACCAGCAACTGCCCTGCGATTCAGCGCATCATTGCTTGATGAACACAGAACAACTGTTGGTGCCTTGCCAAGTGCAGGGGAGCGGGTGCGTGCGCCTCGCCGTCAACCTTGCCGAACTCCAAGCCTGTCTCCACGGCGGCGGCGGAGGACGCCGCAACATGCTCGCTGACTGAGCCTGGCTGCAGCGATGTTGTCCGGCTTTTAGCCTTGCTACGCGAGCTGGAATCCCCCTGCAGCCGAGGCGGATCGCCGCCGCCAGATTCGCCCCATCCCCTCGATGACATCTCAGCGGAGGGCGCCGCACTGCGCCCACCGGCTGAGCCTGGCTACAGCCGAGGAGTCGTGCTCTTGGCCTCCTCCCGCCGGCGAGGAGAATCGCCGCCGCCTGATTCTCCCCCTCGCCTTGACGACATCGAGGTGTGGCGCTGAGAGTGGGTAGCACTGTTTGAAATAAAAAAAAATCCCCGCCCTGTGTCGGAAATATCGCGAAATCGTATTTGGATCAGGTTTGGTCGAAAGCGGGTCGACCCAAAACGGATCCTAACCCGACAAAGGCTGCGGGCCCGATAACGTTATACAAATCTTGATGTCCATCCAAAGGCTAGGATTTCTAGTGCGATTTGGGAAAAAAAACACGCTGGTGATGTATAGCAAAAACCAATAATATAATCCTGCAGAAAAATCAAGGTGGAGGGGATCAACGTCAAGGCAGTCTCTCGGCAACGTCAAGGGCTCCGTCGGCGTCGGACACTAAGATGGGCCGAGGTGTTAGGCCTGCCTTTTGCGTGCGTCCAGCCCATTAAGCCACAAACACATTCTTTCCCCTTGTTATTGGAACTAGTTACTCATCATTAGAACCAATCATTACAAATGTGTACGTTTGCTCGTTTTAAATTGGGTTTCTTGCGATAGACCAGGAAAAATTAATATCACGACCAAGGTTCGTCGGAGTTTTAGAGCTCCATCGGTTGTTAGGCCTAACAAGTCAAAGTCAAAGCCAACATTTGAATTTTCAAAATTAATTTTAAAATATTTTCAACATAGTTTTATTAGAGATATTGATTTTTAAGTCACTAAAAACAAATATATGCGCGCACACATACAAGAGTTTTACTTAAAGTTAATTATTATTTCCTAATAAACATTTTTAACTTATTAGGCAGAGTGGATGACCGATGAGGCGGTTAATATCCGAATTCAATCCGCCGTTTTTGCCTTTTTTTTATATAAGCCTGAACAATAAACAAAGTCGATTTTGATTGATCTGTATTTTTTTTATTTTTTCTGTGATTCCAAAAAAAGAACTGAAGGGTGATGCATTTTTCGTTTTCCATAGGCCTGCGGAAAATCAATGTCAAAGTAATGGTCACGTATAATATCATAAGCGATAAACGGGTCGGCCACACAAAAAAAAAAGCGCCAATCGGAGTTTCGTACTCCGACTTCCTTGCGTCGGGATTTGCTTACCATATGGGCCGAGGCATTATGCATGACAGTCACAGAAGTCCGATTTAAATCCCTAACAAACTATTAGCTGAATCCCATCCGTATCCATCAACCGTAAAAACGAATATATCAACCCTTTCAACTATTAAAACCGGTACTAAACTACTCCCTTAGCTATTTTAAAGGCAGTTTTTGTTTACGGTACCAGCTCCCTTAGCTATTTTGAATATGTTTCTTTGGTTGAATCGGCACCTTAGTGCCGGACCCAAGCTTGAGGAGGCAGGGAGTAGGCCAAGGTGAGGCCGTCGGTGTCGGACTCGAGCTCGAGGAGGCTAGGAGCAAGCCAAGGTGAGCCGCCAATGTCGGACCCGAGCTCAACCACGTCGCGGCTAGGGAAAGATGGGGAGGGGAGAAGTGAGCATTGACAAATGCCCTCCCATATTTTTTTTCTCACTTACTTGTAGGCCCACGCCTATTTTTATTTCCTTTGATGATTGGGTTGCTACGTGGATGTCACGTCAGTGAAATCATCCTCAAAACAGTTGAGGTTGTTGTTTTACACGGTTTTAATAATTGGAGTGGTTAAGATACCCGGTGTAACGTTGAACAATAATAAGAATCAAATTGGACTACCAGTTGAGGGAGCCAAATTGGACTATCTGTATAGTAGAAGAACTAGGTAACGTGGGCCAAGAGCCCAGGACAAATTAATTATGTGGTATGCCTGCATGATCCTCCTGGATTAGAGTAGATCTCAATATCTGATAATTATGTAGTGCTTATGGTTGATTAGCTAGGTATAGTAGGCGAAATTCCGGGCAGTATGAATAATACTTTTCGTTTTATCGTTTTGAAGTGTCGAATTTTATTTTTTTTCTATGAATAATTTCTTAAATATCTGTGTTACAAACAACAAGAGTATAAGATATTTGAATAAAATCATATATTTTTGAAATATGTTATAATAGAAAATAATCGTTAAAGATTTTTTAGAGCGTTTCTTAATCGAAAACGATAAGTAATTATTAGTACAGAGAAAGTAGTTGATAAACTAATGCTATATATGCATGACGATCGATCGAATCTATGATTTGATTCGCGCGGTGCCTGGGTTAAATATATAAAGAAATAAAAGGTGTGAATGCATGCATGGCCACATTTCATATTTCATATAAAAATAAAAAGAAAAGAGGGAATCGATGGTAAATTAAAAGAGAGAAAAAGAAAAGGGAGGGAGGGAAGGTAGGCAGAGAGATGAGGGCAGGTTAGGCTAGCCATGTGCAGCCCAACAAGGTGGCACGTTCTCGGCCTCGATCTGTGCAACCTACCATGCTGCAGCTGATCGATCTGGTTTCTGCTTTGCTGCAACTCACTACTGTACTGTACCTAACAACTGTACTAGCTAGATGCTGGCCGGAGTTGTTAATTATACATAGTTGAGTGATCGCTAGCTCCATATATACTCCTAATAGCTAGAGGAGGGGTACTTTCAATTCGTTGCTCTCCTCCCCGGCCGGTAGGCAGCAACAAGCTGTAAGCACAAGTATCGAAATGGTTAGCGGTGATGTAGGAGTAGTAGTGTACTACCTGCTGCTAGTATTAGTGGTGGTGCAGGGGTGCAAAGGCAGCAGCGCGGTGCAGGGTGAAGGTCGGTGGTACAACGAGAGCGAGGCCATCGGTGGTGCGGCGGCGTGGGGGAACGCGAAGGCGACGTGGTACGGGCAGCCGAACGGCGCCGGGGCGGCGGACAACGGCGGGGCGTGCGGGTTCAAGAAGGTGAACCAGTACCCGTTCATGGGGATGACGTCGTGCGGGAACCAGCCGCTGTACAAGGGCGGCAAGGGCTGCGGCTCCTGCTACCGCGTCAGGTGCAATCGAAACCCCGCCTGCTCCGGCAACGCCCAGACCGTCGCCATCACCGACATGAACTACTTCCCCCTCTCCCAGTACCACTTCGACCTCAGCGGCATCGCCTTCGGCCGCCTCGCCAAGCCCGGCCGCGCCGACGACCTCCGCCGCGCGGGGATCATCGACGTGCAGTTCGCGCGCGTGCCGTGCGAGTTCCCGGGCCTCAAGGTGGGATTCCACGTGGAGGAAGGGTCCAGCCCCGTGTACCTGGCGGTGCTGGTGGAGTACGAGAACGGCGACGGAGACGTGGCGCAGGTGGACCTCAAGGAGGCCGGCGCCGGAGGAGGAAGGTGGACGCCGATGCGGGAGTCGTGGGGGTCGGTGTGGAGGCTGGACTCCAACCACCGCCTGCGGGCGCCATTCTCCATCCGCATCCGGAGCGACTCCGGCAAGACGTTGGTGGCACCCGACGTCATCCCCCTCAACTGGACGCCCAACACCTTCTACCGTTCCTTCGTCCAGTACTCCTCCTAGCTAGCTACTCCTATACCCATTAATTCTTCCCTAATTATTCCTTCTTGTTATTATATTCTACCCTTATATATATATATATATATGTTATTAATTCCGATATCATCATATATAATTAAGTACTAAAATACATATGCATATGCATGCATGGACTAGTAATTACTAGTTCACATATATATATATATATATATATATATATATATATATATATATATATATATATATATATATATATATATATATGCATGCACTGTGTGTAATGTCGATCGATCGATCGATCGTCCTCTCTGTTTTGAGTTGTGCTCCCGCTGGACGCTAGCAATAGCAGCATGCATGGGTGCGCGCCAGAAAGTACGCGCGCGCTCCCTACTTGCTGGTGGCAACTCCCTCGATCTGTTGATGATTCTTCCGACTTAGCCCTCTCATCCGCTAATTCGTCTCTTCAACTAGTATTCCGATCCGCAAATTAATGAGGTGGATATATAGGGTCAGCGAAAACCGAATCGCTCAAGAAAGGAGGTTTAATTTGAATGGAATGCACATGCTCAAAATTAAGGCCTTTGAGCAACTCAAAAAAACAATGGTATGTATCAGCTCCCGTTTTGAAATTACCCGATGTCTCTACAGTGATAAATATGCAGTATGTATCGATGATGACAAGAGTACATTTTTATTTATTATTGGTCGACACAGGCCAAGAAGAATTTTCAACCGCACAGGTAGCAGCGTGTCAGGTATGGCTCGATTGATCGATCGAGCAGGACGTACGAGTGTATACACTAGTGAATAGATTTTTCTTTCAAAAGATCACAGTAAAAACACATACCATCATAACACGCACACATCCTATTCTTAGGAGCATCTCAGCAAGACTGGACTAGTATATTTTGAGATTGACGAAATAATCACGGACGCCTCACTATCGATGATTACATTATCTATCACTAAAAGAATAATTAGCTGTAAATGTGAGCATCACACACGTGTCACTTCTAGAACTTGAACCTGTATGAATTGGTTCCACCATAAAGAACCTAACCAGTTAAGTTACGCTCACTTTGCAACAATGAATGGATTTTGAACATTCGAGAAGATTTTTCACGTTGATTGCTTATTATTCAAATGGTTACTGGAATATTTTCAATAAATTTCATAAAATAGATAAATATGTGATATAAAACTTTTAAAATATGAAAGTTAAAATTCAATTTTTACAAGCTGCAACTAAAAGAATGAATTAAACTATTGCTAGTCAAATTTATTGTTTTTTAAACTTGTAGAAGTTAAATTTGACTTTTTATGTTTGTGAGTGATCTATCACATATTAATATATCCTATTGAATTTTAATTTTTTTATAATCTTTAGATGACATGGAAACAACGACACGATGTTTCTTGAGAGTTTGGTATCTTTTCATGTACTTGTAGGCAAGTTTTCATTCCATCAATTTAAAAATATATTCATTTTTAGAGTGAATTTATCTTAAAATGTGCTATCTTTTTTATCTATCCCTCATCTCAATTAATCACAACTATCTCTTATTTAATTTCTTTTCCTAACCAATTATAATCTTTTCACCATCTCATTTTACATATTTATTAATTCTTGTAAAAAACCTTTAGAAATATAAGTGACGGAGGGAGACTCGCGAGGGAGTAGTGAGTCTCAGTGTCTCACTCTATTCACATGTAGCTAGCAGTCAAAGTAGAAATAGATTTAAGTAATGAAGCTCTCGATCTCATCACAAGCAGACATCCAAGGCAATCTCCATTCTCCAACCCTGAGAATCTCTCTCTGCATGGAGTCTAGCTGCTCCCTCTGTTTTTCTCTTTCAAGATAATGTTGTCTGCTGCTCTCTGAAACTCTGACGTACTAGTACAGTAGTAGCTAGGGAGATAAAAAGATTCCTTCATCCATTTGCTGTAAATTAAGGGGGTGTTTAGATGGGGCTAAAACTTTTTAGCTCATGTCACATCGGATATTTGGACGCTAATTTAGAGTATTAAATATAGACTAATAAAAAAACTAATTTTATAAATGAGAGCTAATCCGCGAGACGATTTTTTTAAGCCTAGTTAATCCATAATTATCAAAAGTTTACTGTAGCATCACATTGTCAAAATCATGGCGTAATTAGACTCAAAAGATTCATCTCGCGAATTAGTCCAAGCTTATGGAATGAATTTTGTAATTAATGTATGTTTAATACTCTAAATTAGTGTCAAACATCCGATATAACAGCACTTAAAATAATCCTGGAAACCAAACAGCCGCTAAGCCATGTGGACTGTGGTTGCAATCAACTAGCCGTACTTTGTCTTTCTTTTTTTTTTTCTCCTTTCTTCCTCTTTCACCTTGCTTACGTTCAAAACTTAGGATTCCTTTGAATCGTAAAAATAAAAAAATAGAAAAAAAACACATGATTCTAATATGAATGAAGTGTAAAACAAAAAATTATAAAACACAGGAAAAACATAATAATAACTGTTTGATTGGACCATAGGAAAAACACATAAATCAGATGAGAGAGATAAACTCAAAGAAAAATTTTCATGAGCTTTGAGCTCTTGCTAAGTTTTCTCCAAAATATCTATAAGATTGTTCATTTCATAGGAATTTCAATGGATTCGATATGATTTGAATCCAAGGCATTCATAAAAATTTTTCCTATAGAATTAAAATTCTCTAAAATTCATATGTTTTGAGATGAATGATCCCCTCGTGTAACATTTTCTCTTAAGTTCCGTGTAAATGGTTATAAAAGATTCAAATATTAAAAATAGAAAGTACGGTAACATCTATCGCTATACCAAAAATCATATTTAAATTCGATCAACACAATAAAAAAATAAAAAAGATTAATTCATATGTGAATAATACCAATACTACCATTTATAGATGGATTTGTTTTATTATTTCTCAAGGCCCCTTTGAGTCGCAGGGTTGAAAATATGGAGGAATAGAAAAAACATAGGATTCTGATAGAAATTGAAGTGTAAAACACAGGATTGCAAAACACAGGAATGATCGTTTGATTGGGGCGCAGGAAAAATACAGAAATTGGATGAGAGAGATGGAATCAAAGAAAATTTTCCAAGAGGTTGAAGCTCTTTTTATATTTCCTCCAAAACCCAAATACATTATGTCATTCCATAGGAATTTCATAGGATTTGGAAAGTTTCAATCCTTTAAATCAAAGGGTCAAATAGAAAAATTTTCTATAGGATTTAAATCCTATTAAATTTCTATATAAATCCTTTGATTCAAATGGGCCTCAATGAGTATAAGTTTTGGTTTGTTTGTGAATCTCATCATTTTTCTATTTTCTTTATAATTATTGGATGGCGTTTGAACAAGGTCACCTCCTCAGGGAGCTTAAAATACTTTCCCGAACTTGTGCATTATATTGCGATGCACTGATTTTTTTTCGTAGCGTTTCCGTAGAAAGCAATTAATGCCCGATGCAAAGCTGCCTTTACAGTTGGTTCTACGAACTTACCAGTAACGATCATCATCTGAAAAGGAAGTTGGAATTAGGTGCTGGACTGGCTGCACAACAACAAACAGTGTAGTAATATATACTGGAGTACATCTATACTAGTGGTGCTCATTTCTTTTTAATTCGCAGGTAAGCAGGCAGGGCATATGTACTTTTGGAATCTCCTATCATGTGCTGCAGCCTCTACAATTATATTATTATATATAAGTAAAATTCATACTCTCTCTATCTTGGAACATGTCTATTTTTTTTCTCTTCCGGCAATTCCGTAACAAGTTCATTTTCAAACCATCATTCTAACAGAGTTTGCGAAAATAAAAAATAAATATATTGAAAGTAGATAAAGTATTAGCATTTAATAAAGTGAGTGTAGTTGCCGTTTAAAACTCAGACTTGGACTGTTTAGAGGGTTTGTGATTTTAGTCTAATAGCGGCATGTCAGTAATAATCACTTCCCAAACCATCGATGAAGTGGGTTTGCATTGGTTTTAAAGTTAGGAACCAAACAAGAGGTGAAGGGGGTGCAAAACAGACATAATCTTGTTGGACAGACGTAGCCATGAAAGTTGGGCTGGAGAAGTTTGGATGGATGGGGGCCAACCAACAGACGAGGATGGGAGATGGGCTGGGCCTGTCCAGCGTAGCGTAGCAACAGGGGGCGGCGTCTCGTCGTCGTCTTCTTCCTCCTCTTCTTCTTCTTTCCTCTCCTGTGATTCTGTGAAGGAATGGTGGTGGTGGAATCAATCAATCAATCGATCGATCAATCAATCGTGCAAGGGAAGAAGGGAATCAAAATCGTTTTCTTTTTGTTTGTTTTTTGAAGGGAGGGGAGGGGGGCGATCGACCAGACCACCATGGTGCGAGCAGCGTCAGGGGCAGATCCACCACCATTCCTCCAAACACGCATGGTGGACATGCCCTCCTCCTCCTCCTCCTCCTCCTCTTCCCTCTCTCAATCTCAATCTCAATCTCACTCCCACTCTCAGGTTCTTCTTCTTCTTAATTCCATCTACTGTTTATTTGCTAATAATAAGTAGTAATTCATTCCTCACTCTCTCAATCCGATTCGCATTCGCATGCAGACTCACAAGGAGAAGGAGAAGGAGAAGGAGAAGGAGGAGGAGCAGGAGGAGGAGAAGCCCTCCCCCTCCCGTAACGCCTCCTCCAAGTACGACTTCGTCAAGGTCAAGGTGTGGCTTGGCGAGAATGCCGATCACTACTACGTCCTCTCCAGGTTCCTCCTCTGCAGGATGCTCACCGTCACCAAGGTCACATCCCCCCCTCCCCTCTTCATGGCTGCTGGGATCTCATCATCCCATGACGGATTCCTCTTCTTTTCAGATTCCTAATCATGTTGCCATTAAGATTGCCCTTGAACTCAAGAAATTGCTTGTCGACAACAGCCTCCTTGATGTGTATCTTCATCTTCCCCTTCTCACTATCTTTTCTTTTTCTTATTATACCAACAATACATTGCACTCACTGCTTACTACCTTTCAAGTTTTAGTTTTCCTTTTATCTATCTACTCCGTATCATTTTGACGCACCATTGTTGCTGTTATTGTTTTGGGACACTCCACTCATCCTCCTTGCCATCTGTATAATATACAATGCTGCTCCTCCTGTTTTTTACAATTATGTGTGTGGATTGCCTCTTGGGTTTACACTAATATAGCTTGGAATCTTGCAGTTCTCAGAGTGACTTAGAGGCTAACCTATTTAAGGTGATTTCTTTTTTACTTTCTTGTTATTATCTCTTCCTGTTCTGTGCATGTCTTTTTCTTTTCCTGTGGCCTCGAGTGCGCGTCTGTGTTTTGGGTGTTAAAGATGCTCGTCAATTTCTAACTCAAAAGGCACTACTTTTGCAGCTCATGGAGAAGCGGGGATACGGCGAGGATTATATTAATCGGTATAAAATGATGACCAGGTATTTGCAACGTGATGTTTGTAACATCACTACGATAATCCTGAACTAATAAAAAATATGCACATAATTTGGTTTGTCCGTGATTCATACTCTTATCTGCGTAACCGCTCCATTTTGCACCATTATGACATTCATGTTATGTTTACCCTCGCAAACTTCTACTTCAGTTGCATTTGGACAGTATGTTTATGCTCTATTTGTCTTGCAGATTCCATCATCAAAGAGTACCACTAGTAGTTTTAGTGTGTGGAACTGCTTGTACGGGAAAATCAACAATTGCTACGCAACTAGCTGGAAGGCTGAATTTACCAAATGTTTTGCAGGTTTATTTTCCTTTTCTGTTGCATTTATCATGTTTTATGTTCCAATATTGTTATAGTTTCTACCTTACCAACGCATTTCCTGATTGTAACATATAGACAGACATGGTGTATGAGTTGCTACGGACATCAACAGAGTAAGTTGTTTCATTTCTTTCGTCTCCATTATCCGTTGCTATATAATCTCTTTGTTTCACTCTTGGCCCCCACCCCCTCTTCTCTCTTTGCAGTGCCCCTCTTACTTCGGTGCCCGTGTGGGCTCGGGATTTTGATTCTCCTGAAGAGCTTATCACAGAGTTCTGCAGAGAATGCAGAGTTGTTCGCAAAGGTATGTGATATCTTGTGGGGATTTTTTTTGTTCACAATAAATTGTTCTCTGCATCGGATATGATTGGATACTGGTTATTCACTGGGTTGTTTTCTGGTTGTCTAAATATTGATTAGGTTTGGCTGGTGATTTGAAGAAGGCCATGAAAGATGGGAAGCCAATTATCATCGAGGTATGATGTCTTGCCTCTTGATCACTCGGTCAACCATGGTCCACGCGTCATATATGCATGACTGACAAATCCCCCAACAACCCCATCAGACCACACTACCTCCTGTACATGTCATTGTGTGACATGGCTATGAAGGTCAGGAGGGGTGTTGGTGCTGCATAGATCCACCGGTAGTACTTATCTGCATTTTGTTAGTGCTGCCTCACAAGTAAGCACAGAACATGTAACCATCAATTTCTTTTAACAGCATGACCCTGTGCATATTTCTATATAGATTATATCTAATATTAACAAATATTTTCATTGCAGGGAATTCATTTGGATCCAAGTATTTATTTGATGGACGAGGAAAAGAGAGATGATAATTCCAAAATGGAGAAGAAGGTAGCTGAATCTGAAAATTCACCAGCAACTGTAAAGAGCAAGACAGAAAAGCAACAAGAAAACGAACTACATGAGAAGAGAATGGATGACAGTCAGGAGTGCATGTCTGAGGAGGGTAGAATAAGTGAAGGGCTATCTTGTGCTAAAAGCCACGTAATTAGCTCTTCTGATCCTGCATGTTCTAAAGAGAAAAATCCCAGAGCTGAAGGTAAGCCAAATGGAAGTAAATTTTAAATCCCAGAGGGGAAAGGTCAGTAAAAACACCACAAGGTTCATGCAGACTAAAGCAAGTTTAATTTGTATTACTATGTAGTATGCACTAGTTGGACAATATAATCTAGGTGCAAGTAGGGAGAATGCCCAATATAAGAAAACAAGTGTGCAAAAGACCCAATCATACACTATTCCAGTATTCCAAATACCTGACTAACCAGGCCGGTTTGTTAGTTCCGATCGCACTGCTGAGGGGAGATCACGCTGCTGTTTTGTAGGTGAAGGACATAAGGATTTGGACCTACAGAAAAACAACGCCACCAAGAAGGACAAACCTGCTGCTAAACCAATAATAGTCCCAATTGTGTTGAGGATGTCTGATTTTGATCACAAGGTCTGTTTTCTCTGTGTCACAAATTTAGATACTTGTCTGCTCTTTTTTTTATTAAATTAAACCTAGTTCCATATTGGGAAAGAGGAGTTCGCATAAGATGCGATAATGATAGGCTCAAGGCAAGTGATTGCCCTGCTTACTGTGGTTGGGTTCATCCCCAGCCAGCCAGCCAACTGTGGCAGGAGGCTCCGATCCCCCAAACTTTGGATTTAATTTGGTCTTTGATGATCAACCAAGAGACATATGCCAGCCTTGATAGTTTATCTGCCAACTAACAAACCAACTAACTGGAGAATCATATTCCTAACCAAGCAATAACCTAGTAGAAACTTGACTAACAACTAAATCATTCCTTGGCATCAATGATGCTGGATGCTGTCTGTTCTGGTTTGTCCTCTCACTCCAATGAATTCGTCCACAACTGTTGAGTTTTAAACCTATCTATTTTTATTTCACATCAGTGCCACCTCTGAAAACTATTGAGTAGAATAAGGGAATGGATGCAGGCTCCCAGTAATCAATACCCGATGTCATGGATGCTTGTTTTTTATATATTCCGCACTTGTCATTTGTTTCATTTGTTTATATTCACTATTCACATTCAGATTGGCTTTGTTGTTTTGTTCAGGCATTGTTAGAGGAATGGATAGCCACCAGGGCTTCCAGGGATAATTGTCTTCCTCAGGTACTCATATAAGTTAGTGCACAATGGTTTCTTGTTTCACGCCAGGAAAAATGCCATTTAATCCGGATGCTTGTAATCTGCACCTGTCATTGAATGATTATAACATCTTGCTCTATGTTAGACAACTTATAAAAAATAGGACCTAACAGTGAAATGCCACATGTGCTGCACATTGTGACTTTTAGTAGTATTGCTGACAGTAAGAATTGATTCATCATTATACAATGGTAAGGACTAATATGTGTACTTCTCTTAGTAATGTACTCAGCTTTGTTAGCTCATTTGAGTAAGATCTGACTTTGTGTTATGTGAACTTCCCATTGTTCAGGATCATCGAAAGCTTATAAACAACCTTAAGCTTATTCAGGACTATCTTTGTTCTTTTGAATCACAGGTGATTTTTCCTTTATTACTGAAAATCATGAATTCTTTTCAAAAAAAAAAAATCTACCTACTACTGCATGCAGTTGCCAACCATGTACTCGTGCAATCATTTTAATGGAGTAAATATGTTCTAGTTCAAAAAATGGTTTGATGTATATTTTTTTCATGTACCCTTCATGTGCTGTTGTTTTCTCCCAGTAAGATGCTGCATTCATTTATCTCGCATTGGATTACCATTTGGGTTCAGTATTTTCTTACCTTTTGTTAAATGTATTCAGGGATTGACCGTTGTTGACATTTCAGCGAACTCATTCCCTCAGACACTAGATTGGCTTCACAGCTATCTTCTTCAGGTACCTGAGAAAAGGGCATATCCTAACGTGCTTTCCAACATAACTTTTTTTTCTTTTACGAATTAGTCAATTGACATGCACAACAATATAACAAAACATTGACCAAATGATAAGTTCTAAACCATTATTTATCTATAACAGGTCTTTTATCAAGCTGTCATATATAATTTACTTAATGAAGCTTCATGTTTTTTTCAAAAAAAAAACTTATAAGCTTGATTTGACAATATATTTATTATTTAGTAGTGAATTGGTCATTGATTTCGGTGTTATTATTTATTACTTGACAGTGCATCGAACGTGGCCTTTTGGCTGCATGTTCAGAAAGTCCCAAGCAAGGTGGGAGCTAACGGATACGGACGAAGCCCGCATTAGTGTTGCTTAAGATATATTGGTTGGTAATCAGGAACGTTGGCAGTGGTAGAGAACTCCATAGTTGGATAAAAGCTTTTTAGAGGTGGATCGGTAAAATGAAAAGAAACTCAAGGCCGGTGAAATAATGCGATCACTCACATAGACATAAGTTTTGTTTTTCCCCGAGCTCCCAGAGATAATAGATACTAGTACTGTAGTACATCTCGCAGAATTGAGACGAGTATGCTCAATTAATTGAGCGAAAAGACGAGTATAAAGAGGTCAATCTCGGGTCATCCAACATATCAACAAACTCGATCAGCACCTTGTCAATCTGTGGTCCACAGCGTATAAAAGGTCGGCTCCACAGCTTGTAACGTGGATTCTGAAACATCATTTTATCATCATCATCATCATCCTAAGTTTTCTCATTTAAGCATCAAAACTAGACAGATAGACACGCCATGCACGTACCTTAATCAGTTCAACCAAAGTCATTTGTAAGCCCCAAGGATGAGGACGTCTCACTACTAGACGTTCCAAGATAACCCTCATTATCTGATCCTGGATAATTTCCTGCATATTCCCATTGCGATGTTTATATATTCTTAACGCAAACAACAGTATAAACAAGAGAATCAATAACTCGAGGAATGAGCTATCTGAAATACCTGGGTAGCTTCTGAAAACAGATGCAGGATGATGAAGTAGAAGCAGTGTGTATGGATATTAGGGTAACGCAGCTGGTTAGCTATTGCATTCAAAACAAGGTACCGGCCCTCTGTGTCCAAGTCTGCCATAAGAGTTCTGAAAATATCCATGTGGGCAGTATGGATTGCTGGACCAGATGCACTAGACTCCGTTTGTTGCTGTTGCAAACCCTGAACATTTATGCATACACAAGGTTAAGGGTAGAATTGCAGACAAAAGGTCAGATAAAATCGAACAAGATAAGATTAAACTCACTTGGATACCGACATAGAGAACAAGCGAATTAATGAGAGGAACATTGTAGCGTGTCCCGGCAACACTAGTTTCATTTTGTGGCAGCAATAACTTTTGCTTCAGATCACTAAGAAACAAAGAGCCTTCTGATTTCTGCACAATACCAATAAGGAGCCACCAAGCATATGAAATGAAGGCTAATTCACACACTACAAAATCACACGTGTAAATTGTATCACCTTGAAGTACTCATCAACCTCAGTCTTCATCAGCTTTGATTTCAGAGCACCCTCAACATCCGACATGATTTGTGGAGCCATTGAAATTTCCGGTAACAGATCAATCTGCTAATAAACAGTAGGCCTAATTAAATAAATATTCTCTAACTGAAGTCCTAGTATCTCAAGCTGGAAGATTTTGTTCAAAAATGATGTCCTCTTACATACTTGCAGGACGAATTTTAGTTTAAAGCAGCCAGTTTTTGATTGGATACAATTCATTTAGATTATTGGATGTTTTTTCTTTTTATGATGTAAATATTCCTTCTTTTTTAATAGAGTAAATTTCACAAAACTACATGTTTTATAGTCCAAGTTGCAGAAAACCACACACACTTTGACACTTGGCATTTAAGTACATATATTTTGGTAGTATAGTTTCACAAAACCATACTATCAATGAACTATCAATGAACGTGGTTGTTCCATCTAGGATGAGGACGTGGCATCCTATTAATTTCGTGCCATGGCTAGTAATATGATGCCACATCCTCGTCCTAGATGAAACAATTACGTCATCTCGCGAGTGAATCCATTCATTGATAGCGTGGTTTTGTGAAACTACACTACCAAAATATATGTACTTAAGTGCTAAGTGTCAAAGTGTACGTGGTTTTCTTCAACTTGGACCACAAAATGTGTAGTTTTGTGAAATTTACTCTTTTTAATATAATTCAACTGTCAGGCAAAGCCCTAAAAGTATTTCAGTCAAAAACAAAAATCTCTAACTAAAGTTAGGAGAATGAAGAAAATATTATTGTAAAAACAAATGGCTACCTTCAAATTAGGACTAGCTGGATCTACCACTCTCATGTCTTGTGGATGAGCATCAAGAATGACATTGCGCATTTGAATGCAACTGGAAGGAATCATGTCACAGAAACTGAAGTGGTAATTGCACAGAAATTCAGGAAAGTCATGCAGTAGTATAAGTAGCACCCTCATAGTTCCTTTGTACATAAGACACATCTATGGAAAAGAAAAAAACATATAAGAACTGGGGCAAAAGAAAAACATATAAGAACTGAAGCGATAATGCTTAGTTTAGAGACAAAAATATTACTGGTTCTCCAAGTTCAACATTTCTCAAATATGGCTCCATGAATTTGAACAGATCAAGAATTAGACGCTGAAAGAAAGGCCACCCTTTTCTCGAATCGCACATCAACAGACTTGGCATGAAAGTTCTGTGACTCACCAACTCAAGCCAAGCAAAGCTATAACAGATAAATATTAATTAGATAAACTAATTCAGTTCAGAGAGTCAGGCAGCAGATATATTCTTTATAAGGCATATCGAAATAATATGCATTCTACAAACCATAAGCCATTCACCCAAAAACGTTTAGTAATTAAAAAAATGCTGTTAGAAATTATCTGCTGAGGAACCCCACATGTTAGCAATGTATAGTGTGAGTTTGTAGCTTGATTTTGCTGTTGTAAGTCAGTTCTAACTCGTGTAGTAACTGAAGTTAGTTGCTCTGTGCTCATTTACATAGAGGTGAAATGCTACTGCAGATAAAATCCCTCCGTTCTTAAATGGATGTCGTCCTAGAACCCATGCAGTCGAACCTCAAAATTTTAAATCTTTAATATAAGACATCAATTTAATATGTGAAATGATATTAATAGATTTTACATAAAAAAACACTATTGTGTAGTTTTATTTTAATATTTTTTATAAGTATAGCATTGAAAAAAATAGTGATTAAACATGTGTATTGGACTGTTGTAGACCGTGTCGATGTCCAAAACATCAAGTAAAAGGAAGCATAGGCAGTAAACCGTTGGTTATGGAGGGGCATAGGTGAAGTGATTCTCACTGGTCAGTAAAAAAGTTATAGTGTGTCGATGCAGTTATCGAGGGTGGGAAAGCCCACCCTGTACATCCAATTCAATGCTATCTCACAAAAAGTATGAGGATATCAGTTCATTGCATATTACTACCTCTGTCCTAAAATATAACTACTTCTCTACATACATCCTCTTATCAACCAGTCACAACCTTCACACATTCAATTTCACCTGTTTTCTTAATACCCGTGTCCAACCCCAAAACTTATATTTTGGGATAGAGGTAGTAGCATCTATATGTGCCTCCACATGGGCACATGGTGTATCACTATATCTCATGGACGGAGACTACAAGGGTGTACAAAGGGTTAATTCAACAAAGCACTTGGAAAAGGAAAATGTTCAGGAGTTGACAGGGTATGGTTCGCTTCTACTGCTAAGGATATGGACAGAATAGTATATGTCACTTTTACATTTAGAAGCTAAACATTTTGTTCAGCACATTGGATTTATAATATATTTTGGTGCACATTGGATTTATAATCCATTTTGGTGCTAAACTGTAAGCATTTGCAAGCATTAGTTACAGGAAACCCGTTAAGGCAGGGTTTGACATAGAATGAGGAAATTGATATGTGGGGTCAAAAGTGTCGAACAGACCTCCAGGAAGGAATTCTCAAGGGTTGCAGTGCATGGAATGCATTTGCAAATGCAATCAAAACCTGTTACACCAAACCAAATTGTTATGTTACTGATTGTACTGCAACTGTACATTGTTAAAAGGAAGTGTACCTGGAAATTAGCACCATCACTATGGAGGTCAGAAGAAATAAGATCATATAGCAAACTTATAAAAAGCCGAAAGTATGGCCGGGGATTGAATGATGCTTTCTTCTCTTCAGAATCTCTCTGAATGATCCTAACTGCCACTAACAAAATCTGGACATGAAAAATCGAAGGGTATTACTTCGGATTGGGGGCTGTGAATACTTGAACATCCGAAGATTACAACTAATATGCACTAGGAAGTAACCTTGGGAAGAAGGCTGCATTTATTTGGTCCTGTTTCAGCAGATGAGTACTGAAGACATAAAAAATCACAGTATCATTTGACATGATTGCAATAACTGTAGGGCATGGCATCAGTAAAATCAAAATGTAACTCTACTAAATTTAATGTTTGTAGCTATCAACAGGAAATTGTTCTTAACAAGAAAATGTGGACACATTCACTACAAGATGAATAATACCTTTGTTTGTGATTTAAAAGACAAAAATCTAACAGCATGCCTGGATTCAATTGTGCATTCGCTTATAGTTTCATAACTAGAAAAGATATTTACATGGCAGTTGCATAACCAAGCCAGCATGTAATAACCCACTGGGTTTCTAAAAAAAATTCAAAGCTATAAGCAATAAGTGTAGAAAGAAATACCTTGAGCACCATAGCTACAAGCTTCGAAAAAGAATCAATTGGGAAATATGAAATTTTGAGTTGTTGTGATGACTTCTGAGACACTCCACCAGTAGCAACAATCTGATTGGGGACTAGAGAGTGTTTAACAGCAAGTTCCTGTTTGACTCGAACATTAAATACTCAAGTATAGAAAACTGAAGAACAAATCTAGTACAATTACAAGCTAGAATCATCACGGTGAAAATATGGAAGAAGCGCTCAGTAATATCATCTCCCATCAACACGCCAATCTGTTGCAGATGCATAACAAAACGGCCATATGCCACATCAGCAGAACTTGGATGATCACATGTATGGCACCAGTCATTAAATAGGCGCATAACCTATCAACCAACGTAACACATCAAAATTTTGCAATATACATAATTAAGAGAAAAATATGTCATCTAAAGTATAAACTGTATACAAATCATTTACAGAAAATCTGAATGCACCAGATTTCGTATTATATAGCAGCAACAGTATCATCTACTCCCTCCGTTTTTTAATAGATGACGCCGTTGACTTTTTCTCAAATGTTTGACCATTCGTCTTAAATAAAAATTTTATGCAAATGTATAAGATACAAATCACACTTAAAATACTATGAGTGATAAAACAACTCATAACAAAATAAATTATAATTACGTAAATTTTTTAAATAAGACGAATGGTCAAACATGTGAGAAAAAATCAACGGCGTCATCTATTAAAAAACGGAGGTAGTATGATTTATCAAGATTCAAGATATATGTTTGCTCCAAAAGTATGTTTAGCAAGGCAGAAAAGTTTAGCTGTGAAGTTGACAAGAAAAGTTTGGCTGTGACCATAGTTCCACCCACATGAAAATTGTTCTCTGGAGGAAAAGTTGATGTAACACCACTGGGTCCACCATGTAGAGCAGAAGAGTCACAGAGACCAACTTGAGCAGGACAAACACTACAGGAGGCATTACAGATTTATCAATCCAGTGCTGACAACTTCTACATAAGGCATACATAAGGAACTAGGAAGCCAAAGCCTGTGTACCTCGAAGGTTCTGCGATCAATTCCTCAGACAACAGTTCTGTCAATTTATATATAAATGGCGCAGTTTGAGCAGCAGTACAATCACTGGAGGTCGCTGATGCTGAATTTGGACTGTATGCTCGAGGTACAATAAAATTGCTTGAGCAAGTAGCTTTACCAGACTGACCAAAACATGAAGCGTCAACATGTTGGCTATGGCTCTGCCATACATGAACATAGTCCTGACATCAACAAAGCAAAGTACAGATACTCATGTGTACAGCATGGAAATATCACATGTTAATCTCAATTAAGGAATTTATGGTTTGCTGCTACACCTCGTACACTTGTTGGGCAACAGATAGATGCTCATGTTTAGGATGCAGTGCTTCAGGTTCATGTGCAAATCGACCCTGAGCATGGGTAAAAGCATCACAGTATGCAGAGCCAGCTGCCTCCCTTTGTTTCTTTTGTAGTGGAAAAGACTCTGTTATTTCTTCGTCAATCATTTCAATAGCCTGACAACATTATGTCATGTCATGAAGCCACAACAAGAAACTCAAATGCATCGCCATTGCAATGGAAACATATTGCTTGGCTGTAATGCTTAAGGGCTTGTGCCCAATCTTAATTGCAAAAGGAAAGGTCAGAGGTAAGTAGGTAACATAATGTTAAGCATAACATTCCTGTAGCTTATCATAAAGTCATTGTAACATGTGCTGCTTAGAAGCACCTATAAAACAAAAAACTTGATTGGTGGGGGAAGGACCGCCCCCACAGCTTTTTATTGAGAAGAAAAAGCCTCAACCAAAACAGCCGAGAAAGGCCATGAACCCAGCTTTTGAGGACCCACCCCCTATGGATCAGTCCTTAACCAGTGATTTTGAGGACCCTGCCCCCTACACGTGTTTTTACGAGGAGCCAAAAAGTGACCTTTTTTAACCAGGCCTGAAATTCGAGAGCTCCTTTAAAAAAAGAACAGAAAAGAAATGTGCTTCTGTGGGGAGTTAACCCATGACCTACAGGTGCTACTTAAGCACTGTAACCGCTAGGCTACAGTCCCTTTCACTTAGAAGCACCTATAGAAGATCCTGTTCTATTATATAACTTATGGTAATGTATCAAACTTTTAAGAAGTTATTTTTTTCCAAACTCGCTTGAAAGGTATAGACCCCAATATAACATATATATATCATCATAGTGGAAACAGTATGTGTTGCTGAGTAGCACTTTGTAAGAAGTCATGGAGATACCTTGCACATTGCAACAGACTTAATAATTCTGCAGCCAAGATCCAGGTTATCATTGATTAGAACATCGATTAGTTGCTTGATAGTTTTGTTGTTACTAGTGAGCGTCTGAATCTGACTTTGAAGATGATCTGTTAGTGCAACACAAAGAGGTTCCTACAAAAGAGAAAAATATATAATATGATTATAAAAAATAGAATGAAATTACTCCCTCCATTTCAGGTTATAAGACGTTTTGACTTTGGTCAAACTGTTTCAAGTTTGACTAAGTTTATTATAGACAAATATAGTAATATTTATAATACTAAATTAGTTTCATCAAATCAATAATTGAATATATTTTCATAATAAATTTGTCTTGGGTTGAAAATGTTACTACTTTTTTCTACAAACTTGGTCAAACTTAAAGTAGTTTGACTTTGACTAAAGTCAAAACGTCTTATAACCTGAAACGGAGGAAGTAACAAAATCAAAGTATCAAACTACAGAAGAAACAGCAATAGTGCACAGAGGAACAAGTTTTAGAGGCATTAAGCAGCACCTTGCAATTAGCATAGGCTAGATTTCCAGCTATTGTCCTGGCTATTGAATGTACAGAAGATTTTATGGTATTGTTATCTGACTCCAGTGCATAATCCTTGACAAAGTAAAAGTATCAGCAGGATATCAACAGCTCCATTAATAACAACAATTCTTTCTTAACACATGTCAGAAATGTAACCTTCAGAATAAGTTTTTTTGTATTTTGGATTGCTGTGCCCACACTTTTTTCAACAACAGGGCACAATATCTCTTTAATAGCCTTGTCCAAAGCTGTGTCCATGATTCTGTAATAGATCAGGATTTATCAGCTCTTCAGCAAAATGAATGCAGACAACAAAGGCATCTAACTTGTAGAAATATTAAACGTACTTGCTGTATTGCAATTGTCGACCAAGAGAGCCAAGTTTCGAACTTATTTTGCAGCGTATCTCATCATGTGGTATCAATTTCACAAGCTAGAGCAACAAAAGACAATCAGATAAAACGAATCTAGCTAACAACATAAGGTACATGGAAATTTATTGGGCCCAATTTGGTATTTCATAGGAATGTCATGAGAAACAGTTCAATTCCCATTGGAATCAGAAAATTCCTGTGTTTCAAACAGCGGCTTACAATAGAAGTGAAGCAAACCTGAGTAAGAGAAAATGGAGATTGTGATGCCAATGCTGTTTCTGATGGTGAAACCTGGGTCAAAGTATGCGAGGAAACATGCTTAGGCATCATGAAAGCAACATTGTCATCTTCTACCATGCTATTTGAAGGAAGATGAGGAGTTGCATACTGCAAACATAAAAAGTAACCAAATTAAATGTATGCCGTAATAATTAATAAGCTAAACTCAAAGCCAGCCTGATTTAGTACATTTGGAAGGCTCACAGCATGGGAAGTGCTACTGATAACTGACTGCAGTTCCACATGGTTTGTTGAGCGACTGATGCCCGAAGAGATTTGGGTTTGAGATGCAGCAACATCTTTGTTTGAAAAATCTGGATTTCCCTCAACTTCACATACTCTATCCTTAAGGAGGGAAGTTGGGTTTACATCTTTCAGATCCACATCAAGGTTCTTAAACAGAACCTGAAATCCAAAATAATGACAGTTAGCTAATATTGTTAATAAACAATACCTACCTAATTAGTCCCAAGGAAAAAGGATGCACACAACCTCAATCTCAAATTTTAGATTCATCTTGAGGTTTGGTAGATTATAGATCTCAGCAAGCAGACTAAGAATCCCCATTGTCCAGGGATTTGGAGGACGGTATGCTATACTTGACCGGCAAGGTTCAAGAATCTGCAGTGCAATTACTGGTTATGATAATAAGCATGCCTGAGTAACATGTTCTATAGAGACGAGAACAATCCAAACCTTTGAAGTGAATGGAATGACTGCTATCATCAGTCCTTTCTCATATGCCTGAAAACAGATCAAAAGACAAGATTGTCTGATTGGAAAGCAAATACTTGCATAATGCTGCATAATTTTTGTAATTGTGTTGCACATACTATCATATCTTTTGTGTACGTGTACCTCTAATACCTAATTCACTTCAATCGATGGCACTAAAACATCTTCAGATAGAATTCAATTGGATGCTTGCACTTAATACTCCACATGGCTTTCATAAATGACGCACACATGGTGAAATTGAACTAGGCAGCACCGCAGCAGCATGCAGCAGTATGCACGCATGCACTTGCTTCATGCCACAAATGCATTAAGTACAGAGGTAAGCCACAATGATGTTAAGTTGTTAGCGCAGGGTATCATGTATAGTAATTAATCAGTGCATTCTTAATCCTCACTGAATTATGTACTGGACCTCGAAATATCAATAGAGGGAGTACCAATTGGCATAGAATAATTCCAATTCATGCAACACAAAATACTGATGAATTGCAAACTTAACTTTATAAGTAATTTATAAATCCAAACTAAGTCGTCCACAGCATGTAGAAGGAGAATTTCATAGCTCCAGCACATAATTCAGTGAGGATTAAGAACATTAATATTTGATGAAGTTCTTACTCTGGGAAGGATTGGCAAAAAAATTGGACAAATAAAAAATATAACATCATATAAATAAATTTACAGATTCTACTAGAAAAGTAGTACCTCTACAATAAGAACTTTTGGGTCAATTTCCTTAGCTAGTAATGCCTGGTTCCTCCCGATGGTGAATTTTCCTAGCCAGCTTCCCAGATTTTTTAGCAAGGAGCGTTCCTCAGAACTAGATTTGATAAGATCCGATCTTAACAATATCTGAAATAAATATGAACTGTAAGTATCGACAGAGCTGTTACCACAAGACCAAAAGAGATATAGATTACGAGTTAACAACTCAACCCAACCTTGCAGTTCTCATATGTAGCCTTCAGTACTTCTTTGTTTAAGAATCTTGAGTTCACTTTGACAAAGAACTTCAAATACAAGTCATGAAATTTTGGTTCAATGCTTGCCCTGCCAAGATAAACATATAATTATAATTCGATATATTCACAAAAATCACAAAAATAGAAAGGGAGAAATATTAATACGGTACCTTTTCATGACCATGGATTGTGCAAACCAAGGATAATAACATTCTGGGAGTACCTCAATACATTCTTTTGCCTTAGCCTCCATATTTGAGATTGATATATTATTAATCATAAACATGATCTTGTCCTGAACTTCAGATGGAGGAGACTAGGTGAAGAAAAAAGAATCAATCAGTGAGCCCAAGTTATGTTTCCTCCTACAGGGGCATATGCTATGGGAAAAAAGTTCATTTAAAAAAAACAACCTCAATGGATGTGTATCTTTGCTCTGCTGCTGCTACAAGTGTCCCAATATTTAAAGGAGTTCCAAATCCTGTAGAATTGGAAGGCTGTCGAGGCAACCCTATAAAAGATGTGGTCAACCATATAAATATTTTTCTCTCGAAAAAACATATAAATATTTAAGAACAAGCTCTACAGAAGTAAAAATAAATGAGTCGCCACTGTTCCCAGGATGTTAAGCTATCAAGTCACCTGAGCAGGAACTTTGAGGATGTGAAAAAACAGTAGCATGCATAGTAGATGGCACACTGGACAATTGATGAGGGGAAGGTAATGAAGATGGTTGATCAGAAGCCTGCATAAATCCAACATGTCACTTGCAATGAAATATGAAACCCAGTCAAGGCATTCAAGTAAAAGGGCATGTCAGTGACAACATATCAAATCAGTATGCATATTACGCAATTTTTTCATCCCAACAAAGGTTTAAGCACAAGTCACTGGGAATGTGGAACTATGCCGTGTTCCTCATCCTAGGAATGTTGTTCCCGTCCCAGGAACGCGAGAACAATCTTGTCCCTGCTTTAAAACCTTAAAAAAGTAACGTCCCGTGATCAGTGGCGAAGCCAGGATTTAGCAATTAGGGGTGCCAGCCACGAGACCAATCTATTAGTAAGAACTCACCGATGGCTCGGTGAATGGTGGTGTGGATGTGTGATTGATGTCATATCATGGAAATCAGCTGCAAGAGCAAAGAACGAGGACCCGTAGACCACAACTAGCCTCGGCCTCGCCCATTCACCCCTCTTATATTTATCAGATATATACGATTTACAGTTCACATTAATATATACATAAATTTAATTGCTCATATGGTTTTGAAATATTTCAACATATTCTATTGTTTATATATGTTTGTGTGCACGCTAATATAATGTAGTATAGTATAAAAGGCACCATTTGAAAAATAAAATGGATCATTAAATAGCACCACTTTAAAATTGAGTCATTCCATATATGGATGACACAACCTCGTGCCCATTCATCCTTCTAACTGGTGAGAGTTACAATTGGCTCATTGCTTACAATTAACCAAGTTAGCTACACTCAATTGCCAAACTAATTTGCTGATTACATGGGATGGAGGGAGGGGGGATGGGGGTTGTTTGCCAATGGGGGTTGCCAGGTCCACTCCGGGACCCCCGGTGGCTTCGCCACTGCCCGTGATCCCATTCCAAGACCCATCGATCCAGGAACTTTGGTAACATAACACAGCATTTTAAGAAACATTCCATTTCCATTCGTTAGTTCCAAACTAAAGCTCTCCCCATGATTTCTTCATTCTTAGAAACAAGTTCCAAATTAAAGTTCTCATTCTTAGATGCATGCCATTGTAGCATCTTCGCAAGAATAGCGCAAAAGACTGCACTAACCTTGTCGAACGGCTCAGTTAAGAGTAAATAAATTTATGCTCCAACTGGCAAATGCACTTGCATTTTACCTTTGGTAAAAGATATTGAAGGCTAGTAAGATTTTGGTGACAAGTTAGTTACCTCTATTGGTTCAATCGGTGCCAAACCAGTGACATGCTGCTCAGAAGAGACTGAGATGTTAACGCTGAGCTCATTCTGGCTCGATGAGATCCTAGCAAGGGCTCTCTCAATTGCTGAGACCATTTCAGTGTGTGCCCCACAAAGATGGGAAATCTGCAATATATGATTGCAGTAGTCTGGCCACTCTATAAGACGGTCCATAAACTGTTCCAATGCTGTTGTGCCAAACATAAACATCTGCACCCGAAAGCAATATCAGCATTACATATTTTGAAGAACAGACAAAACAAATGGAGATGCCAAGAGAAAAAGAGAATATAGTCCACCTTTGAATCAACAGATTTGTGCAAGGCATCAAGAACAGCATGTAGAGCAATTCCGAGCTCAAGGTGGGTCACAAGTCGATGCTTAATAAGAGATCCTATTGCAAAAATGAAACTGTGTTAATGGAACAAGACAATGGAGCACATGATGACTATCACACTTCATTAGAAAATTTCATGTCAGGAATCAAGTACTACATTTCAAACATAAACAATTATATTCCTAATTCAAATTGGTGCTGCAGAAATGGGTACAGTGTGAATCTTTATTGTATGTAATATTATGGGAAACTGAACGCATATGTGTAAGGAAATAAGACCAAAAAAAGATGCTGTGTATCGGCATGTAAGTCACAGAATTGTCTTTGTCAACTCCTAAAAACATGTTGCAAACATGCCAGTTACAGATAGAACAAAAATGGATTGTACAAAAGCATCAGTGTACTGTAATTACTATTTGTATTACATGGATGGAAAGTAAGATAGCTCTTGATGGAAGCATATATATATTTCTCTTTATAGGAACTAGAGAACATGTGCGTGTCATAGTTCTAACCCGATCAAAATACTGAAAATAAACACAGATTGCTAAGCAATAATAAGCAGAAAAACAGATTGTGCGCACAGAGTTTCATTACATATAACTGTGATCTAAAGAGAAAATACCTCAGGTTGTGGTCATATACTATGTATAGCTTATGGTGTAGTTAAGGAGAGATACACTTACCAAACAAAAGAGCTGACAGTTTAAGCTGCTTATCAGGATACTTCGGGAGGAACTTGTATTCTTCAAACATATTTGATATCATACACTTAAAAATCAATTGCTCCCTGGTCATCCATGAAACTAGGTAGTCAATTGTCAGCAGCTGAGACAGTAAAACGCAGAGAATACTAGGAAGGCCCCTTCTATGGTCAGTACTCAAAACAGTAAATGTTGTGTGTTGTGTTGTCTGCCCTTAGTGAAAGAACGGTGTTCTCACACTTGGGTCAGCTATAATCTAGCATGTGGAATTTTTCATACTATATAAATATCAGTTAATACAACCATCATTGTAACCCTTCCAAATAATTTTTCAGTGTGTTGACATGATTGCATGAACCACATATTAAGTCAGAAGGGCTACAGATTATGGATCATTGGCTATTCCAACTGAGCTCAGAAATGCACCTTTTTTCTGGAGAATTTTTGAAGCGAGATAGCATCTGTACAATTGCAGCAATGCTTATCTGTCCAGAAAACATCTGGTGAAAATAAGCATCTGCCTCTATTTCAACATTATCTGAAGTAGGGATCCCCCTTACAACAGAATCATGATTTCTCAACTCATAAGAAATATATGATTTTCTTAGTTCATCCAATTTTTGATTGGACAAGAGATGCCCTGACTGATACTGAAGAATCTGCAATTGTGCATCACAGGTGCCCATAATGACAACCCCCAAAATGCCAATGATCAATTACAAAAGTATAAGAATAAAAGAATAGGTCGAACCTTTATAAAGTGAGGACAATACTCCCGATATATATTCATAACAACAGCTTGAGATTCTTGAATTGTACCTTCTAGAGCACAAGATGCATTGCTCATAGTTTCTTTCAAGAAACTAACACAATCCTGGGAGTAATAGGGAAGCTAGAGCTTAGAGATGGCAAATGAAAACAGAATTGAGCAATACAACACATGGAATAACATAAACTTGTATAAATAAGATGAAGTGATATAGGAGCATAGTAATGCATATTACCTGAAGAAAATCGTCTTTGCAGACACGTAACTTTGCAATCAACCATTTCTCAAGATGGCTATGGTCTATCCTAGAGGCAGCAACAGCCAGTTTAATGCTGAATGCATAAGGGGTAGAATCAAGCACAGCAGATAGGATCTGTTTCAACCAGAAAAAGTAACTGAATGAAACAAATGAAAAATGGCAAAACCGAGAAGACATTACAACATTAGGAGAATAAATTTGAACACTGTGTATTTGTTGGGTCCATATGTTGATCCGAATTGTTGGAGGACAAACTTGCTGACTAGTGATCGACATGACAACATATTGCAACCGCTGGCTGGCTGCCTACCTGTTACTGTCAACACTACTTGTCTGCTATCACTAACACTCAATCACGGATAGATATGAGTGAAAAAGAGAGATGGTCCAAAGAGAAAGTGAGGAGATGGAAGACTACTAGAAGGTCAAAGGCAGCCCTATCGAAGTGGGAAGAACACCCGCTTCTTCAGTTTATGTTGCCTGCATGGCTGCATTGTTACAGTCCCTATGGCCTCCAATCGAGAAGAGGAAAAGGAAGAGGAGCTCAGTATTAAGGTGGTGGCCACAGGTTTGGGTTTAGGATTGCATAATTGCAATTGGGCCCTGGTACAACCCACATGGAGCCGTCTCCACCAATCACTGGCATAGACCTTGTCCTGGTCCCTGTTCATTCTTTTTTCACTATCATTGTGTTTTTCTCAAGTGAATTCTGCCAATGTCAAGACTTCTCCTCACACAGTCTTCTGTCCACTTCAATAACTCTTCCTACCTCTTCCCTTCACTACTACAACTCTACCTCCTCTTCCCTCCTGTGTTGTCTCCTGATCCTTGGGCTACCAGCAGCAGTTGCATGGTACCAGCATAGCCTCGCCAAGTCACCATACCAGCAGCCACTAGTTAGTCAACTTGTCAGAGTTAGTCCACAAGGATGTTACAACTTACAGGCTAGTCAGCTTTTGCTCGACACTGCCAAGCCAGCCAGTGTTAGTCGGCGACATTGGTGTCAAAAACCAAACAGTCTATACTAGAAGTATACGTGATAAATTTTTGCAAACAGCCAGTATTATTGGTCAATATCTCCAGGAAAACTTGTTATTTATTATTCTATGCGGTTGTGAAGAGAAAACAAAATAAAGGAGATACTAAAGAAGCTATAATGACATTGTTTAGTTGTGGCAACCGATAATGTAAATAACCATATATGTACAGACCTTCAGGTCTCGACACACATCAACAATCCTCAGAAGACAATCTGGATCAGAATGAGCATCAACAAATCCTCGAAGAGTGAGGGATGGGTTAATCTGCCAGAGATAGTTCACCACATTGCTTTTTGTAGCATCCTTCAGTATGGCAGGAAATACACGAGACTGCACTTCATATTGGAGGAGATTATACGCAGTCTGCACAGCATAGGGGAAAAAGCTTCACAACAGAAAAAAGGTAATGAAACTGAACATAGATTATTAATGGGGTATAAAGTCATACATTAACGTGTCCAAGACCAACAATTAAGAGTTCAGGACAATGTTGTAGAGGATACTCCAGCATTGATTGTACTGACACGGTGTGTCCAACTTCAGCAAGTTGGCATAAAACCACCATAAGGTCAAGGCAGAACCAAGCATGATTGTCTTGAATAGGACAGGCCAAGTCCGGAAATGCCTAAAGAAACCACAAATGTTAAGATGTATGAACGAACTGTGCTGTTGGAGACAGACGGACAGTTTTATCATGAGTGATGTTGTGTATCTTCATAAGTACCAGCTTCCTCGAACAATGCGAAAATGTAAATGTATCAGTAGGAACGGAAACTGCATGCTTTAAGAATGAAATTTGACCCTCTGTATTCGTCCACAATGACCCACAAACAGCATGAAGTGGAAAAGGCTCCTGCATAATTCAATCGTTATGTCAGACAAGCAACTTTAACTCCAGAAATATAGCCTCTGTACAAATACCTTGCAAGGATGGGCATATATAGACATCAGCAAACAAAAGGCTGCTTCATCAGGAACATTGAAACCCTCATGATCAAGATTTTCCATTACATGCACCCAGTTAGTGCTAGGGGCCTGCATCAGGAAGAAGAACCAAACTAAGTGCAAAGCATTTTTTTTTAAAAAAAAAGAAAGAAAAAGAAGAAACATGAAGCAATGAAAAATCATGAGGTCAATAGCTCACAAGTTCATTGATCGAATCCACAAGAACGTCAGTGTTCCATGTAGTCAATTGAGGTGAATCATTCATGTTGCTAATAGCCGATACAAACATAGCATATGTATTGTGGGCCTCCACAAGGACATTATGAGTGCCAATAACTGCCCCAACCAACTTTGATACTGCTACATCATCAAGAGGCTCGAATATGGAAAGAATTTCCTTACAATGAGTGGTATCAACTGTGCATCCATAACCCAACTCAGTTACGATGTCTGCCATGGTAATTTCTTTCTCAATTTCAGACAGAAGCAACTCAGAATCGTAATCCATGCTGCCAAAGCACATGTCCAGATGCCTGCGTGATACATAAAATTTAGGGGGGCAGATGCACGTGAACAAACAAACCTTTGGAAACCAAAGCATAGAAATTTGGGCTAGTTAACAACGGAATACCTTGACTGAATATCGCACTTGTTAAATGGGGTAGGAGCAAAAAACGGTGTCTCTTTGGTTTTGAATAGAGATATAATGGTATTAAAAGTATCCATATGCTTTGACAGCCCATCAGTCTGGTGAAGAAAGATGACAATGTCGTGAATTTGGTCATTTGATGGCGATTGAAGAAGATTTAAACACAACCCCTCAATTTGAGCAATTGAAAACTGTTGCCCTGGAAAGGAAAAGAAAGGAGATTGGCGGGTTAACATCTAAAATTAGGGAGAAGCAAGTCCAACGCAAACTCTGTGTTTACCTTTGAGCTTGAGGCCTGAATCCTCAGAATCTGACAGGGCAAGTCCAATGCCAACTCTCTCAGCTGGTGAGAGTTCCAGGACATTTGATAAGGTTTTGAGGAAGCCATCGCCATGGGTGGCAGGCATCGGTCCAAGAGCCTCACAAAAACAGGTGGTGAAGTATGTTTTATCCATACAGTATCTGAAAACGGCAGATAAAAGATCATGTTTAGATTTGTCCAGCTGGTGAGGTTTGAGGAGCACTTGATCCAAACAAACTTGGAGAAGCAAAATGCATCCATCCAGACCGGAGTCGACTAACTGAGAAAGATGGAACAGAGAAAATACATTAGAAAGATTCTAGTGGCAAACAGATGAACAGTTTATTTACTCATTCATTCATATACAAAAGCAAGGTTATAAGGCAATATATATATTATTTAAACATGAAAGTCATGATGATCATGAGAAACGCACAAATTGGCACGGGGAAATAATGTGGGATATGATGAATCTCTGAACAGCCGCCATAATAACAAGGCAAATACTTCATCCAATAATCAATCTACTATCGTTAGGAAGGTAAGGCTAAAGAATGCATGTAGTTGATTGGATGAGACAGGATTAAACTAAACAAGCCCTGGGACTGGAAGGGAGAAGAATTGATCGCGTGCCCTAAACCTCCTCCTCCTCCTCCTCCAAGGAAGGAATAGCATGGATTACAAGGGTAGCGAGAGCGGAAAAAAGAGGAATCGAATGTGGGTGGTTACATTTGGAGATGAGCCTCCGGATGAAGGAAGGAAGGAGCGGAACGTGTATCGCGGTACCTGGCAGAGGCGGCGGCGAACGGAATCGAGGTTAGAATCGGCGGCGGCTTGGAGCAGGAGGAGGCGCACCTCCGTCGCGGAGATTTCGGAGATCATCTCGCCGGAGCCGGCCGTCGGCGAGAGGCGGAGTTACTGCTGCCACTGCGATTCGATTGGATTTTTTTTTTGGAGGAAACTTAAAGCCCTAACTTAAACCCATCTCCCTCTCCCTCCCTCTAATCTAATCTCACAACAAAACAACAACCGAGAGATTTTGTGGGCCAGCGGGCATTGGTTGGGAAACTTTTTTTTCTTTTTTTAAAGAAATGCCACCTAACCACGATTATTATTATTATTATTTACTCACTTTGTCCATATAATAGTAAGTTTTAGGGTTGGACACGATTATTAACAAAGTAGTTAGAAGTGAGTGGTGGAGGGTTGTGATTAAGTTGTAGGGTTGGACACGGTTATAATAAGAAAGTAGGTAGTCCCTCCGTCCCATAATAAGCGTAGCTGTGGGTTTCAGTGCCCAACTTCCAACTTTGACCATCGTCTTATTTTAAATATTTTTTTATTAGTATTTTGTTTGTTATTAGATGATGAAATATGAACAGTACTTTATGTGTGACTTAACTTTTAAAGTATTTTCATAAATTTTATAAATAAAACGGACGGTCAAAAGTTAGACATGGAAACTTATGGTTGCAATTATAATGGGATAGATGAAATAGAAGTGAGTGGTGAAGGGTTGTGATTGGATGAGTAGTAGAGTTAGGTGGGAAAAGCGAATGGTGGAGGGTTGTGATTGGTTGGGAAGAGAATATTGATGGAAAAGTAGTTATATTTTGGGACAATTTTTGAAGGCTAAAAGTTATTATATTTTTTGGACAGATGAAGTATGACCTACTCTCTCTATCCCATAAAAACATATGTGTCACATCTCGTCCTATATTCGTTTTTTCGGAACGGAGGGAGTAAGTTACGTAAAACCACAGGGTTTTTTTTTCACATGACAAATAATCCCATATATTATGCCTATAAAGTTTTACATAATCACATTATTGATCATTGATCTACCACACTTACACTTTTGAGTTCTATAGTTACATATCGAATTTATGATTTCTTTATACAACATATAAATATGGAATCCATGTAACAATAATATTTTAAAATTTTGATATACTTCAAGATTGGTTAACGACATGGTTTTGTGAAACTGTATGACCACAATATTTAGGGTCATGTGTCGCATGTATTTTTTTCTGTGGTTTTGTGTAACTTGACCATAATAGGTGGGGTTTTATAAAAGGAAAAAGTCTGAATTACCCTCTAAACTATTGTGACAGTACAAATTACCCGCTGAACCATAAAACTAGACATCCTTCAACCTCGACTTTTTATATCAGATGAATTACCCACTAGCTCACTCTAGAGCAGTTTTGGTCTTACGTGACACAAAAGTGATGGTCCAGTCAGCAAAAAATAAATAAAAAAATATAGTGGGCCCACATGTCATACGTGGGCAATGGAGGATGGGAGAAGATATGACATGTGGGCCCACTATATTTTTAAATTTTTTTATGCTGACTGGTCAACCACATGTGCGCCATAGCGAGTCAGGGGTAATTTGTTCGGTATGAAAAGTTGAGGGTGAAAGATGTTTGGTTTTATGGTTCAAGAAGTATATTGTCGCAATAGTTTAGGAGGTAATTCGAACTTATAATATTCTCTTTTCAAGAGTTTCATTTTACATTCCTATCGAGTTTAATTTGCGTTCATCAAGCACAAAATTATATATGGACGCTCTTAATTGTTAAATCCGGGTCAATTGACCCCCTTTATTGTTTCGAGGGTTGTTCCATCCTACACCCTCTGTTCCACGAAAACTTGATTTTTTAGATTTTTTCCCAATATTTGATCATCCGTCTTATTTGAAAAATTTATAGAAAAAAATTTAAAAATAAGTCCAGCATAAAGTACTACTCATGTTTTATCATATAATAACAATGAAATTACTAATCATAAAAATATTTAAATAAGACGGACAGTCAATATTAGACACAGAAATCCACAAATAACTTATTTTGGGATGGAGACGTGGTGACGATGTGGCGCTAGTTGTTAAAAAACAATTAAAATTGATATAGACTGATGTGGCAGTGTGCTTAGAGTAGGTACAATAGCAGACTATAAGTCAGCTATAAATACATATTGAGAAGATAAAAGAGGTGGGAGAAAAGCAGCGGGCTGCACTGCGGACTCCGAGACACAATGTATGTATGGCATGTGAGACCATATATTAATATTAATAGTGTAGTATATGTTTATAGATAACCATTGTATAAATTGACTATTAAATTGACTATAGATTATTTGGAGCTAATAGTTGGTTATAATATTAAACTTGCTCCTATTCCTCCATCTCTCGTCTCTCTCCTCACGCGCATCGCCAGCTTAACACCGAGTGCATACCGTTGTGGAGGAGGCCATGGTATAGCAGTGGCATATTAACAGGGCACTCCAGTAAAATTAGCCCCACTACCTTCTCTCCTGAGATAAAACCGATCAACATCTTTTCTTTTAGGGCTTGATCGGTTAATCTATTCCCAAAAGATTGAAGGGGCTCTGATTTCTCCTATTGAGGATGAACCCAAAGGGAGGCAAGTGTGTTTTCCCTTTATTTTTTAAGGAATTTCTAGTGTGTTCAAGTCATGCTAATAATGTTATGTATTAGGGGAGGGGAAAAAGATTGAGAAGATAAAAAAATTAAGATGAGTCATTAGTGAATGATCAATTGGATATTAATTATTTTAAATTTAAAGAATTAAATAATACAATAAAATTTTTTAAAGCAACGTTTCTATAGTTTTTATTTTTGTAAAATTTGCTTAGTACTCCTGCCGAAGAAAGAGGGAGTTTTTCACCAAATCAGCTCCTGCCGAAGATAGCTTCAGACATACTCTCTTCGTTCCATAAAAAACGAATCTAGAATCGGACGTGACATATTCTAGTATGATGAATCTGGACTGTCCAGATTTGTTGTACTAGGATATGTTATATCCGGTACTAGGTTGGTTTTTTATGGAACGGAGGGAGTATGTCAAGTCTGAGTGAGTTTTGATAGTATTTTATTTGCAGAAAAAAAAGCAAATATGGCATAACCCATGAACGAAGAGAATGCGGAACCAAAGGCACAGTGCAACAAGTTCAAACATGAACTGTCTGACTCTGCGGGAAGTCGCTGTCGTACGTGAAGGGCAAGCAGCTTAAAAAAACCCAACTAGTACTAAATGTGACACATCTTAATACTATAAATCTAGACGTCCGGATTCATCGTACAACAGATTCGTTTTTATGAGACATGGAGTACTCCACTCGGCTAGGCGACGTTGTGTTGTGTGCCGTAGGTGCTGTTGTTGTTGCCAAGCTCGGCTTGAGCTGGGGCCGCCTACCCAACCAAACACAAGGCTTTGCTTAGGGAATGGGGAATTGGGGATTGCCTTGCTCCGCGGGATGAGATGAAGCAGTCGCTCGCTCACTGGTGTTAATCGTTCTCAAGGATGCAATGCTCCATCTTTCTTTTCCCAGTCATTCTATTTTTCTCTTGCAAAATTCAATTAATTCGAGTCCACCAAAGGAACATCCATCCAAAACAGGGTAAACGGAAGCTTCGGTTTTTTTAAAAAATTACAGTCAAAACAGGTACCCCACCCATTCCCTTTCTTTTTACTAGTTACGTGCTCGTGTTGCAACAGAATCTATACGATGATCAGTTACTGTTTTTGGCGGTTTTTTTTAAACGCGTAAAATAATTACACGTTCGTTTGGTTTTTCTTCTTCTTATTAAGGGAAGGAGAGAGTGAAGGATGACAGCGATGTTAAAGATATATTTTGTGATTGAACATCCATGTATCGTCTGCTGATTCAACAATTAGCATCCCAAGTTAACATTGATCTAGCATCGAAGGAGTACGAGTTAAACAAGACAAGTAGATAAAACATGAGCCCGATGAAGGCAGAGAACCCTACCTATTGCTAAACCTCCATCCATTTACAAACTAGTACTCAATTGTCTTGTTTAAGCAAACCGGGAAAGTTGATCATCATGATCGATCAAGTTGTAGTTGTGGAGAAGAAGAGAAAGAAGTAAAATCATTCCCTCCATCGGTGGGCGCAGGTGAGGTTGCAGCAGACGAAGAAGAGGGTCATGCCCTCCTCGCCGCGGGCGGTGGCCTGGAAGAAGACGGCCTCGCCGTGCCCGCAGGCGGCGCACCTCACCGTCTTTGTGCGCGGCAGTGTCGGGTCCGACGCCACGTCCTGCAGCACCTGCGTCCGCTCCCCGGCCGCGTGCGCCACCTCGTTCCGATACACGCACTTGCTCTCCGATACCTCCTGTTGTTGTTGTTTCTTCAGATTTCTTCTTCTCCACAATCGAATCGAAATAATCAACGTATGTACCTGGTGCTCGCAGTTCCGGCACGCGAACAGCAGCAGCCGCCGGTCCTTCTCCTCCTTAGGGTACAGGATGTTGTTGCTGCCCCCCAATAATCCCCAAATCCATTATTACAACCACCCGCAAATCAAAAGCAAACACAAGACAATGGCTGCGTACCACTCGCGGCAAAACTTCATGGTGCTCATGGCGGCGGCCGATCCCCTTCCTCCGATCCGCAGCCGCTCCCGCTCCTGCTCCTGCTCCTTTTGGTTTCTAGGGTTGATGAGTTGGGGGCGGGCCTCCTTTTCGCCTTCCACTCCTCCTACCTTTATAGACCGGGCCGGGCCGACTTCGAACTGGGCCTACTAGTCAGAGTCGGACTCGGACTCCGTCTCCGTCACACAAACATCCTTCCACTGATGGACACAACAGCACCATTGTCAATTACTTCCTCCGTTTCAAAATGTTTGACACCATTAATATTTTAGTACGTGTTTGATCATTCGTCTTATTCAAAAAAATTTAAGTAATTATTTATTCTTTTTACATCATTTGATTCATTGCTAAATATACTTTCATGTACACATATAGTTTTACATATTTCACAATTTTTTTTAATAAAACGAACAGTTAAACATGTGCTAAAAAGTCAACGGTGTTAAACATTTTGAAACGGAGGGAGTATATATTAACAACATTTCATACCAATTACTACTATTATGCATTATCATTTTATTTGCTTTGGAGTATTGTTATACTCAATCAATTACAAAATGCACTGTCCAGCCACGCCCACACACCCACCTCCTTATCACCAAAGCAATCAACACCACAAAATTTTGTACTGTAGTAATTTCCTCTTATCAACAAATAAAAACAAACAAACAAAATCGCTTCCTTCAAAAGATATCAGAACACTACTGTCTTCTTCAATTCATATGGTAGCACACGGAGCTCACAGTACGACTTTATAGCTTCTGCTAGGCACTGCTTCTCTAGGTTCTCAGATTTCACCACAAAGCTCTGTAGCGTGTCTCTGTGGGACACCCGTTCAACCTGCATACAATGTAAATTTCCAACTGTTTACATCAAACCAAACAAGACTACTTCAACACAAGTCTCTCATGTCTGCATCTTTTTACTACCACGAACCAAACATTGCATCGTATGCATACTTCTTTTGTTTAAACTATATTACCATCTGCTCAATGATTGGGCCAGCATCAAGTTCTGGGGTAACAAAATGGCTGGTTGCGCCGATCAATTTTACTCCAGCGTTGAAGGCCTGAAATCATTTCAAAGTTTTATCCCCCCAAATAAACAACCGGACTAGTACTTGTACCAATTTACTGATTTCAATACCTGTCTCGAAGGATTCCCTCCCTTAAATGAGGGAAGAAGACCATGATGGATGTTAATAATATCTTTGCCATAAGCCTTGAGAAAGCCTTCAGATAATATCTGTCACAGAGAAAATGGTCAGCTAACAGGTGTCTTCAGATTATATCTGTCACAGAGAAAATGGTAAGCTGACAGGTTTGATCATGAGTGGTGGAAGTCCATACAAGACGGTACTATTGACTTGTTGGATTCTTCCCAGAATTCAACCAAGAAAAGAAAAGTATATATGTATATCTTCCAATACAAACTGCAATGAATCGTATTTAATATATTCCATCCAACAATACACATAGGTTGTGTGTGTTGGGAAATATATATAAAAAAAACGATGAAGCACATTTACCTGCATATATCTTGCCAGTACCACAAAATCGGTACCTTGAACCAATTCTAAAATCTCTTGCTCTCTTTTATTTCCTGGGCTTGTCGGTAGGTAATGATAGGGGATCCCATGTCTCTCAAGGAAACGTCTGACATGGTTATCTTTAAGTCGATCATGGTTGCTGCAGAGGAAAGAAAAAAAAATGGCATATTTGTTTTGACCAAGAAGAAATTGGATATGAATAAATGCAGAGCGGTCAGATTTGATATATCGACCTTATGACACAATTGATGTCAACCGGAAGCCTTCCCTCTTGCCATCTATAGAGCAAGTCAAACAAACAATGATCCTGGGAAAAGGTAAAGAGAAGAGCACATGCATGTGAAAACAGTGGTATTTCCTTCAAAAAAAAACAGTGGTATATCTATATCAAGGCAGGTCAGGCCACGAAAAAAAGAAACAAGAAAATAGTGAAAGTAGCACAGGGGTAAGCAAGTGAAACCTGCTTCGAAGCGAGTACAGATATCTTGTATTTCGGGTCAAGATCAGGGACTCGAACAGTAGATCTTTGTGCGCTGAAGTGTTGTGACAGATTGAGGAAGTCGGTGCGAAGCACATCGCGCGGCCATAGCATGGGATTGTAGGTAAACTCACTGCAGTAATATGTATATTTTACAACTCATTTGACAACCAAGAAAAGAGAAGAAATCCATCCATCATCATCTCTTCACATTTAGGCCGTGTTTAGTTCCCCCCCAAATTCCCAACTTTCCATCACATCACATCACATCGAAAATTTTCCTACACACATAAACTACCAACTTTTTCTCCAAACTACCAACTTTCTCCCAACTTCCCAACTTTTCCACCATCTAAACACAGCCTTAAAAAAGAAGAAGGGTGTGGTTACCTACGGGAGTAGAAGACGGGTTTGTCGTCAGGGACAAAGACATCGACACTGTGGATGTTGCCACCACGCGAGGCGATGCACTCAGACAGCCGCGCCACAATGCCCACCGTGTCCTGTTCATATTCATTCAAAATGAGGAACCCACCCATAAATCAATCAATCGATGCATGCGCAGGAAATGGCAGACTAAGGAAACCACTCTAGGGATCACTCGCTGTTTTTCTTTTTTTTAAAAAAAGAAAAAGAAATCATGAAAAATCGGTGGTCCAATGGCAGATTTTGATCGATTTTTTCAAACTTTGACCAAAATGTGGTCCGGAATTCCTGAAAATCAGTGAAGTAGAGAAAATTTCAGAAATAATCGAACCCATCAATCCAGCTTGGTCCCTTGGCAGAACCCATTGGTGATGCTCTTGTTCGCTGCTGATGCCAATGCGTAAATGGTAAAGAGAGTGAAGCAACGTAAACACGCCTTAAATCTTAGAAGTGTGCAATTTGACATTCAGCTTTGAATGAAATATCAGTCATGGAGGGAGAGGATGAGAGAAGAGCAAGTAAAATGTAGAGAGGTGAAGGAATACCTCGACCACCTTATTATAAGAAAATAAGATTAGAATAGCTAGCAAATATAATCTTTAAAACAGACAAGACTATGTAGACGACGTTAATTTAGATGAAAGAAATAATAATTAAAAAAACAGAGAGGAGATTTGGAGAGTTCCAATGGGTGAAATAGAAACCCAAATGTCCAGTGTGTCTCCACACGTTCATCTTGTTATTTATTATATCCCCACCATGGAGCATCAGTCATCTTGTTCCTCCACTCCAGTCCATTCCTAAATTTCTTCTTCCCCCGATTTGGACAAACCAAACCATGGTTGGTGCTGTATTGTTTGAGGGGAGGGGATTCCATTTTAATGATTCCTCCTCCTCAATACTAACATCGTAATGATATAATTATTATTTTTCCAAAAAAAATAAAAATAAAAATAAAAAAATTAGAAGTAGTAAGGGTAGAGATGGATTGAGGAGGGAAAATAGGAGTAGACAGTAGTTACAGGGCATTGGAAGAGGTGGATGCCGAGGAGGTTGCCGACGGGGACGGCGGCGGAGAGGGGCCGGCGGGCGACGGAAAGCATATCTTCGCACTTTCTCTCTCTCGTCGAGAGAGAGAGAGAGCGGGATGGATACAGAAAGAGAGAAGGATGGATGTATGAGTAGTATCCATCCCCTCCATCCTTGCTCGTCGTTTTCTCCTAACTAATCTAATCTCCCTCCTGTATCTTGCGCGGTTGGTGGAAATGGAAGCGGAATCTCTTTTCTTTTTCTTCTTTTTTTTTATTATATACTAATAATAATAATATTAGTCTTTTGTTGATGCAGTGGAGAAGCGTACTTCTAGTTTACGCCATCAACACGGTGGTGGAGTCTGTGTAGTACCAGTTTACGCCTCCTGCTCCGCCTCCGATCCAACCGCATCCCTCCCAGATCTCCGACTTCTTTCCTCCTCCGACGATCTTCTTCTTCTTCTTCTTCCTTCATCCAAGACAACAAGACAAAGAGAAAGGCAAGCGATGGAGCTGGAGGCGCCGTCACCGGCGAGGTACCTGGTCGGCGCCGCCATCATGATGGCCGGCGTTGTCCTCCCGCTCGCCTACATGATCTTCCGCAGCAAGCGCTCTTCCTCCTCCTCCACCGCCGTCGCCGCTTCCTCCGCTCCATCCTCCTCCTTCTCCAAGCAGACGTAGGTGTGCTCTGACCCTTCCCTCCTATCCTCCCTTGCTTCTTCATCATCTACTGACCAACATGTCTTCTTCGTAGATCTCATCTCTCTCTTACATGTACAGGACCAAGGGCCTCATCTGATCTCACCAACTCCTTCTGCTGCTGCAACATCATCTTCTTTTCAATTTTTGTCAAGCAACTTTGCCTTCAGCTGCTGCTGCTGCTGCCATTCGATCCATGTACTACTACTACTAGATGCAACCATTAATCAGTCATCTGTGTTTGCTCTGCTCCTGTCATGCCATGAGTAAAAAAAAAACAACATATGAGATAGTACTATTATAGTTGCGCATTCTTTCCTTGCCGGTTGCCGCCACCGCCACTACTGCCACTAAAACGTACTACTAGGATACATACAGTTAATTATCGGTCTCATTTCTACTCCGTATGTTACAATCAATCTATGACTGCACTATAGGAGGACATATTTTCGTCTCCCTGAACCACACAGTTGGAAGGAACAAGATTCAACTTCAAAACAATTCTACTTAGGTTGTGTTTAGTTCGGCCCAAAGTTTAGAATTTGGTTGAAATTAGAGACGATGTGACTGAAAAGTTGTGTTTGTATGAAAAGTTTGATGTGATGGAAAGTTGGAAGTTTAGAAAAAAACTTTGGAACTAAACAAAGCTGAAAACAAGTCTTAAAACTGCTGAGTAACAAGAATATCATTCTCTCTCAAATCGCCCAAGTCAAGTCAAAATGGCAATAGTTTCCTTTACTTCCCTACAGAAGATACAAGTCTTTTTGTAGTAGCATGCACCGGCACCGCAGCTCAAAAATAAAAACGAAAGAGACATTGATACGACGACGATACTCATCATCCATCATGTTAACACAAGATATATAGAGAGAGATGCCATGCCATGCCTTCATTCATTCATTCCCGCGATGTCCATCGCCCAATGGCTTCTCCTACCCTGATCCTATCGCCAGCCTTGATACAGAAATCGAAATCTGACGTTACCGTGCCACTGCCATCCTCTCTCCATCTTGCCTTGGACACTACAGGTGCCTCAAATACCATCACCACCGTCGATCCCATCTTAAACCCTGCTATCTGCCAATGGTCCACAACACCAATTGCTCTTCACAATATTGCACCACAAACTACTATTCTAGTATGTAGTATGTAGTATAATAATAATAACAAAAAACTTTAACACGCATTGTACCAAGCAGCTGGGATGACATTTCCCTACCTCTTCCCCCTTTTTAACCATCACACCGGTGCCTACAGGTTCATAAACTCGATCATCAGGAGGCTCAGGCTGGGAGTTCAGTATCTTCGACCCTGCCCTATTTGTCCTTAGCTCTGGTTCAATATATAGCTGCAAAATATGAGTATCACTCAGTAAAATATTTGTATTCATCAAATGCGTAACTTGCACATATCCTCATCATGTGTCCATGGAGGACAAACTGAATAATATCACAGCGTTAATCTGCAATTCGATGTACCAATTTATTTAAACAACTACAGAAAAAGATTGCATCTCTCCTTTCCTTGGTATAATATTCAGATCCCAATCTACCAGACATGGCAATGGATAATCTTAATTTGCAACTGCTACCAATCTACTATCAATGCAGAGCACATCATGAAAACGGTGCAATTAGAGGCAATGCATAAAGGCATAGCCTGCCTGATCTACTTCCTGATACGTAAAGCACTGAGAGAGAGAGAGAGAGAGAGTACTTTGATAGAGCCAACATTAGTAGCACCAATGGCTGCAATTGCAACAAAGCCTTCCTTCCACTGCCCTTCAAGTACTACCTACGGTTACCATAAATACTTTAAATAGATTCAGTAGGAACATAGTGCTGCTGAAATTGAGAGAACTATTTCTGATTCAACTTGTTTCCTTTTCTTGACAGAAAGTGAAATTACCCTTTCATTCTCAACATACAAGTTTCTGATGGTCCGCACGGCACGTTCATTTTGGGGGAAGAGATGACCTACAAATACAATACATTTATCACACTCGAGTTCTTACGAAGTCTGAGATAGGGAGATGTGCAACAGGAAACAATAAACACAAACCTGAGAAATGTCGGCGCTTTATAATGTTCCAATCAACAGGAGAGTGAACTCGATGATAATCACCAGGGTGTAAATAAATGACACAATAGAAGATGCCTTTCTTTGGGCTGACAAGAATAAGTTGAAGTTAATACCCATAACCCGGCAATATGTCTGAATATGAATACATTCAGTAAACTTTGCTACTTGGGACTTTGGGAGCACAAATCATGCCACATTGCTACAGCAGTAAGGAAACCTCAGAACAAGATAAACAGCATATCTGCTGAAAGGGTGCCTACTAGTCTATTAGAGCTACAGAAGGCATAGCAACTACATCACTCAGGACGCCAAATGTTCCACATGGTTAGCAATATATTCCTTAAAACTGAAGGGTTATATGATGCCAAACCAGCTTATGCAGTTATTTTAGAAATTGTAAATTTAGATACAAGCATAGTTACCTCAGCAGAGTTTGATCCCATAATTTGGGTTTAGCCACTGATACTCGCCACCATGATTTTGCATTTGAATCTGCGGGATTACTTTGTTCTGTATGCTCTCTAGAAAAATCTTCTTCTTCAGCACCATGAAGAGATGAACTTGCACCGAGAAGAGAAGCAGCAGAATAAGAAAAGCCCTTCACTTGCTCAATCATGGTTCCTGGACCTCTAAGTTCTCCAAGCCGCAGAACTTTACCATCCACAGGACTCACCTAATTGTAAAATGGAATGCACCTAGCACATCAGTCTCAAATTATCACCACATTAATAAACAGGCTATGCAGAATAAATATATTGTTACCAGTTACCAGACAGTTTGGGTCTGCATCAATGGGCCTTGAACCTTCTTTGAGACTACGGATGAAGAATGCCTGTAAAGAAGGGTATTCTTCTAGTGGCATAGCAGCTTCTTGCAAATCTACAGTACTCAACAATCATCATTTTATTTCAGAAAGATGGCACATAAATTTCTGAAAGAAGTGCTACTAACTAAGCATGACTTTCTTAGAAGCATTGCACTATCTATGGAGAAGCAAGTTCTTGCCAAAAACTTGCCTCACGGGAATAGCAAGTATTCATGTGTTATATCAAGAATAATGTGTACTACTCATTCCAATGCACTAAAAAGTCTAAAACTGCATATATTTCAAAGTCATTTTGGTCAAAAAAATATATTTCAAAGTCAATCTAGCAGTGTGCAGGCACACAACCTCTGCACTAGATACTCTAAAATGCAAGTCAATCATCAGAGTGAAATTACCTAATGAACTGTAATATAAGAAAGCATCATAACAGGAGAAGACATACTGGAGTGGAAGGCTCTAGCCCATGCTTTATAGATGGCAGGGCGCATGAACACTGGAAGTTCCTACAAGATATGAAATTATTTGGATTGAGTAGGGAAATAAATAATACAGCAGCTCTGTAGTTGTAAAAGTACGGACCACTTCCATCAAGGATCCCCATAAACGTGACATCGAACGCAATGGCAGAAGCCTGAGAAATGAAGCCTGTATTGAGAATATCATCAGTGTGCAGTTGTTGTATGTCAAATAAAGCTCCGGAATAGTCAGCAAATGGCCAAGTTCTATTGACTACCTTGAAATCTGGTGAGAATTCCGGCTCAATTCCTTTCTCCTTCCTTTCAACAACCTAAATCATCAAATAAAAGGATGAAAGGATAGCAGTATGTGCTTTTTATGCAAAATTGCAAACCAGGCTAGCTAGATAATGTGCTTCAAAGTTGTCAGTCCAAATATTTGAAAACGTAAACGTTTAACATTAACAATTTAAAATTGAGCAGATAAATTAAAGTTGTTGCTGCAAATTGACCAACATTCAATACAGAAATAGGATACATGATGCTTGTGGGTATTGAAGCAATACTTTTTGGTCTTCGTACATACGCCTAGCATGTAGAATACCAAACATGACAAGAGTTGCTGCCGTTGCACCAGGTAGAATAAAATTGCCTGGAAATCATTATCATAAGCAAGCACAACGTTAGCAGCGAATGAATCATTGACAAATAATAATAAGAAGAAAGCATGATTTAAAAAGAGAAGATATAGCATCAATGTGGGTGTGAGAGAGGAATGCAATGAAAGCGTAGATTAGTAAAGTATAGACATGGCAGCGTGAAATCAAAGCAGCACTTTGAGGAAGGGGATAAAGGAAGAAAAAGGGGATTGATTGGTGATGAGCTGCTGGCTGCTGCTACATGTACCTATACTAATACTGGTAGTGCTAGTGGTAGCACTCCGGGCAGGTGAAGCGGATAAAAATCGATGCAAAACAAGGCGAGCCGAGTAAGAATAAGATAAAGATTTGGGGGGGGGGGGGGGGGGGAGACAAGAGAAGAGAGGGGGAGGGAGACCTTGACCTTGGCGGGCGCCGGAGTTGGCGGAGGCGTGGAAGGGACTGCGATGGTGGTGGGAGTGAGGGCAAGGGCGGGAAGCGAGCAGCGGCCATGGCGATGGAGATGGAGGCCAAACCCTAAACCTCCTCATCTCCCTTCTTCACTGCCGCGACGGCGATGCCGATAACAAAGGTCGTGTGTGTTTGGCTTAACCTGCACTTTCTTCCTCTTCCCTTCTTGTGTCATACCAACGGACCATGAAATGGCGTATTTACAGATCAAAAATAATTTATAAATAAAATTTATATATATATATATATATATATATATATATATATATATATATATATATATGTTCTCAGCGATCTAAAATCAAATGTTAGAAAATAAATTTCGATGAAAAAATCCCTAAAATCATCTCTAAATTTAAGGTAGAAAATTTAAATTTTAGCTGATAAGTATAAACATAAGCGAAAAGATAAGGCCCGAAGTTTGGTTCATAAATTTGACAAGTTGAAGCTTTTTAAAAACTTATTTTGAAAGTAAACCATGAAAAAAAACTTTAATAAAAAATAGGCTAAGAACTCAACGCTAGCTCAGCACCAAGATCCGTGACTTTGACCCGACAGTGAAAAAAGATTACAAGTAAGTATAGCAAGTTTAGGATCATACCCAAGTGTGATGTAGTGGTAGTATATGTGAAACATAGCTGGTAATTTGGGTTCAAATCCCATCAATTCCAACCTTTTATTTTTGCTTTATTTTTTTATTCGCTACCTTTTTATTGTTTATTTGACCAAAAAAAAGAGAAGGGGAAAAATCGTTTCTATTATTTTAATCGCAACTTTTCTATTTTTTATCGCCCAAAATAAGAGCCTAGTGAAAAAAAATAGTGCATTTCCATTTTCTTAATGCCGCGATGCGAAAAGGAAACATTTTATTTGCCAGAAAAAATGTTGTGAAAAAGTGGAGCTCTAAACTCAGCGTCATGGGACTTTGGCGCTGATGGTGCAAGGTCAGCCCCAAGGCACTTTGGTGCTGAGATGTTGGACCTTAGCGCTGGGACCCATGACGTTGAGGTTTTGGCTCATTTTTACAATAAGTTTTTCATGTGGTCTATTATTTGAATAAGTTTTTTATAAGGGTTAAATTGTTAGATTTTAGCGGTTTGGTGTTGTTTGGTTTATGGTCATAAATTACACACTTTGTTATTTTATGCTTAGAGAAGTGTTTGATTAGTTGTTATAGAGGTGGCAAGATTTCTCTTATGTAATATAGGTCTTCACTCTTCACCTTGTTGGCTATGACGTGACCAGTATTTTGATGACCTCACTTTTTGACAGACTTGGTAAAGAAAGTATTTATGGTAAACCTTCACTCTTCACTTTGTTGACTATGGCATGGCCAATATTTTGATGACCTAACCTTTTTGGCAAATTTGATAAAGAAAGTATGATAAATCTAGATAAACCTTAATATATAAACCAATACATCATCATGTAGGATAAGGCCTGTTAGCACATCGAGTTTTTCGTATACTGTGAGCACACTTTTTAAACTGCTAACCGTCTAACCGGGATGTTTTCTTTAAAAAATATGGAACTTTATTTTAAAAAATTAGACAAACATACTTTTCAAATTTATAATAATCAATACTTTAATTAATCATACGCTAATGGTTTATCTTATTTTGTGTGCCATTGAGTTGCCACCTCCAAGCTTTGTAGGGGGTTGGTATTGTGGCTGCGTCGGTGTTTGTAGGCTTGCAGCACGATTCGTCCAAGCAGTCAAACATGCCCTTAATATATACAAGGCCTTCGAGTTTACTCAAGAGAGGATTAACATGTTAAACGAGAAAACATTGACCTCATTTTATTTTTTTTTTCAAATTTGAAGAATAGATTTATCTAATATTTTAAAACAACTTCTATATAGAAAGTTTTCGCACAAAACACGTCGTTTAGCAATTTTAAAAACATGCTAATAAAAACCGATGTAGAATCCTCGATTGTATTTTGTTCTTAAGAACAAACTTACTACATGGACAGACGAATTAACTGTTTCTCTTAGGACCAATGAAGGCTCACAAGTGTCAAACACAGCTAAAATCAAGAATGAATTTTACATGATGGCATAAACAACACACGGCCGGTGGATGCAGAAACGTAGCAATGTACTCAGGCAGCCCCTGCTCTCCAGTTAATTATATTTGAAGTTTTAATACTAGTACAAAAAAAAAAGAAAGAGTATCACCCTGTGTGTTTTATGATGATTCCAGTTCCAGATGACACAAGAACATCGTCGCCAAGCGTCCATGAATTCGTCACATCGATTCATTCCTCTTGCTATCCTATTATCAGAAAGAATATCTTTCTTTCATTCACCCTATAGAGGTATCACCTCCACATCATCGTGATCACTCTTGGGTTCCTCATGCTCACCCTTTGAGTTTGATGGTGCTCCGTTCTCCATACCGGGGGAAACAGGACCACGGCTTTCTGCCATGCTCATCTCTTGCACTGCAGGTGGATTCACAACGGTCATTGGCACCGCGCTGTTCTCTGCAAGCCGCCCCGTCCTTTCACGGTGCTCCTGACAATTCGCGCACCAGTGCAAGCAGCAATGGACCATGCAAGGGTCACATGGAGAATTCTGTTGAAATGCAACAGTGCAAGTTAGATTTAAGTCAAACATTTCGTTGATTAACTACAAATAACTTAGCATCGATCAGAGCTTTTCACCAACACAAACCAGAAAGACAGCATTGCCCACACAAGAATTCCAGGACCCCCTTCAGTCAAAAAAAAAAAAAAACAGGACCCAGCAATACGCTAATAAATACGACAAAACTATTCTAGTGCTTCAATTACATTAACAAATAAATCAAATCATTTGTACTTAGGGAGATCCCTATGATAATCATCAAAAAGGGTGCAGTGGATCCAAAATGGCAGGCATGATCGAAGCAGATCCACGAGACAACCAGGTTTTGTTCAGATTCCATTTTTAACACAGCATAAGGCAACATTGCAAAGCAATACTGTTTAATGATTCATACAGGTCTCCAGTGTAACTACCTGAGCCAAAAATAAAAAATATACAGGTCATGGGATCACTTTGTCTGAATAACAGTCAAGTGGAATATAGACAATGAAGCAGTAAAGGATTTTCATGATTTCACCTTGAGATGGTATTTCCTCTGAAGTTCTTGGCGAAAGATGCCCGTATAAGTACCACACAACCACCAGCTGAACACCAAACCTTCTCCAATCAGGAAAGACGTTCTGGGATCAACACCATGAAATATTGCGGTGAGAATTGCAAGCGCAATCCCTCCTTCAACAAAGACAGCATGGCAAACACAAGGCGTTGTCCAAGGGATATCCTCTCTGAGGGCCTCAATATTGCGTCCAAAAAGAACACAAGGACAGAACAACCCAGTTCGGCCTGACATGACAAGACAAAACAAATAAGGTAGTTAGATATTATGAAAGACACTTTCTTTTTTTTCTGAAAAATAATACTACACGTATAATTATAAATATACGAAATGAATAGCGAACTGAGAACAATGGTGCAAACGGTGACTTAATGAGCGTTCAGCACCTATGGAGATGCCGAAGAGCAGCGCATAACCTTAGACTGACTAGAATGGGATCAAGTATAACACACAGAAGCAGATCGGAGAACGTTGCTGTTGCTTCCATGTAAATATGAAAAAAAGTATTATGTAATGGGTTGATCATGAGTGGAGATATAAATAATGGTTTAGTTTTACTCTGAAAATGTAGTACATGTCCAAGGATGTTCAACCAGAAAATATATATATATATATATATATATATATATATATATATATATATATATATATATATATATATATATATATAAAAGGATAGATGTCAAACATGTTAAGAGTATGAGGGCATCCTAGTGTTGGATCCTGTCAGTCCTGGTTTGAAATTGAATTGAATGAAACAAACAGCAAGATCCTATCCTATTGTTATTGTTATAGTGGAAGTGAAATTAAAACGAGAGAGAGAGGGGGAAAGGGGCGTGGGGTTACAGGTTTGTGGATCGTCGGTGCAGGCGAAGATCCCGGTGGTCCAGGGCTCGTCGGCGGGGGGCTCGTAGGATTCCGGCAGGACCTGGCCGCACTCGCTGCACCTCCTGCCCTCGAGCTGATCGAGAGGAGCAGATCAGATGAGATGATGACAAGTAAGATAGGGGAAAAGAGGATGGATGGAGAGTGCCTGCGGGACGTGGACTGGCTGGTTGAGCTCGCCGGGGCGGATGTCCTCGGCGGGGGCGGGGGCGTCGTGCTCCCTGCTCAGCTTCACGTACCGCGACGGGTGGCTCAGGGTGGCCTCCTCCGCCATGGCTACCCTACCAACGCCGGCGCCGGCAGAGTCCAAGAGATCGAGATCTGGTCTGGCTGGGTACTACACTTCATTCAGCCCAGCCGGCCCGGTACAAGTCAAGAAACCAATATCGATAAGTCAAAACCATAATATACTAATCTAAATTATAATGTCGCATATTTGATGTCTGCACACCCACTCAAAAACAAAAATCATACACACATGCTAATTTTTATATTTCAGACCAAAATGAGTAAAATATAACGACATTAATATATTCCTTCGATCTAAAAAAAATAAAAATACGTTGTTAAAACTTATTATTACTGTAAATGGTCTACATCCTTTGTAGATGGAAATGTTAGGACGCACCGGTGTGGCGGTGTAGTTTATGGACAGTGATGATAAATACTTCTATATCCACTATTTTAGCAACATCATATATACCAATTTTTAAACTATAAAATTAGTGCGCCAGTTGGTGTGTCGGCTAATATAATGTGTATAGTCTTTAAAAACTAACACACATTTAACATAATATAGTAATATTTTAATCTCTTTTTTACGATTTTGAGTATCAAGGTTCGGATGTATAAGAGCAAGATAATCGTAGAGCTCACTATCTACTATTAGCCTATCTTAAAGTCAACATATATAATAGATTAGCTATAAGATTGGTTACACTTTTCTTCCCTATCTCTATCTCTCACTTATATATTTATTGTTTTTTTATCTTGGAGTTTGTGTTAAACTAGCTTTTGTATGAGAGCCAACACATTTAATTTTTTATTACCTCTCTCATCCACATAAGCTTACAGCAAGCTTATAGCTCTAGCTCACATTATACTCGCTCTAACACTCAACACCGACAACCACATTGTTTAGGGAGAGCTGTCTAGTGAAAGGGTGGGGTGGTCCGGTACCAGAGCCATCCGAGGGTGGAGGTGGTAGTGCTGCTATAAGTCTAAAAATAATAAGTCTATCTACTCTTTCGGAATTGTAAATATTGAATGAGATGAGCATATTTTTATTAATTTTTTCCCCCACTTCTCGATTTTCATGCGGTTGTTCTTCTAAATATTAGACTTTCAAAAGGTTTTTCTAATGAACCCTTTTTTTGTTTTTTCAAAGGTCAGAAATCATCAATCATGATAGTAATATATTATGGTCAATAAGTAACTTTTTTGGTTGAAGTTTGATTACTTATGCTGTTAAGGAGAAACACAAGAGAAAAGTATGATAGAAATAGGATGTTGTGCCTGTTTTTTTTCTTGTGGCTATTTATTTGGTATGAATAATTTGCTGAGATTTATCCTAAAATTTAACAACCAACAAAATGGCTCGAAAAGGAGCCAGCTTATTATTGCCGACCGTTCGTCTTATTTTAAAAAATTATGAAAAAGTTTTAAAAAAATAGTCACACATAAAGTGCTATTTATGTTTTATTATATGACTAGAAAAAATGCCCGTGCGTTGCAACAGGTAAAGACGTTTTTTTATATATAACAACTATTAGAAGCCGAACAATAAATTAAAATACCGGGATCACTATATATTATAATTAAAAAAGTTAATGAAAATCATTTCTTTGTTTTGGGCCGAAACGTTATTCCTTCCTTTCTTTTAAAGAAAGTCCTAGCCCAGTTTCAGTACCTCCCCATGCTTGGCCTATAACAGGCCCAAGCCACAAGCACAAGTAGAGTCGTTACATTCGTAGGCCCAACTCACATAGTCTACTGTGATCTTCAACCTCCGGAAGATATTCTATGCATGCACGATGACAAAGCCGATCCTTGTCATCAAATCCAACCGAATCTTTCTTGATCTCCTAAAATTGGTTGAGGGCTTTTGATCCACTCGATCTCTTCTTCCTGTTTCCCTAAAATCAGAGAGAATTCACAAAAATCAGGATAAAAAGGCGAAGCTCGCTGGTCGGCCATCTTCGATGGAAATTAAATCCAACAAATGAAAACCTTGAAAGAGCAAATCATGGAGAAAATAATGAGTTAGGAGTGGGGAATCGATTTTTGTAATCAATAATAGGAGGAAACTTACGGGGGAGGCAAATCGCGGCGGTGCTAGGGTTTGGCCCGGGCCCTAAGAGCGGTAAAAAAGGGAGATCAGATTGCACTGAGTAGAAAAATACGGAGAAACCTAATCGGACTAAAAAACCGGCGAGAAAAATAGACGAAAAAAAGAAACATATTCAATTAAAACTGAAAACCGATTCAAAAACGGATGACGTACCAAAATCTCGATAAAACATTTTCAATTTTTATAATAGTAGAGAAAAAATAGACATAAAAAACATATTTAATTAAAACTGATTCCTCAATAAAATCTGAAAACCGATTCAGACACGGATGACGTACCAAAATCTCGGCAAAAATATCTCTAATTTTTATAATAGTAGAGATATAATAATAAAAATTTTAATTATAAAATTTTTTTTAAATAAGATGAATGGTTAAACGTTGGATACGAACGACTTATTTTGAGATGAATGAGATGGAGGGAGCAGCAGATGTCTGTTTATGTTTGTGTTAGGTAGGGCCCAGAAGAGAAGAGGAAGAGGAAGGGGCCATGGCGCCGCCACAAATGTATGAGCGCCGCCTCCTCGCCGCCGCCTCCCTCCTCCTCTCCGCCGATGCGCAGGGCCAACCACCCCACGCCGCCGCCCAACTCGGAGTCGGAGTCACGGCCGAGCTCAAGCCGCACCAGGTCGATGGCGTCGCGTGGCTCATCCGCCGCTACCAACTCGGCGTCAACGTCCTGCTCGGTATGTAATGTACGATGCATCCTCCCTCCTAGCTAGGGTTCCCCAACTCACTCATCTCCCACGCATGGAATGCAGGTGACGAGGTCGGTCTCCATTTTCTTTTCCTTCCCCGCCGCGCCGAGCTTCTTCAATACTCCATGTGCCTGCTCATGAATACGAGGAGGATCGACTCCGTCTTGTTCTATGCTGTTTCACCTCACCTTATTTCATCAAACACTTTTCCGCACCACCATTTTTCGTTACTGTTAATAATGTGTAATCAAGCTCATGTCATGTGACTGCTGTTTTTTCTTATGTCGGACGGACCATGGCCAGATGGGACTTGGCAAGACCCTCCAAGCAATCTCTTTGTTGAGCTACCTCAAGATCCACTCCATCTCACCTGGACCATTTTGTGTGTACCGCACCTACCCATTTGGGATCTCCTTAGTATCTTGTTGCTTTCTTACAGTTTGGGTTTTGACATCATTGACCCTGGCTATGCTTGCAGTGGTCTTATGTCCTCTAAGTGTCACCGATGGCTGGCTCTCGGAATTCAATAAATTTTGTCCTTCTTTGAGGGTTATCCAGTATGTTGGTGATAAGTTGCACCGTCGTGATCTCCGGAGAATGATGTTTCAGGATGTCCAAAAATCTTCATCGTCATCTCATTCCACTGTATGCTTTCTCCCAACTTCTTCTTTTACTTACTCTTATACCTTACTCAAAATTGCTGACACCAACTTCTTTTGCATGCAATAGGAGTTACCGTTTGATGTCATGATGACAACCTATGACATAGCCTTAATGGACCAAGAATTTCTTTCACAAATTCCTTGGCACTATGTTGTCATTGATGAGGCCCAACGTCTTAAAAACCCATCCAGCGTATGTAAAGCCTTTTTATTCACGTAAATACAATCATAGTCATTCTTTTTATTGGATTTGTGCAATAAAAATAGTTCATATTTAGTTCCTGGCAGCTGCCTTACACGGTTACACCTTGTACTTTTAAACCGGTCATTTTATCCCTTGTACGTTCAAAACCGGATCAAATCAGGTCCAAAGCTGACAGAAGGTGCTTTTCTGCAGACTTGGCTTCCTTTGTGGCAAGTGTGCTAATCTGGCGGGTTATCACCCACATATGCAGATTTTAGTCACAGAAGATCCAACTGACGATTAAATTTGGGTTAAAATGAAAATTAATGCCTTGATCCACTTAGCTGTTTTGTGCTTCGTGCAAACAGAGGTGCTGAGTGAGAAATTGATCTGGTTTTGAAAATACAGGGGATAAAATAAACATATTCAAAATACATGGGAGTAAACAAACTCCAAATTAGAGGGACCAAAAATGTGGATTTTTCATCTGCTTAAGATTTCTTTTGTAGTGCTGCCGTCATCATCTCTCTGCACTCATTGGTAGCACTGTACTATAAACTACAAGTGATGCATGTATTGCTGGTTTAGCTTTCAGTTTTATTGTACAATGATGGAAGTCTACAATTCCCGTTTCTGTAAAATCCTTATTTTCAAGTGGCTGGAGGGTAAATTTACTGAGTACATAATCTTGGCAGAACATTTGTAGTGTCCAACTTATTTACTAGGTTCTGTGTTTTCCCAGGTACTGTATAATGTCCTTGAGCAACGCTTTATCATGCCAAGACGTCTGCTACTAACGGGCACCCCTATCCAGAATAACCTTTCTGAACTATGGGCATTGATGCACTTTTGCATGCCCTCGATTTTTGGTACCCTGGATCAATTTCTTTCTACTTTCAAGCAATCAGGTGATTCATTGACAGGTATTGCTTTAAATGTAAAGGGATTCATTTTTAGCTGTAGTGTGTTACTGCGTTGCTTGATGCCAACAATGCCTTTTATGCTGGCTGTGAGCACTTTGTGCTTGTGCACCATCAATTCTGGTGATTTGGTGTTAGGAAGTCTCTTCCTTTGCTAGGACTTTCATAATCTCTTCTTGCTTTATGTTGTATGATATTTTCATAGGTACATTCCATAAAAAAAAACTTTCTTTTAGAAAGGAGGCCTGGGGCCAAAAATACTTTCGTAGGTACATTGTAGTTACTGGTTTTTAGATGTTATAAAACCCAACAAATATTAATAATTAGTTGGTTAGAGAAACATAAATTTGATTATTAACTCAGTGCATAACGGTTGGCAACTGGCAACCAAAATTCTTTGTGCTTTTCCAAATGTTTCTTTCTTGAGACCAATTTTTCCACACCAACTAATTCACTGCTCAATTTTGTGAGTGCCTTTCTGTTTTTTGACACTGCATTAATATGTCACAATTAAAGAATTTGAGTACCTTGTTTGATTTCTCAACAGGTGGCGAAACTAATAAAACGGACAAACAGTTTAAGATCCTTAAACATGTACTGAGAGCATTTATGCTGAGACGAACTAAAGCTTTACTAATTCAAAGCGGAATTTTGGCATTGCCTTCATTAACTGAGTTAACAGTGTATGATCCTATCCTTCCCACCTTGCATTTCTTATCCTCTTTATTTTATCAACTTCATGTGATCTTTACAGGATGGTACCTCTGACACCCTTACAGAAGAAACTATACTTGTCAGTATTGAGAAAAGAGCTGCAAACACTACTTACATTTACTGGAGGATTGTCCCGCCACCAGTCTCTGCAAAACATCGTAATGGATCAGTTTTTGTAGTCATACTGTATTAAAGCGCTTGTAGCAAAGAGAGTATTTTATTGAGAAACAAGTCATTTATCTTTTTTATAATGAGAAGCAAGTCATTTGGCATGCCCATCATACTTCATGGTTTCTTTATGCCATCTACATTCTATTATTTCACATACTGTAAGGATTTCTTTTTAGCACAAGAGTTAGGGTTTCACAAGTTTATGAATCATACCAGAGTGCTGTGATGTATGTTTCTTTGGTTAAGTTATGGTTTGTTGATATCTCATACTTTAAATCTGGGATCAATCAATAAGAACTGATAATTAAGAGCTCTTTACAAACTTAAGTTTCATCACTGTTCTTTTGATTCTCCTCAGGTTATACAACTGCGAAAAGCTTCTAGTCATCCATATCTATTCAGTGGCATTGAACCTGAGCCTTATGTGGAAGGGGAGCATTTGGTTCAGGTTAGTTATGCCCATTGTTAAATGTAATGCTAATAGCCTGCTTAGTTATAGCCTAGAATGTTGAACTACAGTGTGTCTCCATGACTTGAATATGTTATGCCTGCAAGTTTTGTGGCCTAAATGGGAGAACGAAAAATGAATGCATGAATCGGGTGTTTGATTTTTAAGCCATTTTCTTTTGAGTCTGAAAGCTGGCCAAAAGTGGTTCGAACTTGGACTTGAAGCAATAGGTATGGGTGCTGTGCTGTGGAGTCTGTGTATTGCATTGCCCGCTGTCTCTATGTTGTCAAAACATATTTGACGCGACATCGCTCTTCAGTTTCTTTTATCTCTTCCCTCATGATATATCTTGTATTGACAAATGAAATATTCTGCAAGCTTGAAGTTTAGTAAGGAACTTTTGGAGGGACTGTACAGATCTATTCATTAAATATATTTATTGTAATGTTTATTCAGGCTAGTGGAAAGCTTGTCATGCTAGATCTCATTCTTAAGAAGCTCCATGAAGTAGGCCATCGAGTTCTGCTATTTGCTCAGATGACTCAAACACTGGACATTCTTCAGGTTTTGTTTCTCCCCAGCTCTGCTAGCATAAATTTCCTTATAGTCTCTTGTACTGTTTATTATGATTTTGCATCATCCGTTCAACAGGACTTCTTAGAATTGCGTCAGTACACCTATGAACGTCTGGATGGTTCAGTGCGTGCTGAGGAACGGTTTGCAGCAATAAAAAGTTTCAGCTCTCAACCTACCAAGGGTGTTGTCAGAGATGATAATCAGAGTGGAGCTTTTGTTTTCATGATATCAACTAGAGCAGGGGGTGTTGGCCTTAATCTCATTGGTGCTGATACTGTGAGTCTGAATCAATTTGAGACCATAATGAATATCCTCTTGACTAAGAAATCAAGTGATGTTTTTCTTTATTTTGATGTGTTTTTAGTACCAGGCAAACAGTTCTGTATGGATGAATAATGAACCTATCTTTCTTCTAATTACTTAATCTTTTGTCCACCATTTTGTAGCGCAGGTTATTTTTTATGAGCAAGATTGGAATCCTCAAGCTGACAAACAGGCCTTGCAGCGTGCACACCGCATTGGACAGTTAAATAATGTATTATCAATAAATTTGGTATCACAACGCACAATTGAAGAGGTCAAGACTAACTTACTACCTGAGCCTTTACTTCTACGATTAAGTTCCTTCTGAGTTTTGTTTTAGCCCTTTTCCAAATTGAATTCAGGTCATCATGCGAAGAGCAGAAAGAAAACTTAAGCTTAGCCACAGCGTTATTGGAGAGGAGGATGCAACTTATGGGAAGGGGAAATATGTAGAAAATGAAGCTAGCGACATGCGCTCGATTATATTTGGCTTACACCTATTTGATACTTCAGATACGACTGCAGAGACAATGAATGATGACACAGCTTCGGAGACTATCAAAGAAGAGACTATGTTGAAGCTGAAATCAATGTCTGAAAAAGTAGTGTTGATGCGTAGTCATGAACCTTCAGAAAAGGATGAACGGGCATTCGAAATCAATCCAAATATGACAGACAACAGTGGGGCTGTTGTTACGAGGGTATCTGATTCCGTTAATGTTGATCCGGATTTTAATGAAGCCGCATACTTATCCTGGCTTGAGAAGTTTAAAGAGTCTTCGCATTCTAAGGAAAATACCAGAGCTGAACTAGAAAGGCAAAGAATAGCACCTGAAGAAAAGTTCCTAAAACGTGAAGCTATTAAGAAAAAGGTGGAAGAAAAGAGATTAGCCAAATGGGAATCCTTGGGGTACCAGACATTAAAGATCAAAGATCCTGACATCTTACCGAACCAGAATATTCCAGACTCTGGATCCGTCCAACTTGTATATGGAGATTGCACTAATCCTTCAGTAGTTTGCCCTGCAAAGCCTGCCATCATATTCAGGTATTATTTTCCGAGAGTGAAATATGTTACATTCTATGAAAGGGAATTACTCCATCCTAGGATTGTTGAAGGAAATGGTATGTGTTGTACCATGATTTCTCCTCCATAGATGCCTACTCCAGGTAGTTAGCTTAAAATATGTAGAACTTAGTATTGACATTGATATGTTTTGTCAAAATGTGTAAAATGTTGGATGGCCTTTCATATATTTTATAGCTTCTTCTGAACAAAATCTTTGTGCTAAGTAAATTGCCTTTTTGCTGGTGCAGTTGTGTTGATAATTCAGGAACCTGGGGACATGGAGGAATGTTCGATGCTTTGGCCAATCTCTCAACATGCATTCCAGATGCTTATAATCGTGCTTCTGAATTTGATGATCTCCACCTGGCAGATCTTCACTTGATTCAGTTAGATGGTTGTTTTCTTTACACTAGCTCTGCAATTATCACAGAATTTATTCCACCACATGTCTTTAGTATGGCTCTAAGAAAAAATATGAGTGCGAGGCAGCTATTTGACATGTACATACTACTGTTGTCATACTTAATTGGTCTCTGACAGGTAGTGCCAGACAAATTCTAACCGTACCAATTTTATTACAATCAACATTCACTGCCACTAGTTTAACTCTTTGACCATCCTGCAGTATGGTCTGCACCTATTGACATATTTTAGAGCAACTTGGAGTTTCCATCAACCGGAGTGCTCAACTACAAGGAAACAAAACTCTTGGTGCAATCCATCAAGTTGAATATATATATATATATATATATATATATATATATATATATATATATATATATATATATATATATATATATATATATATAAATTTTGCCTTCCATACTGAATCGTGTATCTAGTTTAGTAGTTAACCACGGCCACACCATATATGACTAAAGTTGTTGACCATAAATGTTAAAGCATTCATATGCATTGGATGATTTAGCATGTTAAGGGTTTTTAGTGCCAAAAGTCCATTCATATATATGGCATTTTGAATCTTTCATCTTTAATTGGTATATAAATTATTGTTATGTTGGTAAGTTTTTTTTTTCACTGTATTTGTGTCCTCCATGCAGAAGCCAAGTGCAACCGGAGTTTAGATGCTCCTCTCTGGGTCGCGCTAGCTGTTGTGCAGTCTTATAATCCAAGGCGAAAGGTTCCACGAAGTGAAATTTCCATACCTGATTTGGAGCTTTGTTTATCAAGAGTGGCCTTTTCAGCTGCTCAACATTCCGGTACCGATCCCTTTTGACTTCTCCATATTAGTACTAGCAATTATTTGGAGTGTACATCTGATCTGCTGTTGATTGTTTTCATCAAAATTCACGCCTGCTGTCAAACAAATTTAAATAGATAGCGTGCATGCCGTAAACTCAGTTGAGCGATGATACCCCTTGAGAGAGTTTCTGTTTGATTTTTAATGGTTCTATGAAGTGAAGTTTGCTCAGTTCTATTCACTGGAGCAATTCTAATAAACATTTAGTGAAATGTTTGAAGCAGGGTGAGCAGGCTGCATGTTCCTCTTTGTAGTGTTGTAGGAGTATTTTGCATTGAGGCCAATGTATGTAGGTAGACAGACAGACAGACAGACAGACATGTAGTTGCTATATTAATGCTGATGGAATTGATGTGTTTGGAACCCTTGGTTTGTTTCCGTGAAGCGAGCATCCACATGCCCCGAATCGGTCTCCAAGGTGGAGGTGGAGGTGGGTCCCAACGATCAGAGTGGTACACCATAGAACGGCTGCTGAGGAAATACTCGTCTCTTCATGGCGTCGACATCTTTGTGTAAGCGATCCAGCGACATACCTTGTACTACATTACTTGTTTATCTATGTGTCCTGTGAACATATAATGGAAAATGTCATTTAACACAGGTACTATTATAGGCGAGGGAACAAGCACTAGTTGGCAGCTTAAACAATAGAGAATGGCCATAGTACATAAGGAAGTGCCCCTCACCCTGTAGACTAGGAAATGCCTGCCATCTGTAATATGAATGCAATGCATGTACTCTGAAAGGAGGAGGAGTAGTAGTAGGAGAAGTCTCTTGTGTAATGTCTAATGCCTCGCGTCAGTTAGCTACGAAAAATGTTTGTCTGAACAAGTGAACCGAAAACGAAAAATGTTTGCCTGAACAAGTGAACCTCTTTTCTTGTTGGACGCAAGGGCCTCTCTTCTTGTTCCTCTTGTGCTACTGTTGGTGTTGGTGGTAAAGATGAGAGAAAAAAAGAGGGTATTTGGGTGAACTCATCCAGTTGAAAGTGGTAAGTATTTTAGTGAAGAGGCGTTTGGATGATGTGGACAGAAATTGAAATAGGGAAGGGAAGGGGAGGAGGGCAGGTGGCGTGGGCGATGATGACGTACGGCCCCGTGCTCCTCTGTGGTCTGTGTCTGTGTCTGTCTCCCCTCCCAACCAGACGCCTCCTCTCTCCAAGTCCGTCTGCCTCTCTCACCACCACCACCGTGCGCTGCTCCAAGGGGGAGATGGCGGTGGTGAAGTGCATCAGGGTCCACGAGCTGGGCGGGCCTGAGGTGTTGAGATGGGAGCAAGTGGAGGTCGGGGAGCCCAAGGAGGGCGAGATCCGGATCAAGAACACCGCCATCGGCGTCAATTTCATCGACGTCTACTACCGCCAGGGGGTCTACTCCGCTCCACTGCCCTTCGTCCCTGGGAGGGAAGCCGTTGGAGTGGTGACCGCTGTAGGTCCTGGCCTGACTGGCAGAAAGGTTGGGGACGTCGTCGCCTATGCCGGCAATCCCATGGGCTCTTATGCTCAAGAGCAGATTATTCCCGCCTCCGTCGCTGTTCCCCTTCCTCCTTCCATCGACCACAACACTGCTGCCGCTATTATGCTCAAGGGGATGACTGCTCACGTTCTACTTCGCCGTGTTTACAAGGTATCCCCCATGTTACTTCACTTGTTTATATATAGAGAACCCAATCGATCATAACCCTGTTTCTTTCTTTATGCATACAATGAATATTAATTTCTGATTACCAAGGCAACCATCCTAGAATCTTCATAGTGTTCCCATGCACTTCAACTCTAGTATGCCATAATCACGCATAAACCATTTCTGCCCAGCAAAGGCAGTCAAAGCAGCTAAATCTAAATGAAAGCACACTACAAACGATTGGTCAAGAGCTTAATTTACCTTGTTTACAATATCTTATTGTCTGCCCCTGTTACCATTTGAGGTATTTGCCCCCTGCCATTATTATTGTGGTATGATATGATACTACTATCAGTTATTCTCAGAGTAACTGCAATTTCAATTAACCATGCACCGCACGCAGGTCCAGAGTGGTGATTGTGTTCTGGTCCACGCTGCTGCCGGTGGGGTTGGATCACTCCTTTGTCAATGGGCAAATGCCCTTGGTGCCACTGTCATCGGGACTGTTTCAAATGAGGAGAAGGCTGCACAGGCAGCTGAAGATGGATGCCACCATGTCATCATTTACACAAAGGAAGATGTTGTCACAAGAGTCAAGGAGTTCACAGCTGGGAAAGGTGTCAATGTGGTATATGATTCTGTTGGCAAGGATACATACAAGGTACTGTACCGTTGCATCTTGCATGTGGTAACAGGTTTTGGTTAGTGATCATGCATATATCTTCAGCTGCCTGTGCAGATGCTTTCACCTTTCCGATGGCGTACAATTTGTAAAGGCAGTAGACCTTGTTCTGTTGTTCAGGTGTTAGTACCACTTCAGTAGTAGGTACTGATGGTGGGCATAATAACTTCATTTTTTAGTAACAAAAAGATGCACAGTTATCTGTATCCAGTGTCTGGTTTTATTTTTAGTTTCAAAGCAATGTGTTTTGGGCTTGAATCAGCTGATTTCATTTTATGGAGTACTCCTATATATGAATGTACTAGCATTAAGAATAGTAGAATGGCATTTGATTGACAGGCATATGTGTTTCAGGGTTCGGTGGAATGCTTGGCGTGGCGTGGTATGCTGGTGTCGTTTGGGCAGTCGTCAGGTAGGCCTGATCCCATTCCGCTGAGCGATCTGGCAAGCAAGTCGCTGTTGGTAACAAGGCCCAGCCTGATGCATTACACTGCTACCCGCGACGAGTTGCTGGAGTCGGCCGGTGAGGTGTTTGCCAATGTAGGAAGCGGGGTGTTGCGCATCCGTGTGAACCACACATATCCATTGTCTCAAGCTGCTCGCGCTCATGCGGATCTCCAGGCCAGGAAGACGACCGGATCCATCCTGCTCATCCCAGATGATGCATGATACTCCAGTACTAGTGTAGGAGTAGTAGTTATTCCAGTACAAAAAGTGTCTCTTCTCCAATGCCGCTGCTGTTTCTTACTTTAGTACTCCTGTATTTTTCATGCATTATCAATCAGGTTCAGGTTTGGTTGCCAGTTGATGTGTGTCTGCGTGCGTTTCGTTGTGGTTTTCATGTTGACAGGACAGGACGTATACTATACATAAATAAAGGGCAGCATCTTTGAAATAAAGATCACTTATACTATTAGCGATTTGAGTTATTTATTGCTCAACTGGCAATGGGTGTTGCTTGAATAACCTTGGTTCTGTTCCTGCTTACTGTATCTCAACTGGCAAAGAGCAGGTAATATAAGGTTTTTTATTTTAAGTATTTTTCTTGGGTGCCTGCCTGCGACTGCAAGACGCTGCTGGAGTAGTAACGTAACCAAGAGGGGAAGAGAGATGGCGATGGCGATGCAGGAGGAGCAGAGGGTGGTGGTGATGCGTCACGGCGACCGCGTGGACCACGCGGATCCATTGTGGGCCGCCAACAATCCCCGCCCCTGGGATCCGCCGCTCACCGACGCCGGCCTCCTCCGCGCCTCCACCGTCGCCAGTCGCATCCTCGCCGACGGCTTCCACATCCACCGCGTCCTCGTCTCCCCCTTCATCCGCTGCCTCCAGACCGCCGCCCAGGCCATCGCCGCGCTCTCCCCCCTGCCCCGTATCAACATCAAGGTCTTCCCCTTGCTGCTGCATACTCCACTTTACTTACTGATTGTTACTCCTCAACGCCTCATATCGCTTCAATTCTTACTTACTGCTCCTATGTATGCAAATGCAATGTCCCTCCGCTTCCTTTTCATCAATTCAAATAGTATATACTATGCTTAGCAAAACTACACACCCTGCTGCATTCATACTCTTCACACTTGACCCATTATATGCTCTTGTTCAACAACCTAGTACAAGTATAACTCAACTTGCACCTGCTACAATCACAATCTCATCTTATTTGGTTGCTGCACTGCAAACCTATCTGTCTATCTATCACAACTCTTGCATGATGACAGCTTTTACACAACCCTCTATGTAATCTTTCATATGTTTCTTCTACCAACTGTTTTCTCTTTATTTTGCTACTACTGTTAATGAGAATGGGATGGGATGACCCCCCTGTTTTCATCTTCTTCCTTTTTGGGCGTCACATATGGGATGAGAATGCTCGTTGCATTGCACGGGACACAAAAATGCTGCTGCCCTTCAACTCTCAAGCTTTTACTTGTTGGTTCTGTAATTATAGAAACTGTGTGTGCATTGGTCCTGTAATTGCTTGATTGTATCGTGAACCCGTTTGCCTTGCCTTTCCGATCATTTGTACTCTAGGTTTCAATTGAATATGGGTTGTCCGAGATGATGAACACTCAAGCAATGGGCATTCTAGTCAGCCAGATAGCTCCAAGCATCGACAGGTGGTTTCCTGACATGTCACAACTGGAAGCTGCTTTGCCAGCTGCTACCATTGATCACTCCGCGGAGCCACTCTACCAGGAGGTCTGGCTTGGCTTCTACTCTTACCAGTACTACTCCTTAATAATCATGACCATAATTACGCTTCATGTTCAACGGAATTGTTCTTTTCCTGTACAGGTACCTAAGTGGGGGGAATCTGTTTGGGAAGCAAGAAGCAGATATGCTAGTGTAATCAAGGCTCTTGCTGACAAATACCCTGATGAGAACCTACTTCTGGTGACGCATGGTGAGTTTGGAGTGATTGGATATTGTTCTTGTGTCGCTGTGCCTATGGAAACATACTACTAGTATTTCTTCATGGTTTTGGTTGTTTTATCTATCTATCTATCTATCTATCTATCTATCTATCTATCTATCTATATATGTGCAGGTGAGGGTGTTGGTGCATCGGTGTCATTCTTTGAGCCAGGTGTGGAGATTTACGAGGTGGAGTATTGTGCCTACTCTGTCCTGGGAAGGCAGCAGCACAAGGTCGGGATTGAACAAGGAAGCGAGGAGGAAGGGTTGAAGAATCTGAGAGTGCTGAGCACAAGTGGACCTACAGGCATCCACTACTACTACACTACCCCAGCACCATCTGAGGTCCCCGACCGTTAGGAATTCTCCTCTGCTGCTCAGCCTCAGCCTCCGCCTCCGCAGCAAGAGCTCTGAGACACCTCTTCAGCGACTAGTAATTTTCCTTCACTTGTGCTAGTATTTATTTACCACCCGTGTGCCATTTGCATAGACGAGATTCTGATGGTTTTTTCTTTATGTACTCTGCGTATACAAATAAGATCATGTTCTTTTAAACTAAGGATATATAGTAGTAGAAGAATTGGCCGTATCGATGGTTTGGGTAAGCAATACAAATACAGAAAAACTGTCTTTGATGAATGCACGGTGAATTGGCCATGTCCAAAAAGCATACTGTACGTCTATATCATTAGGCATTCGCTAGATTCTTCAGCTGATCCACTTAGAGTACATATGTAAAGTGCGCCTGGATTGGATGCTTTACGTGTGTGTAGGACAATTAAACAACGTAACGAGCTAGTAGCTAGCTGACAGAAAAAAGACAAAATTAAGGGAGAAAATGAGATGCATGGAGCTGGACAGCCAGAGAAGATGCGCGACATATAGAAAGCTCGCACGCGCACACATCTCAGTCATCTAGTAGTAGTACCATTCATCTTCTCTTTTCATAAAAGGAAAGAAAGAAATTTGTTTGCTTTTCGAGCTTTTATTTACTTCTTGTCTAACAGCTTCATCTTAAATAATAATACATGCTGTTTGACCATCAACTATATAGAGTGGAGTACTCCCTACCAAAAGGTATTTAAATGTGCCACGAGATTGTCTTCATGGTAGAACATATTCCTTTTTTAATTTCCCGTTAGAATCAGTAGTGCCAATTAATAGGAGTTTATACCAAATTAAGGCACCAATATAATGCAAACCCACTGAATACATGACACGACTTTATTCATGAGGAGTATTTGTCTGTCTATGTGTATCTTTTGTAGTGAGCGAGCTTTTTTGCTTTAGTCAATTTCCTCCGAGGATAAGACAGAGAGAAAGTAGTAAAGCCACCTATGATGCATATGTATGCAGGATGAAGAATCTTGAGTATATCCATCTTAATACGTACCATTTTCTTGCTTTATTGAGAAATACTGTTATTAGAGGGTTGATTTGCATGCATGTATGTGGATACTATTACTAGGTAAATAATAGCTTGATTAAGAAGAAATTGTAAGAAAATAGAAATTAGATTCGGGAATGCAGGTAGCAACATATTGAGGGGGAAGGGAAGCACATAATATTGTGTCATGCTTTTGGCGTCCGGCCCTCCAATTAAGGAGCAATTAAGGAGGAGAAGGAAGGGAAAACCACCCAAACAGTTATGAAAAATTTTGACAATACTCATACACATAACTATACAACTCTACAAAATCTTAGGTCCAAACTCAATTCACACGCTAAGATATAAAAAAGTACTGTTCACATCTAAATTTGTTTTTTTTTGTTTCTTGATGTGTAGATTGAATGTGAACTTCATTTTCGGTAGACCAATAGATATCTATATACTCTACATTGTAAATTTTTTTTTAAATTTTTCATAACTATTTATATCAAATTTGGAAGAAAAAAACATACGGGAAAACATCTTCTCGAGAGATTAAAATCCACTCTATGGAAGCAATCTATTTCACTAGTCCGGTCAGAGAATGAAATGAAGAGATGATAGTATACTGATCTAGTTGGGATCCTGGATTAAAGCAGCTGATGAACAATCAGGTGGTGTTCTTTTCTTCTTAAGATGAAGATTAAGTTTTTACGTAAAACAAGATAGTATTAACATTAACGTATGATTACAAACTTGAAAAATAGATTAATATAATATTAAAGAGCAACTTTCATATAGAAAGTTTTCGCACGAAATGTACCGTTTAGCCGTTTGAAAAATGTGCCACGAAAATCTTATTCTTCATACAACTCTTATTGGTGAAAAGAAAGGTACCTCACTGTCAGTAAGCTGGGCTTGTGTTGTGATAGCGCTCAGGCCACACATCTCTGCAGCTTGCCGCCGCCTCCTCCTTCGTAGGGACTGATTAGTATATGTGCAGTGCAAGGTAGCTTCCGGTTTCAGTCTTGAGCTAGCACAGCATTAATTAAACCACCAACCCAAATATTGTTCGATCGATCTGCATCTGCTAGCTGCTGCTGCTGCTGCTTTTTCTTCTTCTTCTACTGGATCGAGAGAGAGAGAGAGAGAAAGAAAGAAAGAAGATTATATATATTAACAATGGCCATCGGAGCGTTCGTCGAAGGAGGCGGCAGTGGGTACAGCGGGCGCGTGACTCCGTTCGTGGTGCTGTCGTGCATCGTCGCCGGCAGCGGTGGCATCCTCTTCGGCTACGACCTCGGCATCTCAGGTATCTCCGCTTCGCCCTTATCACCTGATCGGTTCTTCATCCATCACCAATTGACCATCACTCCATCTCCTCGATCGATCTATCGATCTATCTCTACTCCAGTACCTACCTGCGTGCTGGGACGGAGGGAGTAAGCAGCTAACAGTACTGTAGCTGTACTACTACTGTAGTGGAGGAGTACGTGATTAATGAATGAATTTGTCCTACGTAAGTTAGTACAAACTGCATGCGGGCCAGCACTATATAGTTGGAGTAGTGTATACTGATGCATCCACAATTAATTAATTCTTCAGAGATTAATAGTATAATTTGATGGAAGCAACCGACAACCATCAATCCATCTGGCTATTTAAGATAACCATTCATAGCCAACATACTACTCCAGTGCACGCTGCACTGCACAAGTGCACATGCATCATCTGCCTCTTCTTCTTCACTGACTCCAGACAAGAGAGATACTACTACTTGATCAACCTGCATTCTCTCACATACTAGTGCATAGTTAGTTGATTCATAATGATTAACAGATTCGATGCATGCGAAATTAATAATTCACCTTTTGTAATACTGCTCCATTAATTTGCCTAGGTAACCAATTAATAGCAGCAATTGATGCATGGCAGCAGCTAATAATACCAGTACTTAAACAAAAAGGAACATTAATTAATTTGTTGTGTTGTGTTATTATTGGGGAAAAAACCAATTAATAAGGTGGGGTAACGTCGATGGAGCCGTTCCTGAAGAAGTTCTTCCCGGACGTGTACCATCAGATGAAGGGGGACAAGAAGAAGGTGAGCAACTACTGCCGCTTTGACAGCGAGCTCCTCACCGTCTTCACCTCCTCCCTCTACATCGCCGGCCTCGTCGCCACTCTCGTCGCCTCCTCCGTCACCAGGCGCTTCGGCCGCCGTGCCTCCATACTCATCGGCGGCTCCGTCTTCGTCGCCGGCTCCGTCTTCGGCGGCGCCGCTGTCAACATCTACATGCTCATCCTCAACAGGGTCCTGCTCGGCATTGGACTCGGCTTCACCAACCAGGTAAGCTACTACGCTAGTACGTAATAAGTTTGGTTGAGAAGATACTCCTATATACTGTAAGTTGTGTTGTTGTGTTTTGCAGTCGATCCCGCTGTATCTGTCGGAGATGGCGCCTCCGCAGCACCGTGGCGCCATCAACAACGGGTTCGAGCTGTGCATCAGCATCGGCATCCTCATCGCTAACCTCATCAACTACGGCGTGGACAAGATCGAGGGCGGGTGGGGGTGGAGGATCTCCCTGTCCATGGCCGCCGTCCCCGCGGCGTTCCTCACCGTGGGCGCGCTGTTCCTGCCGGAGACGCCCAGCTTCGTGATCCAGCGCAGCGGCGACGTGGACTCGGCTCGGGCGTTGCTGCAGCGGCTGCGCGGCACGGCGGCGGTGCACAAGGAGCTGGAGGACCTGGTGATGGCGAGCGAGGTGTCCAAGACGATCAGGCACCCGCTGCGGAACATGCTCCGGCGTCGGTACAGGCCGCAGCTGGTGATCGCGGTGCTGGTGCCCCTGTTCAACCAGGTGACCGGGATCAACGTGATAAACTTCTACGCGCCGGTGATGTTCCGGACGATCGGGCTGCGGGAGAGCGCGTCGCTGATGTCGGCGGTGGTGACGCGGGTGTGCGCGACGGCGGCGAACGTGGTGGCGATGGCGGTGGTGGACAGGCTGGGGAGGAGGAGGCTGCTGCTGGTGGGAGGGGTGCAGATGCTGGTGTCGCAGGTGATGGTGGGGGCGATCCTGGCGGGCAAGTTCAGGGAGCACGGGGAGGAGATGGAGAAGGAGTACGCGTACCTGGTGCTGAGCGTCATGTGCGTCTTCGTCGCGGGCTTCGCCTGGTCGTGGGGGCCCCTCACCTACCTGGTCCCCGCCGAGATCTGCCCTCTGGAGGTGCGGTCGGCGGGGCAGAGCATCGTCATCGCCGTCATCTTCCTCCTCACCTTCCTCATCGGCCAGACCTTCCTCGCCATGCTCTGCCACCTCAAGTTCGCCACCTTCTTCCTCTTCGCCGCCTGCCTCTGCGTCATGACGCTCTTCGTCTTCTTCTTCCTCCCTGAGACCAAGCAGCTGCCCATGGAGCAGATGGATCAGCTCTGGAGGACGCATTGGTTCTGGAAGAGGATCGTCGGCGACTCCCCCCAACAACAAGTAGTCGAGCTACACCACCACCACCAAAGATCATCATCAGAATAAACAAACTAAATCACTAAACACGCCTTCCACCTAAGTATATACGCATCATACCCTATATAATATAATATGCATGTATTAATTAACTGATGATCGACTGTATGCATAATGCATGTACACTACTACTACATATATACAACAGCAACAGTCAGCCAGCCGCCCACAATAAGATCAGCCCAGCTCAATTGCACCTTAATTAGTTAATTAAGAGGCTGATCACAAAATAATTACTCCATATGTGCAACCATTTGTGGCCTCACGCCTTGTTAACTCTCTGTAACAGTATTACTATGCATATATATAATTTGCATAATGGAAGATGTTTCCTCTATAAAGTTGTCCGTATTTAAATTGGTTGGACATCACCCATATCCAATCAACATGAGTCTAAGTTAACTATTATACACCCCCTCTCAGCCTAGCCAACCCAACCCAATTGGCTCACCCCATCACACACACTGTCCCGCGCGCATTTGTATCCATCTGCTTTTTATTCCTTTTCCTTTTTTTTCTTTGCTTATTAGTCAACGCTATTTTGATATATAATCAACGTCACTAATTATTAATTTGTAGACCGACACTATCGAGGGAGTAGATCTCGACCATGGTATTTGTAGAGTATGAGAATCGTTGGTGCCAAGGTATACACGAGATTAAGGTAAGAGAGACTGGAGACAAGGACTTTTATATAAGTTCAGTCCCCTTAACTTACAATTAATAGTTCTACTTCTATTGGCTGAAGCTGGTGTTGCCTTCATGTATCAATATCTTACTAATACAATATTTGGGATGACCTAATCTGATCTATGTCGGTTTGGTGGCATTTAAGCTCTCACATGTAGTCAACATATAATGTAGTTTTCTTTCTCGAATTTGAACTGGGGGAGATTGGAGATAGCTCTCAATATCTTACTAATACAATATTTGGAATGACCTAATCTGATCTATGTTGGTTTGGCGGCATTGAAGCTCTCACATGTAGTCAACGGATAATGTAGTTTTCTTTCTCGAATATGAACTCGGGGAGATTGGAGATAGCTCAAGATCCCTCATGTCGGTATTTGTGATGCCTACATTAGATTTGTATATATCTGTATTAACTTGTATTCTGACTTGTCTTGTCCCCTCTCCTCTTAGGGGGTCTTGTATTTATACCCTCAAATGCCCTTTTGTCCCAAGTAGAATTAGGGAGCAAGTATAGATACGATCCGTGTTAGTTCTTATAGTGCCCGAGTAGAACTCTACTTTTCCTTCCTTATCGGGAACACCTTCCGTATATGAGGCATAATTCTGTATAATACTTGGTATGTGGTGGATCCGTACCGAGCCCAACTCAGCATGCCTTATCTATAACACTTACTTACACATCATATATAGTGAATATTAACATAATTGCAATGTAAGTATTAAAATTACAATGTAATTTTAAAATTTATAATTACAATGTGAGTGTAAGCAAGTGTATGTTATTTACATTTGATATGCTTTTGGTAAAATTTGTGGTACCATAAGTAGATAGTCCCTCCTCTTTTTTACTCTTCCAAATTTCTCTCCTCCTTTTGAAATTATCATAGTTTAAGCTGTGTAAGTGGTAAGTTTGTTGCTTTGCAAATGCTTTGCATATATAGTTAAAGAACTTTCACTAATTGAATAATCAAAATTTTAATCTTTGGTCGATAATGTATAGTAAAATACACGTGTCAACTTATGGAATAGCCTGTATATATAAGGGATTCTTCGTGTAATGACACATGAATTCAGCGCAACCGGATTCAATGCTATATATGATTTCTGACTCTGTTTTACCATTGTTTTGTTTGTCATTTAAATTGGCAACGTTTTTATCAGTCGTGAAATTTGTCTTCACCTGTTGTAACGCATGGATATTTTTCTAGTTATATACTATATTATATAATATACCCTGTTTAATTTTTATTTATTTTGTTTTTTGAGAGGAATCTTCTTTTTTACTCCGTCTGAGAGGAGACTTCCAACGGGCCGGGATTGAGGCAATGAGGCCTTTACCTCGAAACAAGGCATCCTCAGAGAAAGAGAGGCAAAATGTTTTTTGTTTTTATTTTCTTGCGGTAAAAAAGAGAGGCAAAATGTTAGTGGGCCTAGCTGGCTCCGTTCCGTTGCCATCGCTCCGCATTCGAGGACGTGTGGCGTGGCATTTGTGCGTCTCCATCGCCACTTCACTTGATTCGCCGCCGACGAACTCCCCTCGCCGGACAAGTAAAGTAAGCTCATCTCTTGCGCTTTTCCTCTTGTCTCTTCCAATCCACAGATCCACTCCATTGCTTCACTACTGCTTTGCTTTTGATTGAAAACATAAGGAGATGGATCCTGATCCTCTTCCTCTCCTCTCCTTAGGGCATGTGAATGTGTCAGAGATGATGGCGCCTCCTCTCACTGTTGGATTGGCTCTCACTGACTCTAAATCCAGCACCTACGCCCTCCAATGGGCTTTGTCCAGGTTTAAGTTTACCAAAGATGACGACGCCCCCATCTTCCTTCTTATTCATGTCCTCACTAAACTCTTGACAGTACCCACACCCAGTAATTATCCTATCCCTCCCTCTCTTCTTCTTATTATGCGTCCATCCATTCTTTCTTTTGCATATCAATCTTGCTACTTAAAATATTTACATGCAGTGGGGAACCATATCCCAATTGATAAAGTCCGAACCGATGTTGCTGATGCCTACTTCAAGGATGTACACCACCAGGCACAACAAATGCTCCTCCTCTACAAAAACATGTGCCATCAAAACAAGGTTTTACTTTCTTTCTTTCTTTCTGCTGTCTCACCTGTCCTTCCTTCCTAGTAACATGTAGTACTAGTAACAAGTATATATGTGTATGTGCGTAGCCTACCATTTCCTATTTTTATAATTTAAGCGCTTAATCAACTGACCTCAGGTGAAAGCTCAAGTATTGCTTATCAAGGGCAACGACGTGTCACAAACTGTTTCCACTGTTGTTTCTGACTATCAAATAAAGATCCTCATCGTCGGTGTCACTGCTAGGACTAGGTAATCTGACTTTCGCCACACCAATTCACTAAAAAATAAACCAATATACATGCATAGTATTGTTGATGATTCGACGAAATGTCCTTCAGGAAGCCATTTGGAAATAGGACATCCTCCAAAATTTGCAAGAATGTCCCAAGCTTTTGCACAGCTTATCTTGTATCAAAAGATGGATTGTCTTCGCTTTATTCTTCTTCATTAGAAAGTGACTTAGCGTCGAGCTCCAAGAGTGATGATCTTTCAGATGAAATGTCTTCAAGCTCAGGTAAGGACTTGTCAAGCTAAGACGGAATATTTCTAGTATGCTGCTTTTTTCCTGTGCATCTCTGCTGTGCAATATAATTTCTTCTTTCCCATTTCTCCTTATTTACTTATTACTGCTGAAAAATGAAAAACTATAGCAGACTTGCAGGAAGGTATAAGCATATTGTTTTCAATATTTATTCTGCTCTTCAACATGTTGACCTCCATATTCCCCTTGTCATCATCTGAAGGTTACTTGTTCCCTTGCTTCAGTAACTTCCAATAATAGTTCAGACCAGAGCCCGTTTGATTCTCCAAGGCTGCTAGGCTCCAACTTACCATCAGAGAACCCTAAAAATAGTTCCCCTGCACACCGTAACCGTTCACTTACTCTATACGATTATCTCAATGGAAGCACTTCAATATATCCTGACAAGGATAGAAGAGTTAACTCTTCCACTGGTACGGAAAGCTCCAAACCTAGTGAACTGAAGGGGTCAAATGAGGTGCTAAGACAAGAAAGCTTGCTGCAGGGAATGCTTTCAGACAACAAGGTTAGTTGTGCAATTCGTTGGTGATTGACTCGTTGTGAATTTTGGACTTCTGGTGACATGCACATGCATCTTCAGTGAATGTTGTATTTAAACTTGTGCTGTTGATCCACAACTTTGGTGATGTGCACATCATCAGTGAACGCTGTTTTTAAGCCTCCAGTGATTTGATATCACGTTGTTAATAGACAGATAAATTCAGAGGACTCCTTTCTTAAACTTTGCTACAGTACTTTGTTTACCTGTAATCACATTGGTAATCGACATTATCAATTACCATCAGATTGATGATATTAGATTTACTGCCTACTTGTTGAATTTATCAGGTATTCCTGCCTCAGTCAGGTAAATGTTTGCTTAGACCTTGTGATTACTTGTTATAACGCAGGACCATATCAGTACAGAGCTTGAAAAGCTAAGGCTTGAACTGAGGCTTATACAGGGGAAACATAAACTTGTTCAGGATGAGTCCGATGATGCATCACGCCAGGCAAGTAAAGTGGATTTGATATGCTATCAAAGAGTATGAGTTCACAGATGCAGCACATGTCCAAACCATCTTACTTGTGATCTTTATTGATGCCAGATGGCTGAATTAGCTGCAAAGCGCATGGAAGAGGAAGCTCAACTAAGAGAGATACAATCTAGGCTGGATAAGGCCAACGACAACGTAGAGAAGCAGAAGGCGCATCGATATGCTGCAGAGCAGGCGCTGAACCATGTGCAGGATCTTGTAAGAGGGGAGGTTATGCAGAAAAATATGCTGCAGGTGAAAGCATCCCGTGATGCTGATAAGAAGTTGAGACTGGAGAAGCTCTTTGTGCTTCAGGGCAACTCATACTCAACGTTTACATGGGAGGAGATTGATAACGCTACATCATCATTCGCGGACAATCTCAAGATTGGAAGTGGAGCTAACGGAACAGTATATAAGGGGTATCTCAATCACTCAGCTGTGGCAATAAAGGTCCTCCATTCTGATGACAATTCCAGTAACAAGCATTTCAGGCAAGAGGTACTAGTACCCGAATTAAATTATATGCTTTCATACTAACAAACAGTTAGGATAGGCATACATCATATCACCTTATTTTTAATATTCATAGCATAGTTGAACTGCCATGCCAAGCATGTATGTAGAGCAAAAGTGTAATACAGTATTAAGAAGTTAATTTTGCAGCTTGAGGTTCTGGGGAAGATACATCACCCGCATCTGGTGATGCTCCTGGGAGCGTGTGTGGAGAGGGGGTGCCTGGTGTACGAGTACATGGAGAATGGCAGCCTGGAGGAGCGGCTGCGGTGCAAAAGCGGTACGGCGGCGCTGCCGTGGTGTGACCGGCTGCGCATCGCCTGGGAGGTTGCCTCTGCCCTTGTGTTCCTCCACAGCAGCAAACCAAACCCAATCATTCACCGGGACCTCAAGCCTGAGAACATCCTCCTGGACGGCAACCTGGTGAGCAAGGTTGGTGATGTGGGGCTGTCAACACTGGTGTCAAGTGGTAGTGGTGGCAGTAGCAGTACCATGTACAAGAAGACGGCTCTGGCTGGGACGCTGTTCTACATAGACCCAGAGTACCAGAGGAGCGGGCAGGTGTCGGTGAAGTCGGACACGTACGCGCTTGGCATGGTGATGCTGCAGCTGCTCACGGCGAGGGCACCCATCGGGCTGGCGGAGGTGGTGGAGCGAGCGGTGGAGGACGGCAAGTTGAGGGACATCCTGGATGAGAATGCAGGGTGGACTTGGGCCATGGAAGAGGCGCAGGAGATGGCTGACCTAGCGCTCAGGTGCCTGGAGATGAGAGGCAAGGACCGTCCTGACCTCAAGACCAGGGTCGCCGTCGACCTGGACCGCCTCAAACGCCGGGCACTGCCAACGCAGCCGCCGCCGGAGCACTTCATCTGCCCCATACTCAAGGTCCCTGTCTCTGTCTCTTCTTCTTATTATTGCCTTGGCAAGCTTGCAAATGCAAACTCCTAACTAACACCTCATCCATGAGATGCAATGCAGAGGGTTATGCAAGAGCCGTGCATCGCGTCGGACGGCTACTCGTACGAGCGCCACGCCATTGAGATGTGGGTGTGCGACAAGGATGTGTCTCCGGTCACCAATGTTCGGATGCCAAACAAGACACTTGTGCCCAACCGCTCTCTGCTCACCGCCATCACTGCCTGGAAGTCCCAGGGTGGCCGCAAACCCACAAATAAATTTGTTACTACTTCTCCGAATCATTTGTGATACCATCATGTAAGATCAGCTCAATTTTGTCTTCATATATAGGAGTACTTGTTACTTGAACTCCTAGTTTGGTGAATGTATACATGATGAGGAATACATATACTTGCACAGGGAATGAAACGCGTATCCTGCACTGTACACCTGTATCTTTTTACAATCATCATCAGAGCCAAGAAAGAGGCTGCAACATGATACTAGTACTAGTAGCTAGTTGAGCACAAACGCTTCCCCACCGATGGTGTTGGTGATGGCACGCCAAGTCGCAGCAATCCAAGCCTTTCCATTGTCCTTTCCCTTCAAGTAGGGCACGATGTACTTCATCATGTCAGTCTTGGAAATACCCAGGTGCCCCCCTGGCACGGACACGAATTTCACTCTCCCCTCATCATCCAGCGTCTTGAGACCAATCCAGTCCTCCATGTACAGCTTTGTCTGCAACCACAACACCAGGACATGTTGCTACCAATGTTAAGGCCAGAGGATTTACTTCATTCCATTTGCACTACATGCAATGCAAGGCTCAACCTTCTGAGGGGGCAGGACAGGATCGAAACCTCCATCTGGATAGTAACCAAACCATGCTGTTTCCCGAGGTATCAAGACAGCGTCATCCTGAAACTAAACATTAAACAATGGATAAACACACTAAAGGCAGACTAATGAGTAATAAATTACCCCCCTCTGGTCATAAATATTTTACATTTAGGACAAGATTTAGTCAAACTCTTAAAAATTGGACCATCAATAATTTCCCAAATGCTTAGTTTAAAATGAAATATTATGTGTAGATTTCTCTTCGAAAGCACTGTTATAATATCATAAACTCATTAGATTTTATTAACTTAATCTAATATAGAACTAATGGTCAACACATGCGGTGACACCACAATGATGAACAACTCCAAGTTGCTGGCTTGCTGCATGAGCTCCAGCTCCACATATGAAGCAAGTTTAGCCATGGAACAGAGGTAGCAAACAGGTTAGCAGGGGATCAGCATCGGCCAACAATCTACCCAACTTATCTTATTGCCACCAGGGTACTGCTGATGGGTCCATACAACTATACCCTGGTGATATGCTCCAGAATTCTAGAACAGTCAGGGCGCTATACAAGTAGAAATCGGATAAACCTAAGTAGATACCAAGGAGTTAAGGAACACAATTGTTGACGCTTATAAACCGATGCTACCAACAGTCTTGGAGGTTGAACATGAACATAATCAAAATACAACCTTGGACTATATTAAACTTACCATGATTAATACCAAATTCTCTAAGCTGCTAAACCTTTCCTTGTAGGTGGCATTTCTTTCACCTGGTAACTCATTGTTAAGCTTTGGAAGAAATCTACAACCCTTTAAATAATCTGAAATATCCTGAAAAGCATAGGAAGGTTATGCAAACTTCAGTTAATCGAAACATTAACATAAATACACATCAAATTCTATTTCCAGTAATTATCATGCCTTGAAGAAAGATCGGTGTTTTCATCATTTTACTAACTTATAATTTTTTTTCTGATAGTTTGTAACTACAAGGCAATAATTGAAAAATCAAATTAAAATTTCAACCAAGCAACATAAAAAGCATTATGTCTTCAGGGTGATGACAAAAAAGAATTCAAGTCATAAAAAACTCACAGTTGGGATTTTCATGTAACCACTAGGTGCAAGATGTGCCTGCAATTCACCATTCAATAAATTATTCCACAAAAAATCCACCTAAGTATTTTCAAGTGCAAATGACTACACGAACCTGGACATAGTCTGAGTAGATCTCCATTTTAATCAGGGAATCAGCAAGAATGCAAAAAATACCAGACTGCAAATAAACAAAGATGAGCTATTATAGGTAGCTGCAGTAAAATTAACATCAAGGTACCACACATGTATTCTTGTGAAATAACTGTAACCAGGCAGAGTTCACATTCTTTACAACAGTAACAATATTACAAGGTTTGGCATAATCTTAAAGATCCTAGCAGCTCACCCATTGTGTGACCAATCATATCTCCTAATCATGCCAAGTCCCTCAAGAATCAAGTTGAGTTACCTAAATGCTAAAAACGATATATCTGATCTAGTACCAGTTTTCAAGCTCTGCAAGCCTGCATCAGATTGGAAAAATGGACTAAATGCACATTACCATCCCTACACACCACCAATGCTAATAACTTTCCATTTTGGAGCAAACATGTGGATGGATATATGTCCATATATATAGGTTGGCATACATTATTTGTGATGTGGTGATGGTGGAATTTCACCAGTCATAGCATTCAGGTAAATAAGAGATGCCACATACTGATGTTGTTAGTCTACCTTGTCAGTACCAAGTACTTTTAATAGATAATGAGTGTATGTGTCATCTGAGAAGATCCATGCACAATCTTGGATTATTAAATTTTAACTTTTCATCACAAACTAGGTATCACTTGGAAACAATGAGATGAACTTACACCACAAAGTGGCACTGAAGCAGTACCAGCATGAGGGCCACCGAGTGAAATGAAATTCTTGACCTGTTGAAGCACCACGAGATTGAAGAGCATTGTAACGTCAAGTACATGGTAGATTCAAGGTAGGAGGGCAGAAAAGGAGTCAAGAGGGGGACACCCCCTAAAAAACACACACACCTAAAAAAAAAACTGTTCTTTGTACCCAGAAAGGACAACTCACCGGTGGCCCATCATCACAAAACTCAACAACTGCTCGACCAATCAGGTTCCCCTGTGGATATGATACAAGGGGTTACTAGGTTTTGAGAATACATTAAAACAGAAGTTAGTGACTGAAGTTGCTTTTTGGAGTGGGGACAGATGCAATGCCCAATATGTCACTAACTTGTGCCTGGAGGCAGTAATAACCAACGACTTATAACAAACTAATCCACTAGTCACATGAAAAGTGTAGCATTTTTCCTGAACAAATTTGTGATAGAAATGAGAATTAAAATGAGCATACAAAAACAGAGAGCAAATTAGATTAACGATTGATATGGAATCATTTTTCTTCCTGTAATGTTTTGAGTAACTAGTGCTCTGTTCTTAGAGAATATACAGCAGGTGGAAAAAAAACAGCTGCATAGCATTGCAGTTGGTAAAAGGAAGTGGCGCGAACCATAAACAATACAGACAGCAGTGCAAGAGTATACCTGTGAAAGACCAACTATATTGTAACCATTGGAGAGTTCCTTCATTTCTTTTACCTGGAAAAGAAAAGGGTACAATCCAGTGATGATACATACATCATCATAGCGTAGGAAGGTATTATCCAAAAGGGAAAGTTGAATCACCTTACTGCAAACAATATCAGCCTGTTGAGACATGAGGGAGAAATTAGTACTATGTGGAAAGAATATAGAAAGAGTTGTTTTTATTACTGGTACTAGTAGGTAAACAAGATTCCTAGGCTAGCTAGATTGAAGAAGTCAAGTAGTGGACCTGTTTCTGAAGAGGCATTAACCAAGAGTCCCATGTTCCACTTCCGATTTCACTATGCGTTTTCCATCATTAGCAGGCAGTAGCACAAGTAATTAATTAATTAATTAATTAATCTAATTGAGAAGGGAAGGAAACTGAAAAAGAAAGAAAGAGAGATGTAGTGTAGTGTAGTAGTACAGGCAGTAGCCATGGGAGGCGGACCAGTCGGCGAGAAGGCGGGTGAACTTGGCGACACCATGGTTGGCGCACTGGTCTCCGATCCCTGCACGCACGGCACGGCAGGAGGAGTATCAGTAGCTGCTACTTGTCAAACCGAAGTACTCCATCATAATAGTAGGTGTTGGAAGCCAAGGGACGGACGGGGTGACTGAGTCTAACCGTGCAGGACGATGAAGGGCACGGCGGAGGCTGGTGGCGCGAGGACGAAGACGGCGACGCCGACGAAGACGAAGACGAGGGAATAAGCGGCCATCTACTACTAATCTTTCTTTCTTTCTTGTACTCCTCTTCCTCCTCCTCGCCCAACCCCCCAACCCCCAACTTCTCCAACCCAAATGAAAGAAAATGGGAAGCGTGGGGAGACGAAGCCCCTTATTCTCTAGGTGGTCCCCTGATCCGATCGCTCCCCCTTGGCCCACCAGGAACCTTTCAAACAAAAAATGATACCCCAACTTCATCATTTTTTCAATATTTTTTGTAAACCAAGTTTATTCTGCCCCTACTCTATTATTAATAAGACTTAATAATATTTAAAATATATAACCCCTCCATCCTAACATATAATTATTTATAATGTTTAGGTTTTTGTTTCATAATCTCCCACTTATCCCTCGTCTTAACCAATCGTCTTAACCAATCATAACCACCAAAACTTTATGTGTAACATCGTGTACACCTACTAACAAATATCATCTAAAACTCTAGAAAAAAATGTATATAAACTTTCAATAGTATTACATTTATGTATAAAATCTTGACCTTAATTTTAAAATATTTTAGCCGTAACAAAAAAAGATAAAATTTCTAATAGTTTTAGGAGTATAAATCTGAGATTTTTTATTTTACTCCTAACCCCTATCTCTACTATTATAAAAATTGAAGATGTTTTTGCCAGTATTTTGGTATGTCATCCATATTTGAGTTGGTTTTTAAGTTTATTCGTCTTTGGAAATAATTGATGATTTTGACACCAAATATTTTATATTTTTCACATGAATTTGACATCTGTTTTGACATTCACATGTTTAATGTAAAAAAGAAAAGGATCGAGCACAAGGTTGACATAAACTTAAATACTATTAAGTCTTATTTTTTTAAGGAAGCCATTTGGCGCGCTTTATTAATCTACAAACATAATTACATCGTTCACTAGAACGTTCAGCAAGAAAATTAGGGCTTCGTCAACCCAATTACAGGAATTCTTAAACTTAAAAGCATGATTAAGTCTTGTTAACAGAACAGAGGCAAAATACAAGTTTTACTTGAAAATGTGGAGGTAAAATAACAATTAAAGTTAAGGAAAAAGTACGAATTACCCCCACCCCTGAACTATCGAGGTCGACCAAATTACACCCCTGAACTTAAAAACTAGTCATTCTACACCATCAACTATTGAAACCGGACAAATAACCCCCTACTCAATCCGGGGTGGTTTTGGGTCCACGTGGCAGTCCAATAAGTATTTTTTTTAAAAAAATCAGTGGGCCCCACTTGTCAGTTCTCCACCCCTCTCTATCTCTCTCTAGTCTATCCCAATCTCTCCCTCTCTCTCTCTCTTCTCACCAGCATGGCGGCGGCCGCGCGAGGGCGGGAGTAGGCGGCGCTGCCGGCGGTGGAGGGCGCCGGGCGGCTGAGACGGAGGCGGAGCAAGCGGCCAGCAGCGGGAGGCAGAGCTCGCCCGCGTAGGTTGCCGTGCAGGTTGAGGCGGCTGAGGAGCGTCGTCGTGGTGTGCTGCTGCCTTGTCGTCATAAAACAAGCTTCTCTTCCCTCACCTTTTGCGTGGCCTCGCCTGCCCTTGTTCACCTCACCTCAGCTCGTCTCTCTGACTTTGATCTCGTCGTCCCGAGTTCACCGGACACGCCCACGTCCACCACGGCGGCGATGGAGGGCGCCGTGCTCTGCGCCGCCAACCACGCGTCGCTCACCCCCATCACCTTCCTCGACCGCGCCGCCCTCGTCTACCCCGACCACCCCGCCATCGTCGCCTCCTCCTCCGGACTCACGCGCACCTGGCGGGAGACGCGAGACCGCTGCCTCCGCCTCGCCGCCTCCCTCGCCGCCCTCGACGTCCACCGCCACCACGTGGTAAGATTGACCTCCGTTCGCCGCCGCCAATCAATACAGTAATTGGATTTTTCTCCCAAATCTCCCCCTTCTTCAATTTTTCATGCTAAAAAAAACCAAATCGCTTAGAATTTACTTGTTGAATCTTCTAATTTGGTTCCGAATTAGCAGCTGAGTGATTCGTATTTTCAGAAGAAATCGTTGCCTGGTTGGTTGTCTCTGTGTGCAGGTCGCGGTGTTCGCGTAGAATATTCCAGTGATGTGCGAGCTCCACTTCGGCATCCCAATGGCCGGCGCCATCATCTGCACGCTCAACTCCCGCCTCGACGCTTCCCGGCGCCCTCCGCCGTCGGCTCCCGCCCTCGCGTGGCCGCCACATTGGTGGGGTCCACTGACGTAGAGAGGGAGACATTGGGATAGAGTAGAGAGATAGAGAGGGGTGAAGAACTGACAGGTGGGGTCCACTGATTTTTTTTTAAAAAAATACTGACTGGACTGCCACGTGAATCCAAAACCACCCCGAATTGAATTAGAGGGATTATTTGTCCGGTTTCAATAGTTGAGGGTGTAGAATGTCTGGATTTTGAGTTCGAGAGTATAATTCGATCGACCTCAATAATTCGGAGGATAATTCGTACTTTTTCCTAAAGTTAAAGACGGGATAAGAACGCACTTGCCATAAAGGAAAAAAGAAGATAAAAGAAGAGACAAAAGACAATAGGCAGGATAATGTATGCGCCCAACACTTCTTGTTGAATCAAAGCATAGCAAGCGATCTGTTTGGTTCGCCAACAATTAAGACGGCTACATTACTCCAGTAAAGCATCAGCCCTCTCAAACAATAGAGAGAGAGAGAGAGAGAGAGAGAGTAGCAGGCAGAACAACAACAGAGAGACGGACCGAACATCTATTCAACTTCCACAACTGCAAATCATTCATTTGTACAAACAAATCAGTTACACACAACAAAACAAAACAGGAAGCCCACCTAGGTAACTCAAATGAAGTCAATCATTCTCCAACTAGTTACAGCATATACATACCACACTGTCAACGCACTCCTCCCCTCCCCTCCCCTCTCTCAAAACAGCATATACTTATAATGGAAACATGGCCCTTCGCCACAGTTAGACAATCACATTCACTACCTCTAGTGTAAGACACACAGAATTACCATTCATGGATTATACATTCAACTATTCAAGGTTGACTGCCCACAGCATACCCCTCCTCCAGCCACATCGCCACTCAGCAAGAAATCATCAGATTGATCCTCAGAAAACAACCCCACAAGTAATACTTGAACTATATCAATGGAGAATACATGCAATTACAAGCTATCCCTGCCAGGAGTTAATATCTTATCTTTTGAAGATACAACATCGCTACTTGGGGTTATTAGAAGATGGTCTAAATCATCCGCATCACTTCCGTCAACAATGGATGCATTAGACTCCATATCATCATCTGTAGCAACAGAATCTTACCAATTACAAATGACAAGTTACAGTGTGTATAATTCACATCATATGTTCATATGGAAAACAGAATATGAAAATGGCAATTAAACTCACGGCCATGCTAGGTTTACCAAGATCTTCCATGATGTCTAACCATTCATAGAAAATACCGGTAGGATATATTAAATGGTTCCAAACTTGTAGAAATTATTGGCTCTAATAATAAGAAATTTAGTTCACTACTTGTGAAACGGTTAACGATTTGAATGTATTAGCAGAATGTTTTGATTAATTCGGTTAATCATTATAACTAAGATCGATTATTGGATTATATATGGAATATAAACAAAAGACTACAAGAGTAACTATACTGTTAGTCAGTCATAGCATGGCACTTCACTAACGTTAATTGCATAACTTTTGAGATGTTAAACTCAAGCATATAAGAAACCTAACGCTCGAATATTAGGATGCAGCTAGATTACATCAAACCTCGGGAAAATATCTCCACTAATTCAACATCACGTTGGGAGGAAATGTGGTATAAATAAATGATTTGAGTATGACCAGCTAATGCAATGTTGATAGAGCCAACTAGAAGAACAAAAGGAGGAAGGAAGCATATGCCAATAATTTACCCAGGCAGTACAACCTAGAAAGGTCAACATCAAATCATGTGCTTGGACTGGTAGAAACATCTTAGGTAATTAATTTATATAAGCAGTCCAACCCAAAAATGGATGTGTGCAGGAAAATAAACAATTGAATCCATCCATACGCACTAACTGGGGGAGGGAGAGAGAGAGAGTTTACCAGGAAACTCGGGGGGATCGGTTACATCTTTGACAGCGGAAACCTTGATGCTTTCAGGCAGTACACAGTTGCAGAAAGAACCTGCGATCCCAGCAATAGTTTAGAATCATCAAAATCGAGGAACAATAGGTTATGAGTTTGTGTTGCAGAAGCAAACCTAATCTGGCAAGTCGATTGACCCATCCAGGAATTGGCTTTCCAGTCAGACGCTTGCAGATGTCTGCTGTAAAATGATTACAATTCTTTGCAATCAAATGATAAGTGTCCCCGTGATAATCCTCTGCAAGATCCTCTATGAAACTGCGGACTTCCGAACGAGACATATCAGTGGAACCCACGCACACGGAGCGTCTGAAGATAAAGCCAGGACAGCTTTTGGGCTCTACTTGGAAGACTCCGCTGGTTGGGTATTCATGGGCTCCAAACCCATACTCCATGCCATGCACTGCAAATGGTATTGGAGTTGTTAGGTGCTGATCCCTGGATGTCAAACCAAAAAAAAAGTAATGGTTGCAAAGCAAACATGGGAATTCTATGAGCAGCTAAGGCATCAGCAGACTGAAGACCTTAGAACAAATAACAGTTGGTCCAGCCCACAAGTAATATATAGCAAATGTGCTAGATACGTGTGTAGCAAAAGAAAAAAAGGGGGGGGGGGGTAAAAGTTGGATATAGCAAAGCAATACTGCTTAGGTTTGTGCCGTTTGTACTCCATTTGGAGACCAAATGAAGTCTCGATGAGGCGATTGAACAGCTGAGCTCACATACAGGCTGCGCGTAGAGAGCAGGGTTCGCAGAGCCAATGAAAGCCGATTGGTTTTCGCGGGTTTTCAATGTTTCGATGCGGATGGAAATCAATTTTCGGTTGGAATATTTGGTGGTTTTGACAAATTCAAATGGTAAACAGTAAACTTGATCAAAATGCAGGCAGAATTTTGTCCCAAAGCGTGATAAATCCGGTGGTCAACAAGTAATGTGAACCTTGCCTGGTAGAGAGTCGGACTTGGGGCATTGACAGGGTGTTAGGGTAAGTTGCACATGTTGTTTCTAATTAGAAGTAACGGTAGGCACACACAAGAATTGGTGGCGTGTGCCGTGTAGGGGGGGGGGGGGGGCTTATAGGATGTGGTGAATTGTAGAGCATGAGAATTGTTGGTTGGGATTAATAATAATACAAGAGAAAGAAAAGAAAAGGGGGAAAATGGTACTAGTAAGGTAGTACTCCAGAGTAGAAGAGCAAAGCAGGTCCCGAAGGAAGCAAGCAGCATACGGCATACGGCAAGGCATGTAGGTGTGGTGGTACCTCGATCCTGACCTATCTGGAGTACGCCTACTATACTACCAGGTTAGAGGTAGGGTCCCTGGCGGGGCGTGGCGTGGCGTAGAGAAGGTAAATCTACGCACAAGGAAGGGGGAAGGAGATAGAGTGATATAGACCTTCGATGCCGGAGTGGAAGATGCCGAGGCCGAACCAGTAGAGGTAGTGGTTGATTGGGGAGATGTCGTAGATGTTGAGGTACAGCTCCGCGCTGCTGCTGCTGCTGCTTTTTGGAGCAGGAGGAGGAGGGGCCGGCGGCGGCGGCGCCGGGGTGGGGGAGTTGAGGCGGTCCGCGGAGGCGGAGGCGGAGGAGGAGGCGGCGGAGGACCACGACGCCGGGAGCACCCGCATGGCGGGATCTGCGGCTCCTCCGGTGCTTCCCCCCCTGGGTTGCCTTCGCCTTCCAACACCAAGAAAGAGAGAGAAAGAAAGAGAAAAGAGAAAGGAAATGAAAGGAAGGTGACTCTGCTGCCGCCGGTGCCCGTCTACTACTCCTAGTTACTACCAGACCAGACGAGACCCGCTGCTGCTGCTTCTTTCTTTCTTTCGTCGCTCGCCGGCAACCCAACCCCTTCATCACCTCATCCAAACATAACTTCTCTTTATGCCACTAGTACCACTAGTACCAAATACCTGTCTCTATATGCCTCCATGTACATACAATCCACTCTTATAAATATATTTTCTAAACGTTTCATAATTAACTACTACTTTAGTCTAAAAATATAACAATTTTTTAGTACTATTAAACACGTTTAGTTTAAAGTCTTACGGATATCAATAGAGTTTAGATTCCGGATTTTCTAAAATTTGGTATGGTAGCAATGGCAAGAATGTGTTTGGGACTGTTCACTTTGTTGCCAAAAAAACTAATTTTGGCATAGTTACCAAAATTTTGACAACTTGCCAAAATTTTGGCAGGATTTCTTGTATAGTTATCAAAATTTGGCAACAAACTAAATGTAGCCACTTTTTGGTAACTTTATCAAAATTTGGTAAAGTTAAAAATGACATCAAAGTGAACAGCCCCTTTGCTTTGTTGCCCTACCAAGATTTGGTAATGTTAAAATCTGATATGATTAAAAACAAGAAAGTGAATAAAGCCCTTAGCTCTACTTGTAATAACACATTAAGTTACAACATATCTCAACTCAGCTTGTTAACATGTACTAACACGTTAAACAAGAAACTTACTTAGCTCAACTTGTTAACATGCTCGACCTGGCTTGTTAACAATACTAGCTAGTACATGTTACACAAGGACTCAAAAGAAGCCACCTGTCAGTGGGCGCGCGGTTGTAAACTTTGTGGCACGTACGCCTACAACTTATCAACAATGGACTTGTAGTTTAACGCATGACGAGCTAAGCTAGCTTGAGCGGACACATTAAACTGCTAATACATATTCAGATTCGTAGTAATAAAAAATATCTGGTTTCTTATATTCTGAAATAGAGGGAGTAGTACTTATATTAGCTGGTTCAATAGATAAAGTTTACTAGCATGGCAACAACTACTTACTGTATATGATTAAATTGATCAAAGTGTGTGTTAGGTCTACCTCAAAGTACAGGTTGACATTGAAAAATGGCGTGGACAGGCACTACGCATCACTACTACAAGAGTATGCGTACCCGCATTATACTAACCTAAGCAACCTGCAGACTCATACAGAGAGAAACAACAGGAGCTAGGTTTGTTTATTAATGTGGTGTACTTGTACCCCACTATGGTATGGCTAGGCTAGCTACAGCAAAGACCACTGACTGATGGATCATCCAAAAACAAAAGGAGGAACTGATGGTCCAAAAACTTAAGAATACCATTATACTCTATATTAGGTGTCAACGTTACCTGCCTCATGGTCTCATGGACTACTACTAGTAGTATAGTAGTACATGCAAAGATCTGAGTGAGGTACAATAAATCCAACTTTATTACGAGGAGAGTAAATGTTCGATCCACATGCAATAAACCAAATGGGATGGGAAAGGAAAATACTAAACAATACTACTGTCTAGGGAGTCAGATCGATGTTCAGAGATGGCATAATGCATAATGCATTGTCGTGTTGTAGGTTAAACAGTGTAGTGTTGATTGTTGACATCCTCCAAGTCGATTCCTTTCAGTTTAGCCACAGATTCCACCTTTCCTTTCAGAGTGTGCAATTCCCTCAACCTGTGGAAACAAATGTCACTCAATTTTATTTTTGTTTTGAAAGAGATGTCGGTCATTTCGTGAGCAGCAGATCGAGCATATGCAATTGAAGAAAGACTCCCATACATACATACACACACACACATATATATATATATATAACGACTTAACTGACCTTGTAATCTCAGCACGCCGTCTGGCCTCTTCAGCCATTTGGTTGAGCTCCGTTGATGCAGCTTTCTCCCGGCTTGCAGCAGACTGCAGCCCGTGTAGTGTGCGCTGCTCGTGTGCCCAAGCAACCACGCGAGCTTCCCTTCCGAAATCTTTCCGGTTTGTAAAAGCTACCTGAAAATGATGGGCAACTCAAGCTTCATGCTGCAGCCTGCAGCACAGAGAGGTACTAGTACTAAGTATATGCACTAACCTTGTTATCAATGACAAGGTTCCAGGCTTTCCCACTAAGGCCATATCGCACGGCGAATTTCATTGGGTCTAGCAAAAGGTAGACAACAATGTTGTACACCCAAATAGCCCCTGCCCAGCGCCAACCGATACCTCTGATGCTAGCAACCTCCCAGGTGGCAATGGCAGCTAACACAGTGGCAATCTGCATTAGAAAAATCAAGCACCCTCATTTGTTACACAAAAAATTTACACTAACTGCAAAAATTACATTCCAAATAGACTTCTCATAAATCCACTCCAAATGAATCTTTTCACACGCGCTAGTATATATATAGCAGTTGGAAGAAACATAGCGTTCGATGAAAAACTGAATCTTAGTCTGCACCAGTCATGGTAAATCTCACTCAAGACTATGTGGCAAGAGTCCACGTTGGAATCTGGACGACATGAACTACAGGCGACAAGTCTACAACTAGCTTAGCCCCGCGAATGGCCAATTGAAACCTCGAAAGGAAGGGGCCAAGTATGATTCACTCTCTTCCTCAGTTGGCAATTTAATGGCATGTTGCATAAATCAAGCTTCATAAAACACAAAAAAGGTGTTGCCCTAATCAGTAGTAATATCAATCATCTTGTGACAAACATGTAAAAATGCTCTTCTTATCATTAATTTTGATGACTTTGGTGTCATCGCTGGACAGAGTTTTTTTTTTTCAAAAAAACTGGACACGTAACGTGTGACTGAGCACTATCATTCTTGTGACAAACATGTAAAAATGCTCTTCTTATCATTAATTTTGATGACTTTGGTGTCATCGCTGGACAGAGTTTTTTTTTTTTTTTTTTTACAAAAAAACTGGACACGTAACGTGTGACTGAGCACTATCATTCCATAAAGCATGCAGTTTTAAGATGTGCTGCGCGAGTGCTCAGTATAGGATAAAGTGACTACATTATCATCCTATCAACAAAAAATAGCTATTATAAACTGAAATAAAACACTGATAAATGAAAATTATAGGAATAAACAAGAACTCACCAGCTGAGCTATGACAAATGCAGCCATAAGCAGGAGGCCAGGTCTCTCTAAGAAGGACCAACCTCTGGAACGTGTAACAAATATCAAAGCCTGACTAATGGTGCTCACTTGAAGGTAAACTGCAGAAGCCAATTTCTCTGTGTTCCTTGCCACCAATTCATTGTCTGTGGTGTCAACCTTGTTTATGTTCAGAGTGTCTACATTGAAAAGGTGCTGCAAGTAATGTGGAAAATACAAGTGAGTTTTGCTCAGGACAGCTAATTCTGTTGGAAAAGTAGAAATACATATAACTGGAAAGCATAAAGATAAGGTACCTCCGAAAATGCTGTATAAGTAACAGAAAGGACAAGAAAATTAGTTGATAAGCTGATATTCTAGTATTACTATGTATTTTAGGCACGGTTGACATCAAATACCATAATCCCAAATAAAGAGTTTCATCTCTGTTTTTTTTTTCAAAAAGGTACTAGCTCATCCATCATGCTAGATGTCTAAAATGATCAATATACAAGCATGCAAAATATATAAAGAAATGTCTTGCCATCAAAAGAGGTACATAAAGGACCGCATTAGTGAAGCAATGGTATTCACCACAAAAAACTGTGTCTTGTAGGCTGCCCAAAAGAACAACACAGTGGTTACAGCCAGATAAGCCCCAATAATCACTCCAGTTGCAAATATCTCTGTTAGCTTCCAACTGTCTGGATAGGGAGATGGTTTAACCTTATCTTTGGATATAGTCATTATGGTTCCTGAGTAGCAGATATCATTGGAAACAAAGAAACGAAAATTCATTGAGCAATAACATCTATGATGATAGGACAATAGGAGTCTGTCCTGTTTTTGGTAATAAAATTAACCTCTATGATGAGTGCAGACAGCAATGTTCTTACCATCATTAAGAATAGCTATCACAAGAACCAAAAATGGAGGAAAATCAAATTTCCAAAAGCATGCCAAGAGCAAAAAACCAAGCTGCAAAGATTAGATTGAATCAGTGAGGTAAAATATCAAGCTTGATACTACAACTTGTATATACTTGTACTAATCGGTTGTAATTGTAGAAGAAGTAGAATAGATGCCTCACACAAAGTGTGGAGGTGAAAACTCATATATATAGCTGAGTTACAGTTAGTGATACAAAAGACCAAGAGTTACACTTAATGCTAGTGCTGAGTTTACACTAAATGCTATAAGTTACATAAGCCCAAAAGTCTAGAAGAGAAACAGTCTAAGGATTAATAAATAATCCTAATACCCGCCCGCAGTTGCAGCGGGAGGATCACGAACGCAAAGACTGGACCGAAAGTCAGTAAATAACTGAACCGGTAAGCCTTTGGTCATGATGTCCGCAAATTGGTGCGATGAAGGGACGTGAAGCACCCTTGGTAAACCAGACGAATGACAAAGTGTAAGCAGTAGAGTTATAAATACAGAATAAGAACACGGTAGGCAACACAAACTTACCACAATACGTACAGTTATAGATACAGCGTATATCTGCAAAAGGTGTCAGAAATGGTTAGAGCATCTGCCCGCTTCCTTTTTGACAGAATGAAATACAGCTTTCTTTAAAACATGAAAAAGGAAGCGACGCTTTTCTCTTCTAAAAGAAAGCATAACTCCAATATGTTCAAGATTTGGAAGAACGATATTCAAGAAAGAAATACACAGATGCAAAGCACATGACCGTTAACTCTGAAACAGGTAGGTAGGATCCAAAAACCCACTAGGCGGAATTGGTTGGGATCTCAGCGGATGTGAAATGAAAATTCAGGTCCTAAGGTACCAATGCATCTTATACAGTATAAGAGAACCAAAGTTAATTCATGATTTAATTTCTTAATTTTTCATCCCAGGAATACTTCTACTTTCGTACACTTCATTTTTTGTTTGCTGCCCACTAGTTTGCTACCAAATAAAACCATTAAATAGTGGAAAATATTTAATTGAATCGTGCATGATGCCCCATTGTCCATAAAAGATAGATGAGTAGGGTAGCAAGTTAGAATTGGCAAAAAAATGCATTTAAATGCAAACTTACCGTATAATTTTTCATTCTTTGGAAAATTGCCCGGCTGGTCAACACAGCACTGATAATGACACTCAATCCAGGTTCCGTCAGAACTATGTCAGAGGCACTTCTAGCAGCATCCGTTGCATCAGCCACAGCAATCCCAATGTCTGCTTTCTTCAGTGCAGGTGCATCATTAACTCCATCTCCAGTCATCCCACATATGTGCTTTCTAGCTTGCAGCCTCTGCACAATTTCATATTTGTGCTCTGGAAGGAAAACAAGTTAGAGCGACAGACATTAACAATGAGATAGAAAATTAATCTGTACCTGGGAATACTCCAGCAAATCCGTCTGCTTGCTCAATCAGCTCGTCCACTGGTAGGACAGCGATATCACCATCTTTTCTGTCACCCAGCAAAGATGAAGAAGGGTACATGTTTGTGCCCATTCCTAACCTCCGGCCTGTCTCCTTACCAATAGCCAACTGATCACCTGAAAATATTTCCAACAAACCACATTGATAATGACAGAGTCCAGGATGTATCAGCAATTCTGCAATGTAGATAATGAATTACAGATTTGAGGTGTTGGCTAAGCACAGTTATTACAGATTTACAGTGCTACTACTATCCCTAAGGGTGTAGATCAGCAGAACGGCCCAGTTTGGAACACATGAATTTCAAATTAAAAAATAACGCACATACTGTATCCAGTTTAGGGTGTAAATTCAAAGCAGTCAATGAATGTAAATTAATGTGGCCTTTTAGGCTTAAGTCATAGTCTTCAAAGTACTGTTTTAATCCTTAACTTCCTCTTGATGTTACAGTACACACAAAAAATATTATTTTTTGAAAGAAAACAGTAGAGGAGGTGAAATTGCATTATATTTTTAAAAATTTTAGATAATGGGCAAGAAATACCAAAAGTAAAAGAACAAAAACTATATAGTATGAAAGTTGATTAATCATCTAATACCAAATTATATGGTCAGTCCTGGTATTGCTTAATTTTCTTACATATTGATGTTTAATTGCGAGTTTTAGGATGAACTATGTGCTAAGGAACCTTTCATTCTTTAGATGTTTAGCTTTGTTGTACTACAGGTGCATCACAAGACCCATAAGAACTATGCTTGATATCCACTGTCCATGTACCTTCCAACTGCCATGGAGACTGTTATAGATAGTTGTTCCATTTCACCAAAATGGGAAACACTCAAACAATGTGCTGTTATACAAGGATTTACTCTCCTTGTGTGAATATTCGGAAGTGTTCTTCCTAATTATTCTGAAGCTCAAAATAGCTAAGCAATCCTGAGAACAGATTTGTGATGCACAGCACAACTACTAGGTGTACTGTGTAGATCAACACTTTAGGGTTTTTTTTTGTAACATCAGGGTATATAAGAAGTTAAACTTCAGATTGATTGCTATGGTGCACACAGCCACTGAGGAGGTCAATAAAGGGAGAAAAACAATCAGTCCATTGTCAAAAGACGTGACTATTCCAGTGCCATAAAGTAATTGCTTCAAGCACCTGTGATCATTTTTACACTAACTCCAAGGTCAAGAGCTCTGCGTATGGTTTCAGCACTATCATGACGAGGAGGATCAAAGAGTGGGAGAAGACCAACGAATTGCCAAGGTCCACCTGGACTTTCCTTTGTCCCTTCAGGTACTTCCTGCATGATCAAGATCCAAAAGATTTAGCTATTTTTTTAGATAAATGGACCAGCTGACCAGTAGCAACTAGCTGTTAATCACCTGATAGGCAACAGCGAGCGACCGAAGCCCTCTCTCAGCAAAATTTCCAATTACATGATGGACCTTTCTTTCAATCTCACATTTATTTGATGCCAAGTTCAAGATCTGCAGAGCTCCAAATGAAATCTCAGACCTCATCATATCTAATCATCTTCACCATTTATTTTCAACAAGAAATATACCAAATAGAACAGAGCTGAATAAACAAAAAATAACCAGCAGAACCATTTGGACTAAAATAGAATTATGTACATAAAGTCATAAATTAGAACAACGGATAAAAACAAGATATATTCCTGTGACTGAAGGCAGTTCAGCGGATGCTAAAAATATATATTAAGCACATAAGATGTTACAGAAAAATCTACAGTGCTATATTATATTTTTCTATACAAAGATTATTACATAAATAATTAATCAAAATGCATCAAATAAATTTCACACACAAAAAAAGTTGTAAACTGTAACTGTAAGTACCACAATATCTAATTACTTGTACATGAACATTTTTCAACTATCTGATTTCTGTATTTTTGATATGACTAGCAAAAATGCATGTACATTGCAATAGGTAAAAACAATTTTCACGATTGATAAAAACTCTGTTAATTTAAATGACAAACCGAAACAAAACAATGACAAAACAAAGTCAGAATCATATATATCACTGAAACCGTTGTGCTTGTTTCATGCGTCATCACACGAAGAATCCCTTTATGTAAACCTTTTCATAGCCTCATAAATCGATCGGGTGACTATTCCATAAGTTGACTCGTGTATTTTGTTATACCTCATCGACTAAAGATTGAAATTAATATTATCCAATTAGTGATTTTTTTTACTTGAGATGGAAAGTATTTGCAAAGTGACAAACTTGCCACATACACACCTTAACCAATGATAATTTCAAAAGGAAAATATTTATGACGAGAAAAATTTGGAAGAGAAATCAAAGAGAAAAAAAAAAGATAAAGGGAGATCGGAAGGAGAGGGAGAGGATCAGGATGATTGGGGAAAAAAAGGAGTAAAAGAAAAAAGAAAAAAAAGACAGCGATTGGGGGAGGGGCACGCGCGGCCCCAAGTGGAGGCGGGGGGGCGGTGGGATGGTGTGGGCCTGTTGGGTTGGGCTGGGAGGGGGTGTTTAATAGTTATTCCAGACTCACGTTGAATTGGATACAAGCGACATACAACCAACTCAAACACGGATGACGTACCAAACTTCCAGCGGAAACATCTTCAAATTTTTAATAGTAGAGATAAGAATTTGATTATTATCAGAGTCAATCTATACCTGTTCAGGAGCACCTTTGCTAACCCTGTGCATTTTACCCTCAGCATCTAAGTATGTGAGAGCTGTCCTTTTATCTGTTGGGTTAAATGGAAGGAAATGAACTTCTTGAATGCCAGCTCGCGCCTAGCAGCAGACAGAAGAGAATAAAACAGAAGTGTATAGGAAAGTTAAGTTGACCATAAACTAGAAATGCCTAACAATATGACTCATTGTCATAGGATAACATTATATCGGCCTTGTAACAACGAACCAGAAAATTAATTATAGATAGAGCAAAAGGAACACTTGAGTTGTAAACTTGAGTTAACAGATGATTGATGCCAACCCCAGCTGTAAAATCATATGATAGTTGAAAGCCACTAAATGTCTAGATCAAACTACAATGGGGATAATTCCAAAGAACAGGATGATATAGACATTGTTCCTCAGTGCACATTTGTTAGTTCGAGTGAGATAGGTAGAAGTGAGTCACTGGAATGGGTAATTCTTTTGAAGGAAATCAGCAGACAAGAGTTTTGTACCTCTTTTGGATCTGGTAACATGGAAACAATAGCAAAATCAATAGCATCTTGATTTTCCAATCTTGAAGCCCTTGCAGCCATCAATACAACATCGTCCTTCTCAATGCCTTTTTCAAAAACCTACAAATAAATGTTGGTGCAATGCCATCAATAGTCAGTGCGAAGGGTCAGCATGGATTAAAAAATTAAAACCATGCTCATGGTCATTTATTGATAAAGGTCACAATCATTGTAAGAGAAATCATTTCAGAGCTGAAACTGCATTAAAATGCTTGCTTTCCATATCTCATTTCAATTGGGCCACACACGCAGAAGGGAAGGTGGGGGTAGGTGCTTCGTTTGAAAATGTTAGCTCAGTAGGTGGTTAATGAATGAACTACAGCTACGAAAATATAACATGCTAAAAGAACCCATACAACCTCAATTAAATTTTTGTCAACACTCAGTTTGTTGAGTGTCAATGTTCCAGTCTTGTCACTACAAAGGACATCCATTCCAGCCATTTCCTCTATTGCTGTCATTCTCTTGGTAATAGCACCCTGTAAACAATAAAAAGGAAGTAGTCACTTCTAAAATGCTGTTCAATTCGTTGGTAGCCAGAGTTCTTTTCATGGGGCATGGTAACCAGAGAATTCTGGCCATCTGTGTATAGGCATACCTGCTGTGCCAGTTTGTGTGATCCAATGGCCATAGTAACAGAAAGAACTGTAGGCATGGCGATTGGAATCCCACCAATAAGAAGCACAAGAAGATTATCAACAATCTGGCGGTATTTCCTTTCATGAACAGCGTACATTACAAGTAACTCAATAACCATTCCAGCAGCAATTGAACAAATACAGAAGTTCCCAATCGAAGTCAGAACCTGGAAAACATCCACGATGGCAGCCAAGATCATGACATTGGCAACAGAAGTTACAGTTTGTATCCTAATGAATACACAGTCAGATGTGGTGAAACATGATACAGGAAAAAACATGGTGAGACAGGAAACAAAATATAAACTTATGCCAGACCAATTGAAGAGACATTGTTTGCTGAAGACTCACCTTTTGAAAGTGACCAACGTGAGTAGTTGATTCAACGAGATGGGCTGCTTTTCCAAAGAAAGTATGAATTCCAGTGGCAATAACAACTGCTTCTATTTCACCTTGCTTACAGGTTGAACCAGAGTAAATTCCATCTCCAGGATGCTTAGTTACAGGTAGCGATTCACCCGTAAGTGCAGACTGCAAATTAAGTGATACATTGTGGTGTTGTTATTGCTGCATATTTTTGTAGCGGAGTTATTCCTCTTAGCAGAATTGAGCGACAGTCCTAGATGCAAAGGAGAAGGCTGAGCTGCCAGAAAAACCTGATCAATCTTGAGCGGATCTCCCTCGAGAAGGCGTGCATCTGCAGGAATGATGTCCCCGAGTTTTACGCTGATTATATCGCCCGGAACCAACAAGGATGCATCTAATTCATCCCAGGTTCCATCACGTAAAACCTAGAAATAAGTTAAATTCAATTAACTAGTAGAATGATTTATGAATTGGAAGTCCAGCTGTCCAGGTAAGTAGAGGTATACGCACCTTAGCTTTTGGTGCCAGGCGAGCCATCAGTGCAGCGGCAGCATTGCCAGCGTTATTTTCCTCCATGAAGCTAATGGTAGAGTTGATAAAGAGTAGCAGTACAATTCCAACGAAGTCGTGGTAGTCTATGCGCATTCTCTGCGTGGTTGGTTTATTGATGGTTGCACTTGCAATTAGAAGCAGCTAATCTAGGTAGGTAGTGTATACTCTATAGTTGTCCAAAATCAATAAGAAGAGTGGATGATGATGAAGAATATACCTTTCCCCTGGCATCTCTTCCTCCGTGTGCGAGGGCGATAGCCATGATGGCTGCCGCCTCCATGACCCAGGAAAGCGGGTTCCACATAAAGCCGAGGAACTTGAGCAGTTTGCTTTCCTGCTTCTCCTCGAGCTTGTTGTAGCCGAAGGAGTGGATCCTCTGCTGGGCAACCTCGGAGGTGAGACCCTCGCGCGTGCATTTTAGGTGATCCAACACCTCCTCCACAGGGATGTGCTCCTGCGATCGATGCGAGTTCAATTAACTGCGTCCATCATATTAGTATATCTTTTTTTTTGGTAGCAATCAATCCAAAACACAATGCATGCTAATCCACTATACTGAGATGAGATGGAATCGATTCGATTGCATTATAAGTATTATACTACTCCCTCCGTTTCGAAATGTTTGACGCCGTTGACTTTTTAGCACATGTTTGACCGTTCGTCTTATTCAAAAATTTTAAGTAATTATTAATTCTTTTTTTATCATTTGTTTCATTGTTAAATATATTTTGATGTAGGCATATAATTTTACATATTTCACAAAAGCTTTTAAATAAGACGAACGGTCAAACATGTGCTAAAAAGTCAACGGTGTCAAACATTTCGAAACGGAGGGAGTTCATTATAACCCAAAACTAATGCCCGCATGTTAATCCACTCAACTCAACTCCACTCCACAGAGATGGAATCGATCACTAGATAATTAAATTAAATAGGAGAATAATATCCTATTTTATTATATTATAAAGGGGAAAGAAGAAGGAGGAGGTAGATGAGCAACCAGGTCGACGGTCTCCTTGGTGATGGCATCCATGGCATTGGCAACCTCCATTAGCATTCATCTATAAACGGGGCGGGGAGGGGCGGCGGAGGAGGAGAGAGGTGGAGGCAGCGGGGAGCGCGGCGGATATAAAGAGAATGGAGGCGGCGGCGATCGAGAGGGATCCCCTCTCCTCCTCCTGCGATGGTCATCGGGCTTGACGACCCAACAACAAGGCAATCGCGCCTAGTCTAGTCCGTCTCTCTCTCTCTCTCTCTCTCTCTCTCGCCGCCTACAATGTCTCTTCTTCCGCCTCCATCTCCATCTCTCTCGCCTCTGCCTCTGCCTCCTCCACTGCGCAGTCCTCGTCTACTCTAGCCCTTTTCCCCCTCGTCTCTCCCATCTTTTGAGCCCGCTTACAAGGTACGGTAATGATTGATTTTTTTATAACTAATATTGTATAAACGAATGGATTCAATATTAAAGTCCTAAAGTACATTTTAAATAATATTGCAATAAATCTATATATTATAATGTTTTTACATATACAATAAAAGTAGTGAAAGTATTTTGCAACATATATGTTTATTTCATCAAAATATAATCATAATACGGAAATGCTATATACCGGGATCCCGTCGGGATGGGATCCTTCGTCCTGCTTGCCTATCCAAAGAGAAGCGAGAGCTGAGCGCCTAAGCGTGTGGAGGAGATCGCTGCCGCCTGTCCGTGAGGACCTTCGGCGCGGTTGGGGAAGAAGACCCGCTCGGCGAGAGGAGGACGCGGCCGCCGGCGACGAGCCCTGCGCAGTAAGCTCCTGCTACATCGAGGACCTCGTTTGCGTCGCGTCGAGGCAGCAGCACATCGTGGCCAAGCCGCCGGCGGGGGATACATCAACGAAGAGAGGAGGGGCATCGGTGGCCAGAGCCAGGGAACGAAGTGACGGTGGTGGCCGCCTGGCCGGAGCTAGGGAAGGGAGGGGCGGCGGTGGCGGTAGCCGGATCCGGGGGATGGAGCGGCGGCGGTGGCCGGAGCCAGGGGAGGGAGGGGCAAGGCGGCGGCGGTGGCTAGAGCCAGGGGAGATTGGGGGCGGTAGTGGTTGTCGGCGTTGGTGCCGGGTAGGTGTTCGGTTTCTGATACGCAGTAGAAATCACCTGATATCTAGTAAGTATCGTCTGATACCTCATAGGTACACTTGATACTTTGCAAGTATCACCTTCTACGTGGTAAGAATCATATGATACCTTACAAGTATCACCTGATACTTCACAAGCATCACATGATACGTGATAGGAATCGCCTAATACCTTATAGGTATCAAGTATCACCTGATACCTCGCAAGTATCGCCTGATACTGGTAAGGTATCAGGACCTGATACCTAACATGTATCAGGTATAACCATCAAGTATCAGGCGATTCCTACCACGTATTAGGTGATACTTGCAAGGTATCATGCGATTCTTACCACGTATCATGTGATACTTGCGAGGTATCATGCGATTCTTACCACATAGATGGTGATACTTGCCTGATACCTAGCCGGTATCGGGTGATACCTACCAGGTATCATGCGATTCTACCACGCATCAGGTATCAGACGATTCCTATCACGTATTAGGCGATACTCGCGAGGTATTATGTGATACCTATCAGGTATCGCGCGATTTCTACGATGTATCGGGATGATACTTGCGAGGTATCAGATGATACTTACTAGATATCAGGAGCTGGGCGTCGAGGTGTCGTCGTCGGCGGCCACGTCCTCCCTCGTCCACGGTCCACACCGAACCCGATCCTCGTCGCTGGCAGCCGCATCCTTCCCCGTCCACGGTCCACATCGGAGCTCGTCGCTGGCGACCGCATCCTCCGTTGGGAGCACGTCACCGGCGGCCGCGTCCGTCGTCCACGCCTCAACCCGCGGCCGCGTTCTCCACGCCGGCGCTGCCGCCATCACCACGCAGGATCCTCTGCCGTCCATGCCCCACACTGGTGCTCGGCGCCGGCGCCGTCTCTATCACCACGCAGGATCCTCTGCCGTCCATGTGACCATGCCCCACGCTGGAGCTCGCCGGTGGCCGTGTCCTCCATGCCGGAGCTCGTCGCCGGCGGCCGCATCCTCCACGCCGAAGCTTGTCGTCGGCGCCGCTGGAGCTCGTTGTCGGTGCCGCCGGCGTCAGCTCGTCTACGCTCGCTGCTCCCACAGTGGCCCGTGCTCCCCTGTCTCAGGGAGGTGAAGAGGGAGCGATCCCGTTGGGACAGTATCCCAACGGGATACCGGTGGGATACCGGTATATAGCAGCTCCCATCATAATAATGTGATATCTTGTTATAAATATTTTATTGTAATAAATACAATGGTGTAATCAGATAAGTAATTTGAGAAAAAAAAAACTATAAAAAGGAGAGAAAAAAAGACATGCATGACACAAAAAAATCTTTGAATTTGCTGTGCTTGTATTTAATTAGTAGCACTCCTCTCACGCGTGGCTATCGTTCAAGCGAACCAGTCACCTGCATCCGATAAGAATAAATAGTGCGCATAAATTTTGCCTTTAAAATTATCTCTATTTCTCTCACTTATGCATTAATTGTACCTCTCTAAGAGCACACATCCACAAAATTAAAATTAACTTGAGTAGGTACAATAAGATACAAAACACTAGCCCAAGTTACATCGTAGGCTCCGATGATAAGTTGGATTAGAAAAGAGGTGAGAAAGAGGAGCTACCCTCCTACAAGAGGTTAAGCTATACACGGCTCCAAGGACATGTTTGGCTAATGGGTTAGGAAAATGATTTCCTATCCACCAAAGGATATCTTTAAATCATAACCATTCATTCTTCATATCTCATTTCATTTTCATCTTAGACCTTCATTCATTTTCATTCCCAATCACACCCCTCACAACTCATCATCCAAACATGCTGTAAGAGAAATGGATAGAAAGAGGAAGAATATATTGGACATGCAAATAAATTAAAAAGTAAAATACACTAGCAGTATCAATTTGCAAGTTAGATGCAATTTAGTCATTCATCTTACAATTTGCACAAATGAGTCGCTAATCTTGTTTCGATGGTGCAAATCTTAGAAAATACCGTTTGTTTCTAACTTGGAAGCCATAAGGGCCAAGCATACATTTTGTGAGACATGTGGACAAGACAAGCTTACATATTTTTTGCCAATCAATAAAATAGCAAATTAGCACCCATATTTATATTTTCACCTATGCTAGCTGCTATTGCGTGTTTTAACATAGCAAGCAATAACAAAATTCATCTTAATTTATATTCTACTATCTCATATGGCAGTTGGCTTATTTGTGGATATTTGCAAAAGAAATCAACATGGCATCCAACTTAATACCGAGCTCCTACATAACACATTTTTTATGTGATTTGAAAAAAGAAAACAAGATAATTGACTTATTTGAGCATTTTACAAGATGAGTAAATAAATTACACCTAAGTTACAAGTTAAGATACCACCAACGTATTTTACTCTTAAATTAAAATTATTAGGACTAATACACTGGTGTTAGTGTAGAATTAACATAGTATTGTGTATGCTTTGCTACCTCACAAATAGAATTAGAGATCCTGTTATTGTGCTTGAATGTAACGGGTGGAGTGTTACCTATAGCTTACAAAATATTCTATGCCTCGACTAGTAATAAATAATAAAAGGTTCAAATGCAAATACACGGAACCAATCCTCGAATTTTTTTCCCCCGTTTCGAGCTCTGTTCCAAATGACGAGGAAAGTTTAAGTGATACTCCAACACAAACGTTTTATTCGTATTATAAACTCACCTCTATCTAGTGCCGTAGTGCGTGGCATTACTAGCAAGAACAAATATGGGTTTTTTGGTAATAACAATAGCTGGGGTGCAGGTCAGGACAGTAGAGTTGTGCTGTATGTACGGGCAAGACAAGTGGAGTACTATCATCTCTCATTTGTTTCTAGTTCTAACCGATTGATGAATACATATAATACAGACTCCACTATGGAGTAGGAGTACTAGTAACAAGGAACAGCTTTGAGAAAATTAAGTTGATTTCTGCTCAAACAGAAATTAAGTTGCGATGCGTTGCTGGCGGGTGTATTCCCACACGGCAATGGCACCGCTGACATGAACATTGAGTGACCTGACGATGCCCAGCTGCGGGATCTCCACGCATGCGTCCAACACATGGATGATATCCACCGGGATGCCTTCCTTCTCCCGTCCCAGCACAAGCACCTTGTCAATAAATATATTTTCCTTGTTAGTTCTTTTTTTGTATGATTTTTTCCCTCCTCCTATGTGCAGTAATGCAAACATAACACATACACACAGAGAGAGAGAGAGAGAGAGAGAGAGGGGGGGATTTGGATCTTCTAATTATATACCGTTTTGCTCGGAAAAGAGAAGTGGTCCAGTGGCTTGCTGTTGGCCGTCTGCTCCAACCCTATCACGGAATAGCCTTCCAGCCTCTTCTTCTCCAAGAACACTTTGACGCTATTCACTGGAACCTCCATCATGGGCAACCACTTCTCCGCCGTCACACTGCATGCATTGCATATTTGCATGCCAAGTCAGAGAAACACAAATAAATCATCATCACCTATATACATCTGCCAGCCATATACATACCTGATCAACCGAAACTGCTTGTCCTCGATAATACTTTTGTCAGCAACGGCCAATCCAACTGCTTTGAATATCTGTCACCAAAAACCTAATACCATTATATCATGCACGTTTCAGGGATAATAACAGGAATTATACCGATATATACCTCGCATGTTCTTGTCAGTCCAGCAAGATTAGGGATGCGATCTACCAATGATGCTACTACTATTAATTGCTGCTGGCTTTGCTTGATAGTTTCCACAGCGTGATTTCTTGATTCTAGCGCTAAATCCAACTGCTGGTCATCTCCCTCTAGATCTGCACCCAGCAAACAAGACAGCACATGGACAAGTGAAATAGCGTAGGGAGCAAAAACAAAAGCTCAGTTTGTAGATAATAAGAGCATCCGCAGCTTAGCTCTTCAAAATGACTTAGTATTACATAAAAACTTAGCACACCAAGCGCAATGAAAGTAACAAGCCTGTGCAAATCCATCTTGCAAGCTATTTTGGGAGGGAATGTGAAGAAAGGAGTAATAGTAAAATTGCAAGGATGCTTTACATACCTAAAAGTAATCTTGAAATATAGTCATCGCCAACAACTGAATGACCACCAACGTTTAATGGTTGATCAAAGTTCCTATAGGGTGTGATTTTCTTCTGAAAATTGAGCACATCTTGACTAGGCTCTAACAACTCAACTATGTTCTCATCAGTTCTGTCCTCTTTGTGATGCATTTCTGCTGTGAGATCCTCATTCTTGATTGTTATTGAGTCCTTCGCTATAGATTGTCTCAGATCCTCCCTCACATCCTAACATAGCTAAGTATGATTAGCTTAGAGTCCAATGAAGGAAAAGCAAGATCAGGTTGAAGTTCTTACATTGAGGAAGTTAATTACTCGCTCCATCACTGACACAGGAACACATTCAAAGTCAAAAGAGACCTAAGAAAACATCATCTTATTCAGACTTCTCTTAAAAGAATCAAACATTCAGTTCTCATAAAGAAACCATAACACCCCTAGAATTTGTCTAAAAAAGCAAACAAATTGTTTTCAAGAAGCAGGAATCAATTATCCTAAACTTGTACTAGAAGAGAAAGGGAATGTTATGAACCTCAGGGCGAGAACTAAATATTCCAGAAGGAGTCCCGGAAGTATCAGGATTGAAAACATCAAGGAAGCGTTCAACTGAAGCTCTAAGCCTGTAATCAGAAACACAATTTATAATTTAACACTTACTCCAACTTTGCCACAAATTTGGGAATTTGGAGAAACAAATGGAGTACGCAGCATGTAAGTTGAGATTTTTGGTAATTAAAAAACAAGACATTTTTTTTTGGCTCTGTTAACTCCATATAACTCCATAGAGTAGTTTGACAGGATGATGCTAAGAACACACGTAGAAATTAAAAGAACAACATATGGATGTACCTTACGCAGTCAGTATTTTCTGCCAGATATCTTTTCAAATCTTGAAAGCATCTCCTCTCAAAGACTGGATTTTCTGAACTTCCGAGTGCCAAAACAGACCCCATCTTTGATAGAACACAGTGGACAAGTAGCTGCGATACAAAATGGAGCTTCAAGTAACTAGAACAACGTAAAGCTCCATAAGAATGCGGCACAATGAAATTCGGTAATTAATCACATAGTTTAACCTGAGTAAAACCACGTAAACTGTGGTGATGAGATGTTAAAAATGGCATTATTGGAGGAAAAAGTTCATTCAGATGGTTTATCTGGACAGCCAACTCCCGTGAATGAAGGATCAGATTTGCTGCTATAAAAACATATGAAGATAGTGCCTGCAGAGAGGGGGCAGATAAATAAACAAATCAAAGTGGAGAGACATCTGACTAACAATGTTAACCTGTTGTCGCATTTCATTGTCATGAAAAATTGGAATCAGCTGTTCTTCAGCCTGCAAATGGCATTTCATCATAAACGTTGACAGTTAAAGGATAGAGGATTCTACTGGCATAAGAGAGTTATCAGTTACACAGGTATACAAGCAAGGCATGGAGTTCTCACCAATGCTGGAAATTTTAAATAAATAAGTATAGCAAATGTCTCCAAGTACTGCCGGACAGCAGGTAAATTGTTTCTCTGCAGAAAAAAAAAGATGATATTTGAACTTGCACAGATGCAAAGCAATAAATAACAGTAATGCATGGTAATAAACTAATGTGAAATTGCTTCAGGCCCACAAATTATGTAAATAAGTAGGGAGTGGTCTATTCAACATGTTTCAATAAACCTACATAAAGTTGAGTTTCCAGAGATACAAAGGATTAAAATAAAATTCATAAATTAAGAAAATTCTTACATAAAGACAGATGTGAATACTAGATGTCACTTCTTTAACAATATCATCCTCCACATACTGTGACAGAACACAAATCATCTGCCAAATACGAACTTTTCGCCTATGTACCTAATAAATATGAGACACTTAGAAATGAGAACAAAACAAAAAAGTTCCAAAGAGAAACAAAACACAATTCTGATAGAAAAGACTTACACTGCTATATTTTTTGTAAAGTTCTCTTGAAATATCCTTGTCGTTCACCTTTCAAGAAAAGAGTAAGAGTAGGTAAACACACACTGTCAGAATATCATAACTGCATTAGCTTATGCAGGGTTTGGAAAGTAAACATAATAGGTATGATTTGCAACATCAGATAGGTTTTAGAATCTGTTGTGTTTTAGAAAGATCTTAAATGGACTCCTGGCAGATCCAAAGATCAATTTTTTTTTTCAAATATTCATTATGCACTTCTGCCATCGCCATAAAATAAAACACAGCAGCCAAAGCATATCAACAAGCAACGTTTCCCTATATAGCATACTCTCTGCTCACAAGGAAAAAGGTTGTACCGCTGAATCAAGAAGTTTCAGTAGAAATAATTTGCCAGATCGAAGGGCTTCTTCAGTTTCCAATGTGCTCTTTACTTCGATTTGCTTCCATAGATGATCAAAGAGGACGGCAACTGAAACGCGAGCATATAATTCTGTATTAATGAACACCTGCAACAACATTGCCAATGGATATACAATGAAATTATCAAATTGTTCATCATTGGTGAATAAATCGAACACCCAATTGGTTTTATCATTAATGCTGCAAAAATAAAAAAAAAGAAACAAAAAATGACACACACATTTTGTCCTGTTCATAATGCCTCTATATATGTTAGGATGCTTAATTGTACCAACAACATTAAGGTGATAATATATGTAGCTGTACCTCATGGTGATTGCAAATAATCTTACCTCTGTGAATTCACGATCTGGGCTTTGTGCTAACATAGAAACTTCAAGCCTTGCTTCATGGTTTTCAGATAGTTCAGCTTCAAAATCTTCGTCAAATGCCACTACACAATAAACATGAAATAGGGGTTTAAAAGAAGATCATATTAGAGAACAAACATACTGCTAGGATTTCTTAAAACAACATAGATGAAACTAAAGACAGAATGAGTCACTAGGAAAGATGCTGAAAAAAAAACTACCTGATCCATATAATGATAATAGCTTCAGTTCCTCCATATAAAAGCTAAGAGTTTTTGGGTACATTAACCATATACCACTCAAATGCAAAGCTGCTAGGCGTATAGTTCGAGGACTTTTTGAACCTTCGCCAAGAAGATTCTCAATAAACTGAAAACAGATAGGAGTCATTTGTCATCATTTCTTACAGAATACAAACTTGGGTGCTCAGGAAAGAAGATGTTTATACTCCTTTAATGAAATAGATAAATATGCTACGCAAAATAGTCACATTTTTACATGATGTAGGATGTGAAATTGAGACCACAAAATAATGTTCATATTTCAGAACATCATATGAATGACCTATGTTTCCGTCATTGTTACTCGGCGTTCAGAAGGTGGGCAGGTTCTCAATACTTTATCATTCATAAAACGCTTATCAACAGACAATGTATGTACTTAAAGTGCATAACGCAGACTGCATATCTCTACTATTATAAAAATTGAAGATGTTTCCGCCGTTCGTCATCCGTGTTTGAGTCGGTTTTAATTTTATGTTTTGGTTTTAATCTATATCTCTTCTCTATCTCTATCTCTACTATTATAAAAATTGAAGATGTTTTTGCCGGTATTTTGGTACGTCATCCATGTATGAGTCGGTTTTTAAGTTCGTTTGCTTTTGGAAATACATATCCGTATTTGAGTCGGTTTTTAAGATTGTTCACTTTTGGTAATACAGAAGGAATCATATAAGAAATCTGTTCAAAAAAACTCGCATGCTAACTTGAGACGATCGGATTCCTAATTGCAGCTCATGATTTTCTAAAAATATAATATCCAAGCGAACTCCCACAGTGAATTTCATCTTAACTAAACCATATAACAATAATACAATTAAAATAGACTTCACCCATTGCAACACACGGGCATTTTTTCTAGTATATACTACCTCTGTCCCAAAATATAACAACTTTTAGCTATGAATCTGGACATAAAGTTGTCCAGGTTCATAGCCAAAAATGCTTATATTTTGGGATGGAGGGAGTATATGTATATGTATATGTATATGTATATGTATATGTATATGTATATGTATATGTATATGTATATGTATATGTATATGTATATGTATATGTATATGTATATGTGTATATGTATATGTATATGTATATGTATATATATATATATATATATATAAAGTATCACTTTTGATGAACACACATCAGCAGCAGCAGTAACTAGGCATTTTGTTTCGATAAATTTGTTTCTGACGCCACTGATTAGACAACAAGATTATTGCATTACATCAAAAATGGTGAGGAAATAAATGAAGGTGTGAGAACTGACCCATTTCAAAGGACCTGGCCCTTTTTCATTCTCCTGGTGCATTTCCAAATTAGGAAAGATTGCTGGGTGCAATACGGCAGATAACAATGCAGCAATTGGTGCAACTCTGCGCTTATTGCAACTAAGGTGCAAGATCCAGGAAGACTTTACAAATTGCATCATCATCTGTGGAAAATAAGATGAAACATTAATGTCCAATAAATGCTAGTTACAATTAAAGGCCTTGTTGAAATGCATGGTTCCCATAGGAAACCACACTGCTAGGTATGTTGAACAGTATTTTTTTCTGCTTTAAACTTTGGTCTCTTATACATACTAGCCTGGAGCCCGTGCATTGCAACGGAAAACAAATTGAGTTTCTAGCTTTTAATAAGCATTTAGTCTAAGTAATACTATGATTTTTCTTATTGAACAAGTAGGTGATTTTGAAATTTGGAGGGAGCCAACATATAATGTAAAGTCAGGCAGAAACAACTAGGTGAGAAATTACAGACTCAAAGCAAATATAACCATTTGAGTTAGCAGCTACAGTTGGTGGTTAAATGGTTATAGTAGCATGGAAATGGGGAAAGGTGCCTTGGATAGTACCTCATAACTGATGCCCAGCGAGGACAAATTTCTGGTTCTCATGCTGAAGTGTAAAAGCCCCAAAACAGATCTCACGCATCTAAGGATGGCCAAGACAGAATTTTCACCAGCATTTTCAAGACTGCGAAGATTTTAAAGAAAAACTGATGTAAGAATCTAAAGTTTCCGATGTGAGCAAAACCACCAAAGATAAAATAAAAGAAAATAACCACGTGCAAACATAACCCTAACTTACATTAGAAAAGGGCCAATCAGAATGTATTCGAGCCTATTTTTGGCTTCCTTTTCCTAAATTGAACGGACTGTGAATTGAGTTGACATAGAAAAGCTCTAGATTTTTCGTAGAAATCACACTAGGTAACAAGTTATGAAAAGATTAAAGCTTCTAGAGATCCATAAAACACACAATTAGTGGTGAATTGGGTTCAAGAACCTACTCAGGCTGTCAGGCAGCAATCCCATGGTTTGGTTTACACATTACAGTGTGAATAAAATAAACCATAGAGAAAAATTTTAACAGCTAGACTCACCTTTCAATAATATCAACAAAAATAGATCGGAGAGTTGATTCTGAAAATAAAGGATAGAGCATCTTCAACAGCGATTCATTCTCACCACGGCAGCAAGAAAAGGATAGCAGCGAATCTAGACAAAGCCACTATATCAAAACAAGTAATTAGGAGCTATCCATGTAATGAACTTATTTATGCATTATCAAAATAAGCCATGTGCGCTATAAAAAGGAAAAAGACATCGTTCTCACCTTCCAACACATTAAAACAGCCCGTCTGCTTCTCTTTAGAACTCCATTCACAAGGAGATTGTTGATGTTATCAAGAAAACTGATGACCAGAAAATCCAATGAAAATTTGCTGTTTTGATTTATTTGTTTTGGTTCTACAAGATCAAGAAACTGAGAAGTGCAAGCAGTAGATAGAGTAGGTAGCACATAGGATAGAGCTTCATAAGCTGCCAAATGAAGTTCACCCCCAACCTTGCCCAGGGAAAAAAACAGTTAAAATGATTCCAACAAATCTTACATGAAGAAACTGCAAGCTACTGGAGACAAAATATTCAATATCCTGTTAAATAAGAGACTAACCTCTGTGGCATAACTGTGATGTTGGATAACTTCCCAACAGAACTCCCAGAAGAATGTCAATGTTGAACAAAGAGAAATATCAGAACAGTAATTGTTACACCATGTGACAATAGAACTAATGCTTCTCATGGACCAAATCTGTAAATAATGCAATTAGAAGTTATCGGCCATACAATTAAATGGTGAGATAGTCTTGAAAGCATCAAAGCAAAGGTAAAGACCCTTATTAGAAGAGATCCTCTGGCAGTATCATAACTGGACAAACAGCAGATTAACAAATAGATGATACTGGAGAACCCAGCTTTCAACAGACAAGAAACTACTTAATTTCCTCCACGATCAAGAGAAAAGGTAACTGTACAATCTTGCTTCCATTGCATGATAAAACAGCATCGACAAAAAGTTCTGATAGGTGAACGATGCAAACCTCAGTTGCTACTACACTAAATTCTAAAACATTAACTTGGTTCAAACTGAAAGGACAGCATGTATTTTTCAGAAAAAAAAAGGTTGTATGGAAGCCTGGAAAGTTTGGAAATAGAGGAACAATCAACCAGACAATGGAAAATTGCCTACTGTTTTTCGAACCCTCCACCCCCCCCCCCAAAAAAAAAAAGATGATTAGATGCTACACAGCTAACTGAAATTATGAGGAATCAACATACAGCCTGCAACACCAACGAGGTTGTAGAGGTAGGTAGACGACGTTGGCTTGGGCCTCCAAGCTTTCCTTTAACAGAAGATGGTAAATCCATGTCCTCTGAATTTCTTAACCAGAAAATTGAACAAGATGTCCTGCTGAAGATCACCATATTTTCCTAAAGCAGCACATAAGCAACACAATATTCAAAAGAGAATTCCAGAAATAATCATCAGACAAGTTGGAGAAAAATATGGTTACCAAAATGATAAGCAAAAACTTTGCAAGCTTCTTGTTAAGAGCATGGTGCTCTAATCCATTTGAGCTATCTGAACCTTCTTTGGAGATGGTATTGTTCTGGTGAATAAGCCTTTTGTGTTTCACTTCAAGTTCCTCGATCAAACATAATACAATGATAAAAAACTTCACTTGTATGCATTCTCCAGTTGGATATTCTTCAGAAAGATTGTTACCATATTTCTCCAAAAACTACAAAAAATAAAGACATATATACCATTCAAAGTTGAAGATGACAAGCAAAATTTCTGATACAGATGAAAACATCTTATTGAAAAGCAAAAGGTCAACGTATAGATATCAAATAGAAATATATTAGTGTCTCTCGTTTACTCAGTAACAATGAGCAATGCTTTTTAGAAACTTAAAAGCAAGTGTGGACAAAACAAACCACAAATATTTGCGTGAAGTGCTGCTCCTCTGAGGTTACAAGAAGAAGGGTCCTTGCCCACCTCCGTGCTTCAGCTTCCCATGCACCCACATCCTCATCATCAAACAAGTATGGTCCATTCACCTCTGTGTGCTTCACGAAGGTGGTAGGGAAATCAATGAGCTTCTCCAACAAAGTGTTTCCAGAAGAACATTCTTTCTTCTCAACAAACCATTTTTGAACCATTGGTCTCAGTTCTCCTGCAAGGATACAACAGCAGTGAGAAGATAAGATGATAATAGGGGGGCAAAAGTAGACCTTGTCGTTCTCGAAAATGATAATAGCAAAGTACATATTGATTGCAGACAATTTTCTCCACTTCTCATGTACTATAATCAAGTTTTTCTTAACATTTCTGTGTACATACCATAATAATCAGTAAACTCTCGAGGTATTGCAGAAATGAAGTACAAAAGCTGATTAAGTGGGATTTCAGCTGCACTTATCAATGATGTTGTGGCCTTCATGACCTGTTCACAAACTGCATTTGGTTTCAGGTTAACAAGTTGATTATTCATTACTTTACTTAACATTTGATCAAAATTTCTTCCTGGGGAAGAAATGACCTACCTTTGAGACGATACTTTGGATTGAAGTGTTGTTTACTCTTCTCACAAAGAATCATTAAAGCATCTAATAAATCTTCAATATTAACTTTTGTATGTGCATCACCATTGCATTTTGCCATTTCTTGCCCAGCAGAATCACATGGTAAATCATTTGTATTTAAATGACATGCGCATGAAGCAACACAAAATGCAAGAGCCATTAATCCTGCTCGGCCAAATGAATCTTGCTTAGCAGAAGAAGACAAACTCCAAACTAGATGTAAACGGTCACTGCAAATAATTTAGACAACATATGAAAAGAGTAGGTAAGCTTCCAGCATTTGCAAATAAGTTTTATCCAGTTATAGTGCATATGGCATACTACATACAAACTATATGCACTATAATATGTTCTTTTAGAAAAAAAAAGTAGGTAATTAATTAGTTCACAACTTTTTGTTTCCTTTATGTTATGTGTGGGGAAGAATATGAGACGTGCATAGGGCAGGTTGGCTCGCGGTTGTGATGGGAGGCTCTGATCATAATCGATTGGTGAAGAAAACCTTTTACATATTTCTTGCTTACATCCACAATAATCTGGCAACCTTTTAAGTAGACCCGCGTGAACTGATTAAACAGATTTCTAACAAATATCAAGTGGACACCCTTCTTCTCAAAGCTTTCCATCTCTAACTCAAGGCAGAGACACTATTAACTTGATCCCTACTCTAACTAGTTGGTTAGGCTGAGCATTGTTAGATGTATTTGTATAGCAGTGTACATACTATATACCCACTAGTGTAGGGTGTTCTCTGCATATTCGTACAGTTGCATTGTATACATGGTGGCCTATTGCCCCAAAGCAAACATTTTCTCAAGGAGCCTGTTGGTGCAAACATCATGGATAGAAGATGAACAGAAGATGGGTTATTTGGGTTAAGTTTTGAAAGTCTGTCAATCTAAGGGCACATTTGGTGGTGGTGAACTGGTGATAGTCCATGTACCCGCATTTACATGTGGAGAAAGCGTTCTCCAAAAAGCATGTTGTTTTTAATACTAGAAGTGTTTGGATTTGAACATGAGTTCTTGATGGCCAACTAAGGAGGGGATTGATGGGGAAGATAAACAGAACACAGGTTGGCCGTTGGCGCGCAATTTCTGTGTGTAGGGAAATGAGAACAGGGTGTGGTGTAGGCCAAACCATAACCACCATAGTTTCAATCATTGAAAGTAGTGAAGATAACTAAAATCCTTTCCAAAATCCAAAGTACCAGAATTCGCATGCCATGTTTTCATCGAGGTGCAACACAGGAAAAAAGGTAGTAGTTGTTTAAAAATCAGTACCGTGTTGTCAATCTCTGTGCGTAAAGACCAAAGAACCTCTCTGCACCTTTTATGATTTTTGAATCATAAACACCCTTCACACCTAAAATAGTTAGATAGACAACTCAGTACTTAAAAGGTAATAAACTGTTGAACAGTATGTAACAGAACCAGAAAGAATAAATCAAATACTAGTATTATAAAAGAGTTAGAAGAGAACGGTGCAAACAAGAAGAAGAATCTCATGATGCAAACAGTTTCTTCTTAGTATCTCATTTTTTTCCTCTTCAAAAAAAGTAAGAGCAACTCAGGTGTATTAAACAAGGTAACAAACCAAGTATAATCGCCCTTTGTAGTGCACTCACAATCAACTTTTGGTTTGGGCACAGAATCAGCACGAAAAATTGCTAAATAGTTTTGATGTAGCAGTGCAGTATTCTTTAGAATTTCAACTTCAAATTCTAAACATAAATAGTGAAACACCTGTCCAAGGACAGCATGATAGGAGGTAATAATCACGGACAAAAATTTGCATCAGCCTTTAGTCCCAAGCAAGTTGGGGTAGCTAAAGATCAAACCAAATAATGTACTAATAAAGTAGGATGACACAACATATGAGCTGAGAATGGCTAACATCAACGAATAGGCTTCTTCAGTCATTTATTGGTTTGGTTCACAAGTAGTCTGCCATTTGAAATATTCAGATCTATACTTCACAAAGAAATGGAAGCTTAGGTGGCGAGTGTTCCAGGCAAGGATTTTTGAGGTAGAAGAATATGATATTCCCCATAGCTAGAGGTTCAAGAATATCTCATAAAAAGGAAATGGGCACAAGAAAACATACAAAAAAAAGGCACATGTTTGGGGATAAAACAAAAAAAAAGAACTTTGTATTACTCAGAGAAGAATACGTTGATTTTATATTGAATTTAGTGTAATATGAGTGTAACTGACCAAAATCCTTGTGATGAACTACATCGTTCAAACCACGTAACAGTGGTCCAAGAACAAAGCCTCTGGGAACTATCTGAGGGCAAACCAAGTAGTGTTCCCATGTAATATCCAAAAAGGAATGCATAACCAGGTAGCGCACTGTAAAAATCATTGATAACAGCAGATTGTAAGACAACATTGTAAGTTTTAAGCATATGCACTCTGTATATATCAATGTCAGTACTGACCTTGGGGATTATCATGAGTAAACCCACGCTCCCAAAGAACTACCATCCAGTGGAAAAATCCTTCGAAAGATTCCATCTGAGCATGGAAAACTGTATAGGACATGTGATTTGAGTAATCACTCCGTGGTGTGGACTCAAACAGCAGCATTACCTGGGAAATAATATTTAAATTTATCAACCCATCTAATAGAACGTGCATGTGGTTACTTTATTGCTGTGCTATGACTGTTGTTCCTGGTATATATTGTGTTGACACTTAGATATACAGGTCTTAAAGAAAGAGCATGTAGGAACCAACTGACCTGGTGTGTCCAGGCCGCCTCAACTAAATGTGTTCCATACTCCTGGAGCATCTCGTAGAGTAACAGGAAAACTTTCCACCGGTCTTTACCACTTGAGCAGTTTTCATCTGATTGGCTCATTTCTCCAATGCCAAGGGATTTGGCCTCTTTCTGAGCCCACCTTTCTCTTTTTGTCATTGCAGTATTTGATTTGTCTTGAGCAGGCAGAGCGGCGGACCTCCTCCTGGAGCATTGCTGAGCACCATTATCCTCAGATGAGGAAAAGATGTCTAGTGATATTCTCAAGATGTACAAAGCCTGCTTCCTCACTAAAGAATCCTTGTCAACCTGGTGTGAAGAGGTTAAGCAGCAGGATGAGTATAAAGAGCTAAAAGACTAGCAGAAACAGTCAGAGCAGAAACGCGCACCAGTCCCCTGCGAATTTCATCCCAAAAATCATTGGAATTCCTAAGATCATACTCATCAGGTCCCAAGATAACATGTTTCAGTGTTGACAAGTAGAGAGAGAGTATATTATAAGCATCCAGGCGCTCAGCAGGCCCCAGTGCAAAGAGAGAAAGGCAGGAGGCCCATATAGACTCCAAGAAGCCAGACCTGCACGAGACAAACAATCAATAGTAGGTAGGGTGAGGCAGGCGCATATAGAAGAGGAGAGAAGAGAAGAGAAGAGGAAACGGAAACCTTGAGAGCTTAAGCTGAGGAGCTGCAGCCAACTCCAGGTGCACGGTGACACAGGAAACATCCGCGAGCGAAAGGAGCAGGGGGTGTAGGAGGACCCGGGTGGCACAGGATCGATACTCTTGGCTGTGGCCAAACATGTTGAGCGCCAGCGAGGAGAGGTCCCAGGTCAAATTGTGCAGCAGCGCATTGAGGCTTGTGCTCTTCCTGTTCCTCTCCAATGTGTGTTGGAGCAACGACGCCAGGACAGCGGTGGCCTTGGAGATTGGTAGAAGAAGAAGCCCCCCTGGAGCTGGAGGCGGCGGGTCCTCCCCAGTTTGGTACACAAACAGTAGAGTGGAATCCAAATCCATATCCATGGCGATGGCGGAGGATCGAATACACAAGGGCAAGATGGTAGCTCCTAGAAGGTCAGAGAAGGATTGGTTGGTGGAGACGGCATCGCACATCAAGGCAATGGTGTGCTGGAGCTGGTCTTCTTGCCTAAGCAGCGGCAGGAAGACCCTCCATAGCAGCGCGCGCACAGAATCCTCCGCCGGCCGCTCCTGATCTGGATTTCATCAATCAATCATCATGTATAAGTTCTTCTTCGGTCTGTAGCCTCTGTAGTAGGACGGAGTAGATAGGGGTTTTCTTCTTCGTCTTACCGAGCAGGGCGAGCAGGTGGCAGAGCGCGGCGGCGTGAGGGAGAGATGACGCGGCGGCATGGTCGGAGTGGAGGAGGGCGTGGAAGAGCTGCGAGGGCGAGGACCAGGACGAAGAAGCGAGGACGCAGTCGACGATGCCCGCGACGGCGTCCGTCGGGACAGCCTGGAAGCACCTCTCAAGGGCGGCGAGCGCCATGGTTTCCTTTCCGCTGCTGGCGGCGCCGTCCACCTCCCTCAAAGGAGGAGGCAAGGCCTAATACTTGGGCTTTCCTGCTCTCTAGATGGGCTTTCCTTCGGCCCATTTACCCATTCTGTCTCCCAACGAATTTAAATTGTTCATTTCCTCCGCATCTCCTCGGATAACTCCATCTCTGTAAAAAGAAAAAAAATCTACAGATCTTTCATAAAAGAATGCAAGAGTTAAATTGTGACAACCGCCTCGTAAATAAATTGTGAGAACAGCACCATATGCAAGATGGTTTAGCGACCGAGTGACCCAAGCTTTCTAGTAAGGGTTGTACATTCATCACTCTTCACCATCCACATCTTAAAATCGGTTTTACTAAGTAGAATAATAAGTTCATTATTGATCATTTTCAACAATTACAAACAAGATTACACAGCCCTAGAGCATAGTTGGACACTTGGCATCGAGAAATTCCTTGAGCATGCGTGCCCCTTTCTGAGTACCCATCAACTCAGACAGCCGCTCTACCGGAAGCAGGGCCAGCTCTGCTAAGCTATTGCATTCCTCCATTATTCTTCTATAGTTTGAATCTGTCACACCAGGAAGCCTCCTCAAGAATTCAATCGCGGACGTATTGTAATTTTCAGCCCTGACGAAAACATATTTTACCGAGGAGAGTAGATCAGATATAAGTATGCTTCCGCGTGCGTTATGCCGTTACCAAATACAAAAAAAAACAACTTACCTCACGTCATTCTCCACAACTCCGTCCTCAGAGGGCACACCAACTCTCATTGCCTTGCTCTCATCAGGTTCATCCTGGTTTGTTTTGAGTGATAGGAATATATCTGCCGTGGCATGCAAGCTGCGAGACCAGACTATGCGAAGCCGAGGAAAATGCAGGACTAGTAATGAAAGTTTTGAGATTATATTTGTCGGAGATACATCATCCCCAATTTCACTTGCAGACTGAAAAATAAACAGACCATTCAGCACCTTTGAACACGAAAACCAATATAAAATAGCACATAGTCGGAAATGGATTAAAATTTGCTCAAGATCGAAAGACAACATGGGATGGCTGTTTGTAGGGAGCAAGATACCATCCATCTAAGAACGAATATCCTACCAAATTGGCAAATAGTAGCATGAAAAGAAAATGCATGGCAGAGGAGGGCGAGGGGGTACCTGAAAGGAAAAGCTCTTGTCTTGTGAGAATTCTATCAGAAGCACTGGGATCTTGTAATACCGAACCATGGTTTCAATCTGATTGTAGAGACGACCAGAAGCAAAGCTTTGGAACAAGTCCGCAATACTTTTTCGTTCGACACAGATCAAAGGAGAAAGAACATAGTCACCGACTTCCAAGGTAACAGGTATTATTCGAATACCTTTCTGGTGCAATACATTAGGAAGACTGCTCATGAATTCTCTCATGTCCACAATAACCTAGAAGGATATGCAACAATAAACATCTCAGCAATTCAGCCAGTAAAAGCAAATAATATTGTTCCTTAGTCAAAATAATGGACGGAAGCATCACCTGCATCTCCTTCTCTAGTGGCTTTCTACCACCTGCCTTTCTTGTTAGTGAATTTTGAGATAAAAGAGCTTCTGGTTCATTTGCAAGAGTTGGTCCAATGCAACGGCCATTCTGAAAAGAAGACAGATGTGCTTTCATGTATCAGGGAAATATATGGAATTTTCTCCATGTGCACACCGGCACTTTTGCTCACATAAGGTTGACTGACAGCTAAGATAAGTACAATATGAGGTTCACATGTAGATTAGATAAAAAGTGTAATAGTAATTTAATCAAGCATAGTATGTCTGCATTCATATACTAGTGAACATTACGCAAGGATCAAGCTGAAATTAATCCTTGATGATTTAACGAATTTTAGCAGAGTGGTACACCACCTGATCAACAGGTATCATCATCAGCGACTTCTGTCTGATCAAAGATTCAAATGCTTCATTTTCCCGGCGAATGCTGGACTCAAATTTTTGTACCTCGGCAGAATCTTCATAAAAAAGAAAGTAAACTTTTAACTTCATCGATGGATTTTCTGCCTTGTATACTTCAATTTCTCTAACAAATGTTATATCTGGATGATAAACGATAATTACAGAAGGTTTCCATACATCAAGTACATGCTGATCACTGTCTAGGGCGTAAAATTGCACAGGAGGTAGTGGTTCGGTATCCACAGAGTCTCCAAAAGCAGATAAATTGTTAGCAGCTTTGTCAACAGCTGGAGCTGATGCAGAATCATCTTCTGCAGACAACTTACAAGCATCAGTCTCAGCCTGTTCATCTGTTTTTCCTGATTGACCTTCAACTTCCAAATCAGTATGTTCTGTAGTATTTCTGTTTCTCAACTTACTGGCTTCTCTCTTTGCCATGGTTTTCTTAAATTTCCCTTTCCCTTTCCCTTTTCCGAATGATCTCTTCTTGCAGCTGACATTTGAATCATCAGCAAGATTTGCTTCCTTAGTTACAGTGCTTATTTCAGAGGCAGCCGCAAGTAAGGCATTAGCCTCAACCTTGCTAATGCTAACAGGACCTGCACTCTCACCAGACCTCATAGGAACTTCCCCATCCAGAACACCAAACCCTTTTAGTTGCTGAGATGTTTTCTTGTTCTTCCTATGCAATCCATGCAGTTCAGCTTTGCCAAGCAAGTACTTCTCCCACTCGGCCCGCATGACCTTGTTAAAAACAAGGAAGCGTGTGAAGGATTAATATGGTTTAGTTTTAAATATATCAAAGTAAAACTTGCATTTAAGATGTTGATTGATGCTATGTTGCTAACTACATTATACTTCAACTGTTACCTGATGCGAGCCTTTTGATATGCATTCTTGCAGCTGCACGCATGAGCGCTCATCTTTGCATGCTACCAAAACTATGCCACTCTCGTTAATTCCGTCTTCATGAACAGGGTTTACATTGTCACCATCTCCCTTTGCCTGTTCTTCTGCTATCTCCTGCAATAGTTCCTGCAAAGATATGTATAGTAAATCAGTTTACACATTATTCGTAATTTGTGGACAAGCACGGAGTTTCCTTGATTAATAATAACCTACCTGTATTATTTGGTAGGTACAGGGAAAGTTGATAAAAGAACAGAAAAGGGTGGGTTGCATATATATATTCTCAATACATTATTTACAAGAAATAGCTGGGCACAAAAGCAAAAATTTCCGCCAACTAGATTTAAAGGAGAATTCTCCATTACAAATGAAGCACATATTTAATGCTGAGTGCTGCCTGAAAGAACACCAGGAAACAGACCCAGGGTCACTCACCCGTAAAACCTTCCATTTAGGTGCTTCCTCTAAAATCTCCTCCACTACAATGCCCATCTCTGCATTAACCTTCTGAGTATTGTCCTTGTTATCACTGGAACCCTCATTTTCTACAGGAAATAAATGGGGAATTTAACCATGTGAACTCAATAGATGTGGCTCTAACATTTACCACTCAACAGATGTCAGTTAATTAATTGCCACCCGATAGACACATGAGCTTTATGAAATGCCACTTTCTCTGCAACTTCCCCTCTAAATGCCAGGCACACATATTCTTCTTCCAAAATTACCCCTCCCTTCCTTGCCTCTGATTAGACAGTGCCGGGATGCTTCAACTGCAGCAGTGCCGCCGCCTCATGGTCCAGTGACCAGCAGTGGCCAGCGTCGCTGACTCCAACACATTGCTCCTGGCTAGAAGATGCAGGGGACATGTGAACTAGTGGAGAGTGCAGATGATTGTGCAAACTGCAAAACAGTGGTCATGCGACCCAAGGATGATGCTGAGTAGATGAAAGAAGAAGCTACTTCTTTGATTTTGTGCAAATTTACTCCAAAAAGGGGGATTGGGGATGGCTCCAGGATCCAACTTGCTAATGGCTCCCCTGCTAGTGCACCTTCCTTGGCGGTGCCGGCGCCGGCGTGCCATGTCGCCTGTATTGTCGCTTGGATAGAGAAGTCAGGGAAGAAGATAAGTGGCATGTCCCCTGATCAGCTCTGCTTGAGCTTATTTGACCAGACCAAGTCTGGTTAGAGGAGGCGTAAAGCAACAAGATAGGTGGCCACTGCGTTTTGTTTTGGGGTGATCGCAAAGAAAATGACTGGGAAGATCTTATATTAAGACTGTCTATGGAGTGGCAAATAATTAATTAGTATCTATGCAGTGGAAAGTCGTTAAAGCCACTCCTATTGAGTGGAAAATATTTATTTTTTTCATGAAATTAAGAGGCCTATATCTAAATTCTTTAAGAAAAGGCATTAGTTGCGATTGAAAGGAAATGGCCGGTAGCCGCTACCAGTTTCTTTTCCTTTCCTGCTGCTAGCGCGTGCCACCTTCCTCTTCTTTGTTGGTGTGCCCTTGTTGTCTGCTGCAACCTTTGTACCGTCTGCTCTCACAACCTGGTAGACACGCCTTTTTGAAAGGTCGAATATCTTGTGGCTTGAGTCAGCAAATATCCAAACAGATCGGACGCCTTCAGATACTCTGAGTGTGTCCAGGTACTTAAGGTATGTCACAGCATCGTACCTAGAGAATGCCTAAGAAGTTTTATTATTTGAATAAGAGAATTTTTGTGTGCGATTCATGCCATCCAGGAAGGAATAATCATCAACAGCTTAATGGAGCAGAATGATAGGTGAAGGTATGGAGTGGATGAGCAGACCTGACAAGATAATCAAGCAGCTTGCGTAGCGTCCTGAGGTCGGCGACGAGCTGCTTGGTCTTCTTGCCGAGCGTGTGCCAGATGGGGTCGAGCTGCCTCCTGACGATCTCATCAAAAGACTTGAAGAGGCCCTTGTCGACGGTGAGGTCTTCGACGTCGACCTTGTTGGTCCGCCTGAGCTCCTTGAGGCAGGCGTCCATGGCATCGAGGATAGCGGCCTGGATGCCCCTCATAGGCTGAGTCATGGGGACGCGGACGTCGATGACCTCGGGCGGGGAGCGCTCGAGGTCAGCGGCAGCAAGAAGGTGGAAGCGGGGCCAAAGGTGGAGGCGTCGAATGTAGAGGCTCTTCATAGCGCGCTCCGCCTTGGCGAAGCCGGAGACCATGGCATGGGGGCGATCGGAGAAGGCATAAACAGGGAGGAGGTGGTGGTGGCGGAGGAGGCGAGCCACGAAGGCGTCGGAGGAGGTGTCGGAGGAGCGGTGGGCGGAGAGGAGGAGGAGGGCGCGGACGCGGGAGGGGAGGAGGCGGGAGGTGAGGAAGTCGGCGACGAGGGCGCGGGGGGAGAGGAAGAGCGCGGCGCGGGAGGCGTAGAGGGCGACGCGGTGGTGGGCGGGGAGGTCGGGGGCCACGTCGTGGACCTGCAGCTGCAAGAGAGGAGGCTGGCTCTGGGAGTTGAGGAGGAGGCGCCGCCGGATTTGAGCTTTGACCGGCTCGGGGGCGGAGAGGATCAGGAAGCAGCCATCGTCGGGGGATTGGTGGAAGAGCTGGAGGAGGACGGCGGACGCCAGGGAGGCCACCGGGAGGCCACACGAAACCACCACCAGGCCGCCGTTGGGGTCCTCCAGGAGGTCCGCCACCACCTGCTCCTCGAAGGGAAGCATCACGCCGGCGGCGGCGGCGCTCTTTTCCTTTCCGAGTGAGGAGGAGGGAGAACGAGAGGAGAGAGAGGCGAAACCGTCATGAGATGACGCTCGTGGGCCTTCTCCTCGGCCGGCCCAGACCCATTACTGCTTTTTTTTCCTCAGTAGCCCATTACAAGCATTAGCAGAGCATATGTATATTAGGGACTAGGGAGGCCATTTAAGATTTGGAATAGTATAACAGTATATATAGCCAAGATTGAACTCCTCTATCTACCTATATAGAAATAGAAGTATATATACTATTGACAGAAGAAGAAGAAGAAACTCTTCTAGTATGTACTATAACAGTATAAGTGAATAAACCTCTGAAACATCATCATCACTTATCAGACCACATAAAGATGAGCAGGTAAACAGTTGAACATGGCAACTTTAGTTTCTTTCTTTACACAGTAATCCCCTTTTCTTTAGGGTAATACTACTACATGTCAGGGGCTATAACATGCCTGATTCTAATCTAGTTTCCCTTTCTTTTATGTCCTCTATAAGAAACAAAGATAGTCCAGAAAGGAATCGGCAATGAGCACAAGAACCGACCAACCGACTGAAAGTGAGTGAGCGAATGAGTGATACCTAAGGAACACCACTGCTGGTGCTTCTCTTCACCTTGAAATACACAGGGTCTCGCAGCACCTTCACGGTTACATTGCTCCACACGTCTGTGCTGGTCGACAGCAGTGCCATTTCCTCAGCAATCGCCATGTCCTCGGGCACAACAGACCCAAACACAGTGTAGGCTCCTTTCCACTCCCCATGGTTTGCTAAGCTGATCAAGAACTCCGGCCCTGATCCAACCCATGCAACCGATCCTCTTCTCAGTGCTGGGCAGGCTTCTTTCGCTCTCTCCTTAAAGGGTAAACCATCGACTTCCAGTGTCCCTTGAAGCAAGGCATACGGTGGACCATATGCAGCCTAGTCACACAAAAACAAGGGGCATTAGGGTATAATTGTTGTCACCAACAAGTCCAAACCCAAATGTGACATTGGAACCCCTTTCATGCAATCGATCATAGAAGACATACATTTTTTATGTGGTCGCCTTTTGCATCCCACAAATTCCCACGGCCTTCAGCTCGATAAAATCTGCATCCAGCGCAGTTCCGCAAGCCCAGAACCTCAATGAAATAGTCCACAGAATGGGGTGCACAGCCAGGCAGCAACTAGATGCAAAGAAAGTATATTAGAAAGGGAAGACATGGTGAAAAATCGCAGATACAGTATAATTCCATTCAACTCAAGTGGATTATCCAGAAGACAGAATTAGAACTACCTGCACAAAATGTCAAGAAATTACCATCCAAACTTCTTGACAGAGCAACCTGGGCTAACAGCATAATCTCTAATGATCGATATTCACTTGGCAGCTTAGCGGTCTTACATTAAATGCATGTATGGTTTTACTCTTAGACACATATTAAATCCATAATCTCATGTGTTTGCCATGGCTCTCTATATAGCCAAACAATCCATGTAGCAAATGTAACCCCAGTGCATTATTTGTTGTTGCCAATTCTCAACAAGCATATACCATGTTCTCAGTAGAACAGATTGGAACAAACAATATTCTATAAAAACCCCTGATGGGCAGAGGAGAAGCAACACGATTAGCACACCATATCTTTGTTGGCTTGAATGAATGCTTAATGAGTAAACAAAAAATGTGTCAGATTCATGGAAAGAAAAGTAAATGACACTACACCACTCCGCCAGCTTCCCTATCTCTACCTGCATCTAATGTTCTTGTTGACAAAAGATATCTACCTTGTGGCCATTCTATTAAAAAGGGGTTTTACATTGCCCAAAGGTAAGTGCACAATACTGAAAATGAGATACATGTAGAAAAATATGCAAATAAAATAATTGCTAAGAGAAATCTTAGATCAGTGGATGCAACTATAGCTGTATATGGCCCCGGGCCCCGGTGCACAGCATTTTACATGTAACATTCTTGATTCGGTGATTGAACACTAAAGAAGATTCAAAATATTGTTGCCTTGTTGTAGAGGCAAAGAGCACTTACTTGAATACGAATGGTCCCAAGGTTTGTTTCCAGGCCCACAATGCCCTGCATTATTAAATTATAAATCTCTGAATTAATCATGGTATGAATTGGTGGTACATTTTTGTTTGTTTGAAAGCATAAGGAAACAAGCGTTCCAAACTTGTAGGCAAGGTGATACACACACATTCTCTAGTTGGATTGGAACCAAAATATTTCAAATTAAGCAGAGGCAGGGAGCACATGAAACAGCTGGGATTTGAAGGGAATCAGGCGAGACAGACACTAACCTCTCCTTTTGCGAAGACTAGACCAGAAGTCCACATAACATCATCTCCCTTTGCAACAACAGAGGGTGCCATCACATCCTTTTGTTTCTTCAGCCAGCACTGCATTGCAAGCAGGCGAAAGGGGATTATATAATATCATATTAGTATATGCAGGAGTAGTGAGTGACTAAAACTGAATTTGGGGTTTGGTCATACAGAAATACTCCTCCTATTATAGCTACTCCAGTAGAAATGGAGAATGAATAGTCAGTGGGTGGGTGGGCGAACGGACCTCCCCGAACCTTTGGCCGCATCTTTTCTTGTCCCCGCAGAAGACCCAGGAATCGCAGCGGCAGTCGTTGGCCTTGCACATGGCCTTGCAGGATTCGCAGCACGCGGCGGCGGAGAGCAGGCGGTGGTCGGAGCCCCACTTGACCGCCGGACCCCACAGCTCGAGCCCCTCGAGGCCCCTGCAGCAGCCGTCATCCGTCGGCGCCACAGCCATGGAAGATGATGCGGTGGTAGCCCGCGAAGCGGAGGGGAAGGACGAGTAGGCGAGGGCGAGTAGGGTGGCGGCGGCGGCGATGAGGATCACAACCAGGATGGGGCGGGCGCCGCGTGGACCGTCGGATGGGCGACGGGAGAAGGGCACGGCGGAAGGAGGCATTGCCGTACGCCTCGCCGGCGCCGCCCGCCGGCGCCGAGATCTCTCTCGTGTCGTGTCGTGTCGTGTCGTGGCGAGGCGTGCCGTCACGAGTTGACTTGCCCCTACCCCTTGTCTACCCAACATATAATAAGGAATGTATATTCGCCATATGAAATACTACTCCTTATGAAGGAGTTTTTATGAAGAAGTTACTATTTCACATTTTACATCTTGATTTTTCTCATCTATAAATAATTTACAAGTTTAAGTTTTGACTGCAAATTTCATATGGCGTCAAAACAAATGTAAATATATTAGTTTGTTGGACTATTTCGCACCTTAGATCTATGGGTGGGTAGGATTACAATGGGTCGGTTTGGACACATATAGAGCAAAAATAACATCGATCTGATATGCAATATTTCTTTGTCAGACCCAGACACAATAGCCATAACTGCCAGATACCGGTGACCATGCCCAATAGTGGCGGCCGTAGCTTTAAAGGATGGGTATTCACTCAACATTTTTTTTTGAACGAGCATTTACTCGACAATTACAAATGTCATATCCTTATGTTTATTGAGTTAAAATCTAGATTTTTTGGACAATTGGCTACTAGATAGGAGTGGCATGAGCTAAGAACATAGAAGGAATGGATTTGTTAAGAAAATAGAAGTCAATAATGAAGTATTATGTCCAATTTAGTGCATATCTCCGCTATCAAGCTTGATGCACATTAATTGATAAGGTGAGTTGCTTGATCATTAGTAATATCGATTCGAACCTTTTTGCATTAAGTGAGGACAAAAGCGCAAGGGTATTACAATATAGGTGTGGTCCAACTGAATAAGTTCGCCAAATATCGTTTTTGGGGCCCTAGGGATCATACGGATCCCCGATCCCCTTCAGCCCTTCCCCTCGTTGCTGACATTAATGCAAAGAAATGGAGGAGGAAGGGGACCAGGTAGCGTGGTGATCCAAAGTTTCGGGCGTCGACCCATGAGGCATGAGAGGCGATAATATGCTTAGTTGTTGTATATACTAGCAGTGGCATAGCCAGAATTTTCTCAAGCCTAGGGCTTAACCAGTATAATGTACATAATTTATCTTTATCTTCCATGTTTTGAGGTTTTGACATGTAAATTTTAATGGATATTTAGGCTTAGGAGTAGGGCAGCAGCCCTAGCTACCCTACCCCTGTTTCCGCCACTATACACTAGTAAGGGTAGGGATTCTCGTTGGTCTCTAACTTTTAGGGTTAATTGAATTCATGCCATTAGAAATATGTCGGTTTTGAAATATGCTACTAGTATTAACGATTTAGTAACATTGCCATTATAATTTTACATATATTTGAAATATGCCACTATTTTTCCCTTGGATTCACATTGCCCTTTTCCCCCTTATTCCTTCTTCCACTTTCTGCTTTCTCCCCTCTTTTCTCTTCTACAATGTGAGAAATCGGTGATTTGGCTCGGCGCCAACAGCAGCAAGCATGACCAACGATGGACATGGCCACTATAGTCACCGCATCCTCCCTTTTTGGCGCTCCTTCGCCCGGGAGGTCTGTGTCTCGCGCCACCGCCGTCCTCCTACTGTTCGGAGCTCCACACATGACGACGATGTCGCCACGGGGCCCTTGGTCGTCGCCGCTGACAGCATCTCTCTTCCCTTCCTTAATCCCTCTGCACGGCTAGCAAGGCAGAGATGAGAAGAGGGATGCCGATGCGTGATGGAGAAGCGACGACGGCATACCAGACCCAATCACCTCTCCTCTTTAGCCGAGATTCGGCCACCTCTTCTCGTTGCGAGAAGTCCTAGGCGACAACGACGACTGTCGAGGAGTGATCCTCTCTAGCGGGTGATCGAGAGACCCCCCCTTTTTGTGAGTTCGGCCGGGGGAAAGGGCGCGCTGATCAAGAACGTATATCCGCCTAGAGTCTCCTGAGACCGCCCGTGAGAGCTGGGATTATACAGGTTCGGGCCGCTATGGAGCGTAATACCCTACTCCTGCGCGTGGGATTTAAGGTTGAGTGTTACCAAGGTTCCTAAACTCCAGGGAGCACTCTCACTCTTCTTCCCCGGGGCTTAGGCTTACTGAGAATCGTCCCTTTTTTAGGTGGGCAAGGTCCTCCTTTTATAGTTCAAGGGGATACCACATGCACCACCTCTACCTACTCCTTCACGGGAGAGGAACCCACTCCGCTTGGATCGGACCACCATTCGTGCCTTCACCCGGAAGCTAAGCAGTCGTCCGTCCTCGAGTAGGGGCCCAGCGCCGCCCCCCGCCTGACACTGGGGACACCCTTGTGTCGGTGACATGGGACCGGGGGTATCTTGACTAGAGGTTTGGGGTAGCCGTGGTCACCCACGTGGCCTGACCCCCTCGGGGGGGGGGGGTCGGGCCCGAGGGTGATGTGGCCGCCCCTCCCTCTGTCTCCCCGAGGGGTCGGGCCGCTCCCGTTTCGGCCCCGAGGGCTGGGGCGCCCCGACCCCCTGTGGGTTTGGCGCCACGTGTGTGGGTTAGGTCAGCACAGCGGCGCTCACCTAACCGCTTTTATTGCGGGTTGGACGAGCGCCCCACGCCGCATTTAATGCAGCGCAGCACACTCGTTCGGTCCGTGACAGGTCACAGTGTGTGACCGGTCACAGACCGGTCATATCGCGGGTTAGGTGGCAACAGGCGGCCTTTCGCACGCCTCGCCCCGTCCCGTCGGAATGATGAGAAGCCTCTAGGCACTCGTCCCTAGCCGGAGCCGGCGTGCTAACTCCTGGAGTTAGCACGTCAGTCCCGGCTAGATTCATACCAGGCTTCATCGCAACCATTACAAGGAAGTCATTTTATGAAGAAGGGCTGACGTGTGGCATGCTAAACTGACGCGTGGTAGACAAGAATGACCGGTTTGTGACTGGTCTGACGCCGGTCACGTCATCGGCAGACAACCGTGCTCCCACGTTGCGCCTACTTCCGGCGGAGTGGAGGTAGGTATGGCCCATCCCATCGGAGGGTCATTCGGATAGCAGCCATGGCAAATCTCCGCCCATTAATGAGGGAGTAACAGGGAGATCCCTGGTGTCAGGCGAGTGATGACGCTGGGCCTCACTCAAAGACAAGCTGTGATTTAGCTTCCAGGCGAAGGCGCAAGCCATTTTTTTTTTTGGAAGATAGGGTGAGTCCCCACCCAAAAGAAGAGTAGGTAGAAGTGATGCATGTGGTATCCCCTTGAGATATAAAAGGAGGACCTTGCCCACTTAAGAGAAAAAAGAAAGGGGAGAACACCTGAGCTGGTAGAGGAGAGAAAGAGGAAGAGGGTCTCTAGAGTTTGAACTCTCTTGCTCTCCAGCTCTTTGTAACTCCTTCATACACAGATCCACCAGAACACAGGAGTAGGGTATTACGCTTCTCAGCGGCCCGAACCTGTCTACATCGCCCGTGTCTTGTGCATTTGCTCTCTCGCGAAACATTCCACAGATCGAGGGCTTAGAACCTCACCTAGCGCCCCCGGCCGAACCGGCAAAGGGGGGCCCGCGCGGTCTCCCGGTGAGGAGCCCCACGCTCCGTCATCTGGCGCGCCAGGTAGGGGGCGCGTGTGTTTTTCTAAGCCCTCGTCCTCTTTCGTGTGCGCCAAGCTTCTCCCGCTCAACCCAATGGCCGAACGGGCAGTGGCGCACAACCACTCTCCGAGCGCTAGCGGTGACGACGGGGAGCAGAACCCGCGCCGTCGAGCTCGTACTCCACCGCCCCCCTCTCGCCGAAGTCTTAGGCGGGAGGAGGCGCTCGAGGGGGTCGAAAGATCCGCGACTTCGCCGCCCACGAGCGATGGAGAAGGACGGCGAGACGGGGAGCGTTGCCTCCTCGTCTACGGCGATGGCAGCACGCCCCAGGGCGCGCTCCAAGCTGCGGGCGCGCTCTTGCGTCACCCGCCCGTTGTCCCCGATCCAGAGACTCCAGCCCGACGTTGGCTGGATGACGTGGCCGACTTGGTCATGACGGCGCAGCAGCGCCTAGGCGCCGGTGGGCGGTCCTCCGCCACCAAGGCCTCTGGCGCTGCTACCGCCGGCTCCGTGTCGTCGAGGCGGAGGGCGCGGCGAGCGGCAGCCGTTACCCGCCGTTCGTCTGCCATTCCCTCGTCAACGCCTCCGACCCAAGAAGATGTGCGTAGGGGGCCGGATGCCCGCCTCAGTATCGAGCGCCGGCGCAATGGTCGTCGTGCTGCCCACGCAACGGAAGGCGCTTCCTCGTCCGGAGCGCCACTTCGGTTCGGGCGCGGGGGCCAGCCCCCCGTGCCCCCGGTTGGTGGTGTCGGCTGTCGAGCCTTTGTGGCGAGCCTTCAGAACGTCCGTTGGCCCCCAAGGTTCCGGCCCACCATTACCGAAAAATATGACGGAAGCGTCAACCCCGCCGAGTTTCTCCAGGTCTACACGACAGGGATCGAGGCCGCCGGGGGTGACGACAGGGTCATGGCGAATTTCTTCCCCATGGCCCTGAAGGGACAGGCGCGGGGTTGGCTAATGAACTTGCCGCCCGCGTCGGTCCACTCTTGGGAGGATTTGTGCCAGCAGTTCACCATGAACTTCCAAGGCACATATCCGCGCCCAGGTGAGGAAGCGGACTTGCATGCGGTACAGCGAAGGGACGATGAGTCTCTTCGCTCGTACATTCAGCGGTTCTGTCAAGTTCACAACACCATACCATGCATCCCCGCACACGCGGTAATCTACGCGTTCAGGGGGGGCGTGCGGCACAACCGCATGCTCGAAAAGATCGCCTCCAAGGAGCCCCAGACCACCGCGGAGCTTTTTCAGCTCGCGGACCGTGTGGCTCGCAAGGAAGAGGCCTGGACCTGGAACTCCACCGGTTCCGGTGTGGCAGCTTCGGCCGCCCCCGGATCCGCCGCTCGGTCAGGGCGGCGGGACAGGAGGAGGAAGAAGAGGTCGGCCCATTCCGACGACGAGGGACACGTCCTCGCCGTCGAGGGCGCTTCGCGGGCCACCCGAAAGGGGAGGCCTGCGAGCGACAAAAAGAAGGAGGCCGGCGCTCCCAGCAGGGAGCGCCCGACCGGCAAGTGGTGCACCGTGCACAACACCTCCCTCCACGACCTCGCGGACTGCCGCGCGGTCAAAAGTTTGGCTGAGCGGACGAGGAAGTGGGAGGAGG